CGTCAGAGTCGGGTTAGACATGCCCTCAAAAAATAGAACCTTGGTCTTCCCAACCTCGATCGCATTCCTCACCATATCCATGTCGTGGATGTCCACAAACGTCGTCGTTATGTTGCAAGCCCTGGGGAAGAAGTGGGTCAGGAGGGCGTGGGTCCCACCGTAGAGGGTCCTGGAGGCAACGATGTGGTCCCCGCTGCTGACGAGCTGGAGCAGGACGGAGGATATGGCGGACATCCCGGAGGACGTGCAGTAGGCAGCCTCGGTCCCTTCCAGGGCAGCCATCTGACGGCTGAGGTTGAGCACCGTCGGATTGAAGTGACGGCTGTAGATGAAGAAGTCCCGGTCGGCGCCGAGCTCGCCGGAGAACATTTTGCGGAGGGTCTCTGGCTCCATCACGGTGAAAGTGGCGGAGGCCTCGATGGACATGTTGACACCGCCGTGCTCGCCAAACTCATGGCGAGCGCTGGCAAATGCCGCTGCCGGGTCGTCCCAGGCCGCGGCCGCAGCTGAGGACAACAACATGGACTTTTTGGCGGCCACGTAGTCGTCGTTGTCCATGTCATCGTGCTCTGCTCTCTTCTTGGAGGTGGCGTTGTTGGTGGGGAAAACAAAGCCCTGGGGTTTGGTGTCAGCCATGGTTTTGATTGGTGATCGGAATTTGGGTTTGAGTTTGGGTTTAGGGGGTGTTTGGCAAAAATTAAAAAGAGAAGAGGATGAAGGAGGAGGAGATTGTGGTTAGGTTTAGGGGATGTTACGGGAGGTTATCTTCTATATATAGAGCCTAGAGGGAGAGGGAGAGGGAGAGGGAGAGGGAGAGAGAGAGGAGGAGGACAGTGAAATTGATGATTTGTTACTATAGATGGAACCACGGATGAAAGGTACAGTGAATCTGGTCAATTTTTTGTTTTCAAAGTGCCATGTAAAACCTCTTCTTTAACTGCTGTATAATTTATGTATGCGTTTTCTTTTACAACTTTGAATTCAAGGGTGGCGTTATTCTGTTCAAAGTTTAAGAAAACAGACGTACAAGTCATGTAAGAATAAGGATTTATACGGTCCTTGAAAGTGATTAATTTCTTGTCCTAATTTGTGTGGGACAAAAATAGTTAGAGGGTAGGTGCAGGTATTAAGCGCTAATTACTTGTTCTTATAGGATTAGGAATATTGATTTACAGTTTATCCATACCGTTCATTGTTTATGTCATCATCAACTTTTGATTGCCTCCTCGTGAATAGAGAGTAGAAACTTTTGCGGTAGAAAATGATGATGTTTCGATCGAGCATGTTCTTTCTTTTTTGGCCGTATAAAATTTTGCAAAGACTTGGCGAGTGTAAATTGTCAAGTGGGTGTGGAATCATTAATATTCTAAGTGCAACCTACACGTTTTATTATTTGTTATTTTGTTGGTCACAATCTACACGTTTTAATCTGGTCCTTATCATCGTAACCAGTAGCATAGAAAGTAAACTAATGAGAAAACGATCTTATCGGAAGAGATAAAATTAAAATATGTACAAGAAAGAAAGAAAGTATGTGAACCTAAAATAATAGTCGTTGATAATCGCTCATGGTGAGAGTAGTCAATCTCTCCTTAAATTTTTTTCATTATAAATTAAAAAATAATAGCCGTCCTTGATTTTCTTTTACTTTCGCTCCTCCTCTCCACATCTGTCAAAACCATAATCACTGTTTACAGCAAATTATAACCAGAAATGGTGGCCCTAACTCGTTTTAATAATTTTATCTAGATTTCTAACATATTACATATATGATATGATATAGTGAGAAAATCCCGCCTTGATTCCTTCTCCCCAAATTAATTAAGAAGGCGGTATTAGCAATTTTTTTGCATCTGATTATGCAAACGTGGCCGTGAAGCTTATCTTCTCTCTATTTGGGGAATTTCGTGACCCAGAACTAAGCTTTTAGACATGTCCACATTCAAATCCCAAATTGACAAGCGATTCTGGAATTTTCCAAGTAACTGGGAACTTAATCACGTATATATGTGGTTCAGAAAAGAAAGAAAAAAAGGACGACCCTGAACCAACCCCAAAGAGGAAGCTAAGGCTAAAAGAACTTGGCTCATATTATGGATTCGTACACTTATGTTTCTCTCACTTGGGATATATTCCAGATCTCTCTCTCTCTCCCCCTTTTTGTTCTTCTGTTGTGCAAAGACGACTGGTCGTTATATTGCTTGTGACTCGCGAGCATGAGCATGACATAAAGTTCAAAATTAAATCACGAAGACTTTAAACGCATGTCGTACGGACAATGATTTTCTTCCACGCAGAATCAAAGCATGCATGGTCCCAAAGATGGATAAGGCAGAAGTTTTTCACACAAAAACTGCAAATTATTTGTCTTTGTTTATTTGGTCAGACAACTCGTTTTCCTGTCGACTTGGAATGTCATCCACCACCACCATACTCACTACATGATATATATAATATTAATATATAAGGTTTTTTTATTTAATAAAATTATAATGACATATTTTCTTCATGCATGTAATGCAACAAAGAGAATCCCGTTTCTTATTATACAAACCCTTAAAGAATTTTTTAAAAAATGTTATGATTAAATCCTCCAAAATTCTTATTAATATTCATAAATCGTAATCTTGTCATCATTTCGTGTGCGTATAAGAAAAATCCACTAGGTAGCAAACAACTAGGATTGCCGCGCAGGCACGCACTCTTTTTGTTAGTGCATTGTTGATATGGCTACTTATCCTCAAATTTCATCCCAAAAAAAATTATGAACAACAAATGATAGCTAGGGAATTGACAATCCATATTCAAACAATATGGAAAAGTCAAGCTATGAACATAGACATGTTGAATAGTGGACATTCCTTTCTCACTCTCAAATTTGAATACCACAACCCAAAGCTGAATTCTTTCTTTCAATTTTTAAAACCTTACAAAGAAGATTCTATAGAGATATTTAGTCATATACACATTCTTAGCATTAATTATATAAATAAATCCTACACCATTTAATTTATATAAATAAATCTAAAAAATGACAGCTGACCCTATTGAATTTAATTTTGATTATTAAATTACTTTGATGCCTTGTTAAGTGTTTTGGATTTTTTTTTATGAGGTTTAGAGATAGTGTTTGTTTTAAAAAAATCGATGATAATTTTGTAATTTATAAGAAGTTAGAAGTCTCTTTATTATGTTGAAAATGGAATTTAAAGTGTGTATCTAATTCCATCTTTATATCAAACAAGACTTGCTAATGCAATGGATGTTCGAATATAAACAAATGTAGATAAGATGGGTGAAGGGATGGGACCTGACCACTTTGTAATCTCCAACTTTCTTAATCCTAATTAGCATCTTATCCGAAACATGGCAATATATTATTTGAAAGTACAACAAGTTAACAGAGAAGAAAAGGACTACAAATTAAGACGTATCAATTTTGGCGCAATCTGTGGAAACTAGCGTTGGATGACATGGGAAGAGTACGTGTACACTGATGATAGCACATGAGTTGTGGGTCCCATTGCCCCCATTATTCCGCTAATTATTATACCCACACAAAAAAGAAAAGGCTTGTTTATTAGAATAGGGCAAGATGACAAAATATTGTTCTTCGCCAATCTAGACATCAACTTCATGTGCTCGGGTCCAGTTCTTTTGTCACATACTTTTTTTCGTGGTTCAATATACCTATATAATAAAATTTTGATTTTTTTTATACAAGCGATAATCTAAACTACGTAGAATATGGGTTTTCTCATATACACACACAACTAATATGTCATGAGATTCAAATCATAGACCTCTGATCTGCAAGTCAAAACCATTTTCCATTTAATTAGACCCCTTCGACTTTCTTAAATTTTCACTTCGAGGAGTTGTGATATATGGTGAGAAAAACATGTTGAGTTGTGATTTGTAAATAGCATCACCTTTGAGTTTGAGTTCATTTAGCCCAAATAAAGAAGATAGAAAATTTGAATTGGCACTCTTCTTTAGGTTTGAAAGCTTAAGTTACGGAAATCGGCTAAATTCATCCCTACATGTACTGCCCTGAATTTGGTCATTCTACCTTTCAAAGGGAAGATTGGCAAGTGGCAGTATTCTATTGGTTTGGGATAATGAGTTCGAAAACTGACCTGGCATACCTGTGCCAGGAAAGTTTTTCTCTGTCATGTACTGCCCTGAATTTGGTCATTCTACCTTTCAAAGGGAAGATTATTATCAACTTAGCTTCTGTTGGTCAATCTAAAAAACTAGAAATAATGTCTTGGAAAAAGAAATTGGAAGAAGAAATTACAATTGAGTTGTGGCTTTGCGTGTGCCCAACTTCATGGCTGAAAAGCTACAAGATTATCCATTAGATTGGATAATTTAATTATAGATATTATTATTATATACCAAAACAAAAGTCATATTTAATAATAATATCAGAAAAGCAAGAGCAATGACGCCAGGGCTCACTACCAATATATAAACCAAGGAAAATCAAATCATCACAAGTTCCAATAGCAAGGGCACACCAACAAAAAGCACCTAATAATTCTTTGGCATGTCGGGAACAAGACAGAGATTCCCAGCTTGTTTGACATAAAAAAAAAGTTAAAATGGAGCTAAATGGTAATCAAAATTATGGATTTGGATAACATCATTTTCGTCTCAGTTAAAAACCATTGTGTTACAGAATGCAAAATGCCTTTCTTCCTTATATCCATAATTGTAAATAAACAAAACACAAAATGCATTCTCTTTCTGCTTATGAAAGAATCATGCATAAGCACTGCATTAAGAAGGAAAGAATGCAACATCTTTATGCTCATGAAAGTTTCTGTCAAAACAATAAAACCATCCCAGGCATAATTGCCTGCCAAGCTACAATGTACTTAAGAAAGTACAAGGAATCTAACGGTTCTTAGCTTATTTCTATTAAATTGATCAAGTACCATCACACTCTTAAGACTACAATGGGATAAAAAATGCAAGAATGATTCTATCTCCAACTATACTTCCAATTGGTGCAAACCCTCCAAACGTCGTTGCTCACTTTCCGAGTTACTAGAGGAAAGGGCTCCAGATTTTCCTCTCTCCAGATGCTGAAGGAAATCCATGACAACTGGATCAGTCCAAGGAGCTCCGAATGGAGCTTCAGGACCTGCAACCCACCCTAGATGGCCACCTTTGGGTGTCACTATCAACATACAGTTTGGATTGTCCTGAAACAACAGCAAGGGATATACTATATTAAAGTTCCGATGGGATAGGAGAACACAGAAACATGTTCAAGAAACATCCTTCACACGCAGAGGGAACCACAAGGTTAGCTCAATGGTTGACTCATTTGATGCTCCTTCACCCTCCTATAAATTCCAAGCACATGGGGTCCTTTAAAGTATTTTGTAGAGCCTTTTACGGGACATTCCAGTTCATTTCATTTAGCATATGTCCAGTCTAGAACAGTCTCTCCATGGTTATTCTTCCCCAAAACAAATGTTGTTTTACTTTCATTGAATCAGATGTGATTACATGAAGGGAGAAAAAGAATGAAGCAAACTCAAATTAATTTGGAAATAAATGCATTATTTTTATATTTTAAATGAGTAAACTCTACACACCGACATAAATCCCCTAATCTTGACACCAACTGATAGGGCAGTGTTTTAGTGGTTTATACTTGGTCCTGCTTACTTTTATCATGCGACTCTCATCTGTCACATTAGTTAGCATTCAAAATTTGGGACTCATGTTCAATTAGATTGGAAAAATCAAATTAAACACTCATGTTGAACAATGGTATCTAGCTCAAGGGACTCCACAAACCTTGATATCTTCACGAGGAATTCCCCTGTTCGGAGCAATTGGATCATTTCCCGCCTGAAAACAATTAAGAATAATAAGTCTAAGCAAACTTTTGAGATTCACTAAACATGAACACTATTTTTTTATAGAAAGGGCATGCATGTAAAAGGATGGATGAGGTCAATCACAAGGAAGGAAAGAAGTGATTTTTTTTCCTCTTCTTGTTTGGCAAAAGAGGAGTGAGGGAAAGAAAATATATAGCTGTGTATAACAACTATACAATTCATAACGTGTGATTAATATGCTCATCTTTCCCTCCACCAATTCGTCCATTTTTATAGGGATATATTATGCTGGATCTAGGGGTTCCTGAGCCATCCATTCTTCCTTTCCACTCAAACAAGCCAACTACAAGAATTGACAATCTCTCCCCCTTCCCTAATATCTTTCCATCTTTACTTCCCTTTCTCTTTTCTATCATTCCTACCAAGCATGGTATTGAAAAAGACAGAGGTGAACATATATGCCCAGGCTCTATGTGTCTGATATATGCATACAACGGATCCCTTATCAATTCAACCATAAAAATAACAAAAAAGCGTCCAGAACTTGCACAGTTCAACATCAGTAATGTCTATTAAATCAAATGAAATGTTCTGGAGATAGATTACCTGAATGCAAAGCAATGGTATGCAGACATCCTTTATGGAATTGGAACTACTGGAATTAGAGTAGTAGTCATCTACGGACTTGAAACCAAATGAAACTGCAAGTTTTCACCAAAGGAGATGTTCTCAGAAGAAGAATGTCATGTTATAACATCCAAAATAAAAAAGGTTTCTTGAACACAAAGTACATACCACGAGTTAGTCCATCATCAAACTCCCTGACAGACTTAGCATTGGCAGCCAATGGAATGTTAAAATCACCACCCATGTCTTCAAAGAGTAGAGCATGCCTACAATGTAGGGTCAGAAAATTGGGTTATCAACCTCGAGCTGGAATAACAGTTGAGAACATAAATCAATTTTTCATGGGATTACTTCTTGAAAATTTTGGAGAGAGCACTTGCAAGAGCTTTGTCATAAACGATATTAAAGCCCTTACGGAAGTCCTCGTCTGCAATGACCAAATTGAAAGGATTACACAACGACACAGCACCAGAAAGACGACATGCATGAGATTCCTGCAAGTACCACATGATTGAAATATAAATGAAATGAAATTGGAGGAGAAAAGGCTAAAGTAAATTTCAGTGCAAAGGATAGGCCCTGGTATTGCTTGTATCATTAACCTCCAGAAACATTCAAAGTCATAGGAACTCTAATCCACGCACAAATAAGACTGAAAAGAACTCTGTATTTGCATCCCAGCATCCGAAGTCCAGACAGAGTGGTTGACTAAACACATGTACGGTATTCCACCCTTTTATTGTCCCCAGTAAATGAAGAAATTTTTTTCTTTTCTGCTGAACAAAATTTTTTGAGTTTCTATTTTCCTAGCACAAACAGCATTGGGCCTCAATACATTGATGAATTGAGTTGAGCAAAAAAAACACACAGCTTGTTACAACAAGATAGATTGCTAAACTTACTACATTGTTAAAGCTAACCAGTGCATTACAGCACATATGCAACACAAGTAAGCATGAGCCAGACGAACTAAGCAATTCAGTGCAAGTCACCGATCAGACGAACAGAATCTCAAAAGCAATTGGTCAATCACAAAGTATACCTGACCCAAATACCGAACGAGAATGTTAGCACCAAGAGACCAACCAACAGCATACAGATTAGCTTTCGGATACCGATTACCAACATGGGCCACTACTTCACGCATGTCTCCTAAAAATGAAGCCGAATAGAACTGCATATCAGCGTCATAAAATAACTAATCACAGAGCTGGCTTAAGGCACATCAAAAAGTTCAAATCTTCAACATAAAGCTCCCCATTAAGGAAAAAAACAATTACAACTTAAGAACAACAATTCCATTACAAGTATCAATGTTAACAGATTGTACACCCTGCTAGGAAATTTTTTTGAACTTGTATCACAGTTAAACAAAAACAAGCACGAATTGGGTTCAATTAGTTAGCACAACTGTGAACACAGAAAATTGATTTGGCCAAAGTGAGAGTACCTGAGGAGTTGTTACAGGGCTACCACCACAACCACGGCTATTGAACACCACAACCCGCCACCCTTTACTTCTGGCTCGAACCAACATGTGCCTCACATACGAGTCATCACTCCCTCCAGTTAAACCTGGCTGCAACACCATCCATTACCCAAAAACCAAACCTCAATTTTTAACTCAAAAAGTTTTCTGCATTTTCCCTTTTTGTTATTTTCCCGGGAACAAACAAACAGGGCATAAAGGAAAAGAATGTAAGAACGAACCAGGAGAATGAGGAGAGGGGAGTCGGGAGGCAAGAGGCGGTCGTCCCTGGAGACCCAGTCCAGCGAAACGGCGCCGTCGTCTGTCGTTCGGAGGCACTCGCGGCGGAGCCTGACGTCGGGAGTCGATCTATAGAACGAGGCGAATATGGTCTCCACGTGGCGGTTCGACCCGATTACGGGAAACGGGTTGTAGGGTCGGGTCAGTGAGCTGAGGGCGGGAAGGAAGAGGTCGCGCGCGCCGCCGAGAGTTTCGAGGGACGGGTGGGCCATCGGGTCGGCGGCTGAGCTGACGTGGAATGTGGATGAGGAGGCGAGGCGAGTATAGTTGTGGAGGTTAGACACGTGGCGGAAGTAGGAGAGAGGCGGAGGAGAATAGCCCAAGGATGCTCTGGCCATTGGTTGGTTTGTTTTGTATACAGCGAATGGATAGCAAACGAGTGAGTTTTGGAAAGAGACTGAAAAAAATGTGTTCTTTCTTTTTCGCTAGAGAATTATAATTGAAATGGTTAAATAAAGTTTTACTTTTTATTACAATTTTGATGACTTAATATAAACTCCAGGCATATTAATAAAATTAAAAAAATAAAATAAAAAGAACAACCCTGTGCAATGCCCATGGGATGGGATGATGATGAGAGTGTTAAGATTCTATTTGGTGGGCTGGACTAAATGAGATATTTCTAATTAAAATGGACATATATCCTAACCATTATTTGATGGGCTTAAATTTGTCTCAGACTGGATATGGGCCTTTAGATCTAAGTCCCAAATAACTAAGGTTATGAAACCCAAGCCCATAAGTGGGTTTAGAAACCGTGTTGTATTGCGAGAGCAAGCGCCTCCTCTAGTTTGATGCCTTCTCTTTTCTCCTCTTCGAGAATTGCAGCAACATCGGCATTGCGCAGACCAATGCATGAAGGAAATGTAGCAAGATCGTGTCGTGCAGATCGTCGCCACTTCCTGTCGATCTGGCCAAGCTTTTCCATTATAAGAATCACTTGGCGTATGCTCTCTCTCTCTCTCTCTCTCTCTCTCTCTCTCTCTCTCTCTCTCTCTCTCTCTCTCTCTCTCTCTTTATTTTGCAAATTTTGTGTCAATCTAGAGAATCTCAACTTGGTGTTACTTCACCAAACAACTGCTTAAAATATAGTCATATCCTAACCAGTCCAGTCTAGTATAGAAAGGTTAATTCAATCCAGTCTAGTCTAACATACCAAACAGGGCTTAAAGAGCTTGCTTCTTCGCTCAATTTAGTGTTACAAGAAGAGCTCCTAAAAAATTGACACATTGCTTGCCTGTCTGTCGTGTACTATAATATTCACTTTCTTATTATTGGCAGACATAGATTGTTTTCGTAAATATTTTAAGATGACATAGCTGCCCTCTTGTAAAAAAAACACGTGTATTAAACATGAAAAATGTGTATGTATGTGTATAATATGTGTAATGTATGTTTGCTTTAAAAAAAAAAATGTATTTTATCAAGTTTTTAAGACGTGTAAGAAAAACAAAAAAATTATTGAAAAATACGCACATATGTGTATAATACGAGTATTAAACGATAAAATGCTAAATTCTTTATACGAGTAACAACTTTGGAAAGTAAAAAATAAAAAGGGCACAATAGGGACTCGGGTAATGACCCAATAGTAAGGGATAATGCTCTAAACTACTATAATCGATAAACGAAAATCAGGGAAAATAATTATTAAAAAAGAAAAAGAAAGGACCCCAATATATATAATATAAAGAGTATAGCTGCGAGGCTATACAACAAGTAAGAAATAATCTTAGTCTCTCAAATTCTTTCATAGTTAGTAAAATATAGAATGAGAAAAATAAGAATAAAATACGTACGTATTTTATTTTATTTGGTAAAATTTTGGCAAGTTACAACTGAAAAGTTCGGCCACTATATAATATTTTTATATTATTATATTAAAATATTTCATATATATTATTTTTATTCAATAACATGTGAAAATTATGTGTATAATACATGAATTTTTTGTGTATGATTGAAAATTTTGTAAAAAAACACGTGTATTAAACATGAAAAAAATATATACGTACGTACATACGTGTACAATATGTATTGTATGCTTGCTTTTAAAAAATATGTGTATTTTACCTAGTATTTGAGACATGTATGGAAAACGAAAATATTATTGAAAAATACATATGTACGTGTGTAATACGAGTATTAAACTTTAAAATGCTAAATTCTTTATATGGATAATAACTCTAGAAAGTAAAAACTCAAAACGGAATAATAAAGACTCGGGTAATGGGCTAATATTAGGCATTATGCTCTAAACTACTATTATCGATACACGAAAATAAGAAAAAGTACATTTTTAATTTTTAAAAGAAAAAAGGATCCCAATATACTGACAATTTATTTTTAAAAAAATTAAATAAAAAGGGGCCCAGTATAGCCGACCGGCTATACTAATTATTTATTTATTTATTTATCATTAAAAAACCCGCATAGCGCCTAGGCGGCCTTTTTTTGGAAAAGAAAAAAAAACACATACGTGTATAGCCGAACGGCTATACTATCAAATTAAAAAAATTTGAAAACCAACAGAGTATCGCCGCCCGGCTATACTCTTTGAATAAATTATATTCTCACAGTATAGCCGATCGGCTATACAATATATAAATAAATAAAAATTAAATGCGCAGCGATACCTTAAAAAAAAATTATATCGTAGTATTGCCGCACGGCTATACTATGTCTAAATTAAAAAAAGGACCTGCCTGGCGCATGCGTCCATTTTGCTCACGTGTCAAAGTTTGTATCGCCGACCGGCTATACTATTGTTTATAATAAGAGATGTAGTACAGCCATACGGCTATACAGTTTTTATTATTAAAAAAATCCGAGTATAGCCGGTCGGCTATACGATTTATAATTTAGAAAGGACTGCTCGCCTGCGCCTAGCTCCCGCTTTGCCACGTGCCAAAAATAGTATAGCCGGACGGCCATACTATTTATTTAATAGAAACCGTAGCGGGAGGAACAGACGGAGAGGAAAAGATAAAAATCCGGTGGAATCAAAATGGCGCGAACCTCGTCATCGAAGAAGAAGCGCCTTCTCCAACGACTTACTCTGAGGTCCCTGCTAAAGCCCCACGCACCTATCACCCCCTCAAACACTGGCCAGTGGCAAAGACATTCTCAAGAAATCTGAGCGAAAGAACAGGTTCCTCTTCTCCTTCCGTGGCCTCCTTGCCCCCATTGGAGGCGGTAAGATCCGTGCTCTCAAGAATTTGGGCACCAAGAACCCCGTCTTATACCTCGATTTCCCTCTGGTCTACTACTTTCATCCTTGATCCTTTTCTAATTTTATTTTGCTTGTTTGATTTGTGAGAAAAATTAAAAATTTGAGGTTTTCAGGGTCGGATGAAGTTGTTTGGGACTATTGTGCCCCTAGTGGTCAGCGCCTTTCTACAGTCTGTTTGCCGCACAACTCTAAACCATGATATAAATTTGAAGAAAGGTTATTTTGATACAATCTTTTGAATTCTTTTCTATTTTCTAATGATTTTCTTTTGAGTATTTTTAGGAGTGAATAGTTGTACGTCTGAGTAAATTATATTTGCTACTTGTTTTTAACTGGTAACTGATTCAGTTAAGACTCATAGAACTACGTATTAGTTGGTAGAGAATGAGGCAAAACAACTGCAAAGCTGATATTTCGTGAAAACTTGTACTCTGAAAGTTGCATCTCATAAGGCAAAAACAACTACTTGAAATTCATTATTGTATCTTTTGGGTTGATTGAAATATCATGTCTTCATGTCTTCATTGTCTTCATACTAATTACCTTGCGTGTTTTAATACTTTGTGTACATGATTTTCAAAGCTATTGTATCATACAACTTCCACCTAGAATCTTCTTCTTGTTCTTCTTACAGAGTGTGGTACCCTTTCCAACGAATCCACATCCTTCATTTTGTTTGTCTGTGGTCGTGCTTGTTATATGAAACTGAGCTTCTCAAAGCATTTTTTACACATAGATATCAGCATTAGATTTTCATGTCCCAGATCGTATTTTCCGATGCTTGGTGGATTGGTACACAAGCTGAGAACCCTGAAGAAGCCCAACTTGATTTCCCTAAGGAACTTACTGAGGTTAGTTTCTGTTCATATAGATCTGTCGTGTTGATAGAATGTACATATCATTTTTTGATGATCCACTCTCACGAATTTGTTGGTTTCAGGGACAACACGCATAATATGACTTTAAAGGTGGTGCGGGTTCAACATCTGCAAACAAGCAAAGTGATCATAAAAATGAAACTACATATGTAGAAGAACATTCTCCAAATGTTAAGGTTGAAGATAATCTATCAGATGATGGAAACAAAGATTTGATGTGAGCAACACCTGTTCGACATTCAGCAAGAACTGCCGGAAAACGATTCAAGTAGTTACATTTGTGCTGCATTACCATATTTACCTTTTCTGACCTGTCTGATATACCTATGAGTAAGATATTTTTTACATTGGTGCTGCATTACCATATTTGCCTTTTTAGACCTGTCTGATATACCTATGAGTAAGTAGTTCTTATCATCCAAAAGAAAAACGGAAAAAACCGGATGGAACATATTGCAAATAGTTACAAAGGGCACTGATGCCCAATGTCCATTCTGAAGTCACTTATTGAAGACATGAATGCACTCATTGCTTTTCAGCAGATGAGTTGTTGTGTGGGAATGTCGTGTAGCTTCTACGGATATCACTAGTGCCAAGAATGGATATATAACTAAATACCTCTATTAAGTATGTAAACTTTTAGACGATTCTGTCCATGATATGTTGTGGTACCTTTAGTTAGATTATCATAGATAATTAGCCATTTTGATATATTTTCTTCTTGCTGAAGAATAATAAAAGAAACGAGAGTGCTTGTTGATCATCCAGAAGGCACACACTTTCCTGTGATGTGTCTACACATGCTTCAGTGAACTCTCGTTTTGTCACCGATTAATTGCAGATGATTTATCATGCTAACCTTTCCATTTATCTCTAACATTTTTGGTGTTACGGTTTTGGAAATGCTTCTTCTGGAGATGATTTTTTTGGAAGCGATACTCACTTAAGTGAAGGAGAATATGAAAAATTTGGGGGACTTGATTCATCATCTGGGAAGCATGCTAGTTTGAAAATTTTGGGGGACTTGATTATGGTTGTATTCACATTTCTCTCATTCTCTCTCATCACATTGATAATTTGATATAAAACTCCACACATTTGACGGCTTTGAATACAAAATAACTTTCATGTTATATTTCTCTATTTTTCTATCATCGCATGAGGCGTGCCGTGACGCCCATTTTAATTGCACTATGGTCGATTAATTCTCAAAATCCGCCTTGACTCCACATGTGAGAAGCCATTCGACCTTACCGACCAATTACATCTTAGCATACGTGCAAAAAATTTCTTCTTCAATGAGTTATTTCTAGATGTTGAATTGTAATTTGCAGGTTATAAGGAATAGCTAATGTTTTTCATGTCATTTTCATGGAGAGTTAGAAATGAAATGACATTCTTGTGTTACCAACAAATGCTTTGAGGTGGGGATTTCCAATTGCAATTCACGCCAATTTAATTTCCTGCTCCTTTCTTTTTTGAGTTTTATGTTGTTTTATTTTATTATTTTGTGCACTTAAAATGGACATTGAAAATGTGATGATAAATAAATCTTCGCATCATATAATATGTTACTGAATCCGTAGTCCAGAGATGAACACAAACATAACATAACAAAGAAAATTTTAAATTAAAATTAAGTACCCAGTAAATGTTTATTTTTGCATAACCACCCCGAGATTGATTTGATTTTGACCACAAGAAACCTTTGCTTACCTATTCATTCACTTTCTCCAAATGCTTCTGCTTCTCCTCTTCAGTCATGAAAGCTGTGATTGGAAAAGACTTTCCAATCCCCACTGGGGTCTTGAAGACAATCTTCTTGCTTGCCGGGTCGTCAATGCTCATCTCGGAAATTGGGACCCAAAGAAAAACCTGCTTGCTCTTAATCCCAGTCATCTTCTTCATCTTCAACTTCTCCACATAACCAGTCACCTCAGTGGCATAGCTGACACGTGTATTGGACCCAACAAAGAAGTGCTCATATGGCTGCTTTTGCTTCATCCACACAAACCCAGTTTCTCTCACCCTCCCACACTCCACAAGGTCCTGCAGGGGCAGGACACCTTTGGGAAACCCTAGCTCTTCCAGGAGGTCAATAGAGTGGCGGTAGCAATCTTCGGGGCCGTAAACAATCTCTGCACCTGCACGCTTGTCTTCCAGCTGCTTGTTACTAGCCATTTTGAAGAAAATTTTGATGTTTCAGAGTTTTGGATGGAGGAGGAGGGCTAAAAGCTTTTGCAGGTGTGTGATGGATGGGTTGAGTTATAATATAATATATAATTAAGCTAAGATGGTGTTAAGAGAGGAGGTCATTTAAGTAAGGGTCTAAATGTTGTTGGGTGGAGGTTGAGCTGAATTGTGGGGTTTTTGAAGGAGTTGGGTTGTTCACCAAAATGGGCAATGGGAATTTTGAGTACATGTCATTGTCTTGTGGGATGTCCTCACCCTCACCTATTTCGCGTGTTATGGTTAATTGCTCACGACTTAGCTTTGCTCATTTGTCTGTTTGTGTTGTGTGCTTACCAGTTAGCTTAATTAAGGATCTAAAAAGGAGAGGGATTTTGCAAACATGACTTTATTTAGCGTGTTGTATGATTGTACTGCTAGATTAAAGTTAATAACTTGGATACCAAAACCATACCCCACGGCTTTCCTACAACTCAAAAAGAGTTTGCGTTCCTTTCATGTTTCAGAAAGAACTTTAATTACAAGATTCCGTAGTTGTAGTTGTGGGAGAGAGACCGTCGCCTGACCATACTTGCCGATCTATCGGCCGGCTGTCTCTATCCCACAACTGAACGAGACTATAGTCGTTTGAGGCATTACATGTCAAACATTTTACTAACCACGTTGTTGGACCTTTTTTTCAATAAACGGTTGGATGAACCAACTAAATGGTTCAATTTCTATCTAACCACAAATCACTTGATTCCAAACAGTCAACCAGTGTGACAGATATAGCTTTGACAATCACTTGTATTGCTAGACATAAGATCAACTAGTGTGACAGATCTAACCATAATTCAATAGATTCCAAACAATCAAATATAACCATACAAACACGTCATTTCATTCTGCTGTATCAGCTGGTGTCTAGAAGTAAGTTGAGAGAACTTGCTTGGCATTGGGTATGTTTGAATGAATTTTGAACAGAAACACGAAAATAGGTTAAGTTCTGGCAATTGTACGACAGGGAGCTGAACTAAAGAGAATATATGTTGAAATCAGACTATTCGATTAAAGGCCGAATTGGACCTCTTTCTTTCTTTCTCAGACAGGCAATTTAGGTGCCAAATGCATTCACATAACCACATTCAGTGCTGAAATTTAGGAAAAAGCTAAAGGTTCTATCTTATTCAGTGGACATGATGGAAGGCTTTTATGGAAAAAACATGGTAAGGCTTCTATTGTAAACCAGAATGTCTTCTCAACATAAAGTCATAACAACTATGCGTATGACTAGTTACAAAAATACAGAGCTTTCTCAGTAATTACTAGTTACATATTCGTAAATCTAAAGACCAAAAACAAGATATCAACAGAAAATCCAGGCATTGATCATAGACTTATTCCTAAAGAAAAGGAACGAATAGCCAACGGTTGTGAACAACCCAGGATGCCCATATCGACACTAGTGCTTGTCCTCCTTGGGGACCTCCTTTGGTGAAACTTTTGATTCCAGTTCCTTGGTGATTCTGAGAGAAAATCCTAAGTCATATTAATGTCTCTTGAGATGCAAGAGAAAGCAGAGGAAATTGTTGCCATGATAATAAACAGGAAATTTCATATCACAATTCATTGAGTCCTCAAGATCATACTTAAGTGGTATCTTTCGGATTGTCCAAGTTTGGCTGGACAACTTTTTTCAACTCTACACCATCATTTGATAACAAATCAATATCGGTCTATTTTTAAAACAATGGACACAAAGGCCAGAACCAAGTAACAGAGTATTACTCTAACCATAAGAACGAGGCTCAATGCTGAAAAGCAAGAACAAAAGAAACTAACAATGGAATGAGTATCATCTTAAATATGCCTGGTCAGTAAGATAATCCAATACATCCAAGACATGAAAGACTAAACCCTTCAAACCCCCTTCAAATGTACATCTCTCAGGCCTCCTAACTTACTAACCCCCCACTTCTCCAATATCAAGAGAAAATAAAAGAAAACTATGATTCATGATAACATCATAAATTCTCATCCAATCTGAATATAAAGCATATCAAGTGTTGCAACTTGCAATCTACGGAGAATCACAACCCTTGCCCATTTTAAGAATGTAACTAGCACAGTAAAGCTGAACCATCTTCATGAAACATTTGCATTAGAATGAACTACCAAAAATTTTACAAAATTGCGTCCCTACTATGCAAACATATCAACAATTTTCAGAGTGAAAGTTTTTTTATAGAAGAAAATGAAAAATGAGAAGAGGATTACTTGGGGGCATTAGCAGATTCTTCTTCAAGCCACTTACGGATATGTTTGACATTGCGCCTGAAGATGGTAGCTGATTGCTTCACATCACTCCTCAGCAGAAGAACCACCGCACTTACACCAGCAACAGTCAGTATGAAGTTTGTCAAAGCCATACTTCTTGTGTTCCTTGCAAAACCTACTTCCAATACAATGACAGAAATGATTTGGAATGCACTCTGTTAAATGTAGTTCAAAATGATAAAACCCAAGTCTTAGCTAACTTAGCCAATAAGTTGAATTAAGTTGAATGATTCACTGAGTATCAGGAATATCACTATCCTTTTTGTACCAAGAAAACTGTATTAAAAACAATAACAAAAAATATGTCGGAAATTTGACATATCTTATTTTTAAAACAGCTAAGAAAATAAAACCCAAGTGAGGATTAGTTAAAATCAAGGTCCAGACTTCATGGTTAACATTTTTTTTCTATTCAAGCAACTTCAAATCTTCAAAGAAACATACCTCCTGCTTTATTTCGGGTGATTAGGAAATTAACGCATGTATAGCCCCAAGACACAAAACGGCATATGATGACTAAAAGATGAAACTCATTTTATACAAATAACAAGGGAAGGGCAGTATTTTATTTCCTAGAGAATTCACAATGATGTAGGGGCTATATGAAGTTATGAGCACTCCTAAATTACACGAACCCATCTAAAAAAAGTGCACTCAGAGACAAACTGAAGAGTAAATTAGCCTCTCAACTATGTAAACATGGAACCCATAGCCCCTACCTCAACTGGTTCAGTGTAAACATGGAAAACATGGCCGCTGAAAAACTATTATTATTATTATTTGATGAATTAAACCCTTTACTTGAATGAAATCACATGAAACGACAACAAATCAGCACTAAAATCTAAAATGAATTCAGAAAATTAAGTCTAAATATTAATAAATAAATAAATGAACCCCATAAATAAATGGTGGGTAAGAGATTACCAAAGACTTGTTCGTACTGAGAAGAAGAAACTTGGGACTGCTCCTGACAGAATAGCTTCGGGAGAAAACTGAGAGTCGGCAGCGCCAAAATGCGGTGGTGGCGAAGAAGAGGGACTTTGTGTATTTACTATTTTGTACATCGTATCGTATTAAAGTGCACCAAGGGTTTTGGATCAATGTGAATTTTGGGTTTCGGGTCTTTGTGATTAAACATGGATTGTCATTTCAAGGCCCGTTGAGGTTTTTGGTAATGGTCCTACGCATGGTTCAAAACCAACTATTGGACTTGGGTTCTTAGGGCATTTCCAGCAGTTGGAATCTTGCCATGGCAAAGGGGGGGCTAGGGGGGACACTATTCACAGGAATAGTGTCTGCCCTTGCAAAAAGTAAGTTCCACTTCCAGCAGTTGCCATGGCAAGGGGGGGTACTATTCAATTTTTTGTTTTTTTCACAAATTTGTTTACCTAAACAATTAATTTGGACAATATATTCGGATGAGATTTTCTGATAAAATATTCGGATAAGATTTTCAGATAAATTTTTTTTTCAAATTTCAGATAAATTTTTTTTCAAATTTCAGATTTTCAAATTTAATGCTTTGGTTGTGGTTAGTTTTTTTTATAAATTGAATTTTTTGAATAAAAAGGAATTTTATTTAATAGTTTCTTTGGTAACTCAAAGAAAACTAATACTACTAATACAATAAAATACATGACTTCCAACTAATTTTTAAAACAAATCATTAAAATACAATGAAATGAAAAGGCAAGCAAACTAACTTAAGGGTTTTCATCATTTAACCAATCCGTATTGCTAGGTCCATCATCACGAAAAAGTTTTCGTCTCATAATAGCCTTTCGTTCTAGCTTCCAATATTGTTTTGTTTCAGGAGACATGTGGCTTGTATCCATGGCCATGGTTTCCCGATCCTTCCTTTCTTCATTTTCTTTGCGTCGATACTCCCTTTCTTTGCGTACATACTCCCTTTCTTTAGCAAATTCTATTGCCATTGCCCTATCATCTTCTTGGACTTTCTTGTCTATTTCAATTCTCAAGGCGCTTTGCCTTGCAATTTCCTCTAAAAATTTAGAGGTATTACTCGTAGAATTAACTCCTCTCTTTGCCTTTGCCGCCTTCCTCCCCATAGGCCTCGGCTCCTTTTGAATGGGTAAGTCTTCACTCATAGGGGATTCCATAGGCGAATCCGAAGCTTGTGAATCATGAAGTGGCGTCTCGTTTAACACCACCGTTGGAGCCGTTGGAATAATGCTAAATCTTTTACAATGCTTCACCACCTCCCAACATTGGGTATGGGTGAAACTTTTTTTCCCTACTCCAGTAGCACCATAGAACATTTGAGCTTGCACAATCTATATAAAAAAAAATTGAATAAGCAAGGAACTTAAAAAAAAAATTGGTAATGCAAAAAAGATAAACATATGAATGAAAATCCAAGAAATATTAACAACATATAAAGAATGCAAGAAACATTCAAATAAATATTAGAAATACAAGAAATATATAAAAAATATATATAAAAATTGCAAGAAACATTCAAATAAATATGGAAATACAAGAAATATTAAAAACATATAGAGAATGCGACAACCATTTATATAAATATTAGAAATACAAGAAATATAAACAAAATATAAAGAATGCAAGAAACATTTAAATACATATGGAAATACAAGAAATATTAACAAAATATACCAATTGCAAGAAACATTAAAATTAAAATTAATAGGACATTAAAATTAATAAAATGAAAATTACAAGTAATTACCTCATCGCTTAGATTTTCCCCGCTTGCATGGTTATTCATCGCTTTTGTGAGGGCATCTCTCCATTTCCCCAACTCTTTGTTGAGAAGTTTCCACCGACTTGACAATGCGCTTTCCGTACGGGTGGAACCCGATCTTTCAACAAATGCGTGAAGAATTTTTTTCCACATTTGACTGAATTTCATCTCATTACCCGATATGGGATCATGACTAATTTGGATCCAACACTCACACAACAAGACATCTTCCATGACGCTCCATGCCCCTCCGGTTTCTTGAGAAAAAGCCATAATGATAGAGAAAAATTATACTTAAAAATGAAAACAATTTAGAGTAAAAAGTGAAGAAAATATTAAATAGAAAGTGAAAAATAGTTGGAGAAGGAGAAGATGTATGAGAATTTGTTGTTAAAACTGAAGAGTAGGTGTTGGTATTTATAGAAAAAAAAGTCAGTATTTTTTGGGATTTTTTTAAAAAATTTTACGATTTTTTTTCATCATTTTTTGCCTGGAAAAATTCCAGGCCGTCGGATTGGCTGACAAGGCGAAATCGGAAGGACGAGAGGCTGCCACGTCGCACGTTACCGTTGGGCGCAAAAGCTGACGCGCGATTTTGAATTTTTTTTAACGTTGGCGCGTGCATTGCACGCGCCAACGGTAAAAAAATTTTACAACCGCGTGCTGACGTCACGCTGGCATAAGCGATGACGTCAGCTCGCACTCGGGCTCTCGCTCGGGCTGCCTTCGCCTTGGGGCCAGCCCAGGCAAGTGGACCCCACACTGCCCGGGCCAGCCTTTGTTGCTGGAACTTGGATTTGGGCTCTCCCCCCCCCAGCCCGAGCCCGAGGGGGCTGCTGGAAATGGCCTTAGACCATCCCGAAAATAGGTCGGTTGGCTAGGATTGTGACGATACTGAAAAAGGGAAGACTTTTTTTTTCTTTTTCTTTCTTTCTTATTATAGGTGAAATTTAATTAATTCAATGATATATGCATATGTGATGACATATTCATTAGCCTCTTCTTCTTCTCAAGTCTTGTGTGAACAAAAGGCAGGATGCACTTTAATTTTTATTTTTATATTTTCCCAATTCTTTTTGCCGCGGGCTAGATCACTTGTGGAAGGTCTATGTTAAACAAAAAAGGATCTCATGTATGTCAACCAATTCACATTAACAAGGAACAACAAATTTGGTTACAATATTAATATAAATTCATCTATGCACAACGACCAACTATAAAAAAACAATTAATTGCGGAACTTTCCTAGTCATCTCCATATAAAACAGTACTCACTTTCATCCGTACCCGCTATAACTTTTTTTTCTTCTTCAATACAATCGATATCGGGGAATTGAGACATTTTTTACTACCTTCTTGATCGACACCATCCCCTTGCTCGCCATTGATTTCCTCGTAACCCTAGCCATTAAACACTCATCACAGCGATACATGTCATGGTCTTTTCCAATATAAACATACAGCCCCCACAGCTCTGGACTCTCCTTGGACAACTTTGGCGGTGGAAATTTGGCACCCCACTTTATAATCCCACTCATTATTTCATCATGCAATCCGCCATTATCATATGATCCTCTTTTGATTCCAATCGTCGACAACACCTTAGAAAGAAACTCGTACGACTTGCCGCATTTCCTCAACACAGGCTTCTCAAGTTCAACTATTTTTTCATGTTTTTCTTGATGTTGGTGGACGAGGGTGGTGTTACAACCGGTTCCTATATCATATGAGGAACCAATATCATAGTAGATATGATTGATATGATAATCAAACTTGATCAGAAATTGAGGCTCCGCGGGCGACGATGAAGAAGGTTGGTAGGGACGTCCTAGCAAGTCTGGTTCAAGGAGTAACACGTAAAAATCCATGCTATCCTTCTCGTGATGGACTTCAAAATCTTCGACTTGCACTGCCATGGCTCAATCAAAGAGAAGTAAAAAACATAATAATTTAGGGTTGATGTACATACGGTTAGGGTTTAGGTATGATATATATGTATGTGTGTGTGAATGTTTTGAACTTTTGAATGCTAGATAAATTTTAGGGATTTCAAAAAAATTGAAAGGCTATAATTTTGGGATTGTTTATGAAAAATCGCTGGGTAGCAAAAATGATAGGGTTTCGTAAATAGGTGGACTTGTTACATCTGAAATCTACCCTTTTTCCTTTCTTCCTTTTATGAAGAAAGAAAAATAAATATTTTTATCAGAAATATGTGGTGGTGGTGGGAACGAAGATAAGAAAGAATCTACAGTTTCAAAAAGAGAGTCAAAGAAGATTGCATTAGGTAACTAACGTGTAAAATCTTGCCAAACAAAAGGGGATGTGAGATAATGGTTTCGGAATCAATGGCTTTAGTTTGGGGGCATGTTATCCAATCCCCTCCACAACGACCGCACCAAACTTTGGTGCTTTCTTGTCCCACAAATATCTATTATAAATTTGAAAATTTCAATGCTATGATGATATATGTACTAAACAAAAACTCTTAATATTTATATATTCCGAAAGCTCAATCCTATATAATGCGTGCGTTTGTGACATGTTTATCGGGTAAAATCAATGATGCCATACAAGTTTAAGTTCAAATAATGTATAGACACAAATACACAAAAGCGAGATTGAGATATTTATATTATCTAATAATTTGATTTGATTTGATTTGATTCAATAAGACCAGTTGGCTAATGCACCGTGTCTGTCCCGAGTTATCTATTCCATGTCCGTACATAAAAATGTCCAATTAAAAAAAAATTCATGGATATTGAATTAATAGTGCCGAAAAAGAAGTAGTTGGTTAGTTGTCTCGGAATCTCATGCCTGTTCCAACAAACAACTTGATGATTCAGTGTGGGCCCAGCCCATAACTTACTAGTGGGGCCCTTGGTTATGGGTTTGGGTTTGGTCATCGTGGAATCTGGACCCCTGGTCCCTCGTAAAGGACACACCAAAAAAGAAGAAAAAAAAAGTAGGCGTACGCGGCATCAATGCATCATCCTTGAACCCTCCAAGTGGCAGAATCCCAGATGCCCAACTCTGTCTATACCTTAATGTGACCTAAATATTTAGTTACTTGCCCATCGGCCCACCTTTTTTATTTATGGATATATAAAATGACTCACAGTTTTGGTGTTTTGTTTTGTTAATTTTCATTTAGGACATTTCCAGCAGTTGAAATCTTGTCATGGTAAGGGGGGGCTAGGGCTGACACTATTCACGGGAATAGCGTATGCCCTTGCAAAAAGTAGGGTCCACTTCCAGCAATTGCCATGGCAAGGGGGGGTACTATTCAATTTTTTGTTTTTTTTCACAAATTTGTTTACCTAAACAATTAATTTGGACAATATATTCGGATGAGATTTTCTGATAAAATATTTGGATAAGATTTTCAGTTTCAAATTTCAGATAAATTTTTTTAGAGTTGAATAATTAAACTTGAAAGTGAAAAAAATTTAGAGTTAAAAGTGAAAAAATTATTGAGTAGAAAGTGAATAATTAAACTTGAAAGTGAAAAAAAATTTAGAGTTGAAAGTGAAAAATTATTGAGTAGAAAGTGAATAATTAAACTTGAAAGTGAAAAAATTATTGAGTAGAAAGTGAATTTGTTGTTAAAAGTGAAGAGTATGGATTGGTATTTATAGAAAAAAAATTCAATATTTTTTGGGGTTTTTTTAAAAAATTTTTGCCTTAAAAAATTCCAGGCCGTTGGATTGGATGAAAAATTGGAAATAAGAAGGACTAGGTTGCGCCACATGGCAATGGAAAGAAAAAAAAATTGCGCTTGCTGACATCAGCCTACCTTCGGGCTGGAGCTCGGGCTCCCCCTGCCTTTGAGCCAGCCCAAGCTCGTGGACCCCACTTTGCCCAGGCCAGCCTTTGTTTAGGGCTGGAGCCCGAGCCCTCGGGGGTTGCTGGAAGTGGCCTTATTAAATTAGTTTAGGCTGTTGAAACTTGCTTTGACAAATCAGATCTCATTAATTATAAAATTCCTCTTGAATTTCGTCATATAGTTGAATTTTTTTTTTGTTCCTCAAATATTATAATCAAGATTTCTATTTATTTGATAAACATTTAGGATTTCAAATTTAAATATATTTGTATATGAACATATAAGCATTATTAGATTAATTCAATTAAAAAAATATTTAGATGTTTGATAAAATCCAAAATAAATTAGGAAAATTCAATCTCAATTTTAGAATTTGAGGTGGGCTGAGGACAAAGTAAGGGGCATGTGGGTTCTTCTGGCATAATAAGTGAGTGCTTTTGTCTCCCCATTTGTCTATTTTGTGTGCCATGTGAGGTAATTCCATCTTAATCCCACTTATAATATAAACCCAACTTGTCTTTTGACTTTTGTATGCTTAATACAATTTTTTTTTTCTTTCCCCTTTATTTTGTTGAAGTAATTCACTTTTATGACACATGCCATAATGAAATGTTACAATTGTGCAGATCGTAGTGCTTGTGGGAGGAGTAAAAAAGCCAGGGATCAATGTAAAAGAAAAATAGTGTACTTGTTAAACACTCTCAATTGATGTCCTAAAATTTATTTATTTATTGGCTAGATTTGATATCCTAAATTTTTTTTCTATCCTCTTTTGTTTGGCAACTCAGAAGAACACATTTCTTTGGTCCTGAAATAACATAACAAGTTGGAAAAATTTGTAGCATACAAATTCAAAAATATAATACAAATGGTTTTCCTTATTCGCATGAAAGAAAAGTTTTGAAGATATTTTAGTGCACATTATGAGTGTTCAAGGTTTAGGGTTCGAAATGAAAGTAACATCTAAAATAAGATGGGAATGAAAATTAATTTTTTTGTTCCCTTGTTGTAAAACAATGTAAATTTACATTCCAAAAAAAAACACATGGATATATATATATATATATATATATCAATGGTATGGAAACACGTTACACCCTGAATTTGTTTATCAAATGATGTATAAGCATTTCAGGATATGAGATCCAACCCGTAACAACACAAACAAATTTAGTGAGCTTAAAATGAAATTGTTTCTCCCAAAAAAAAATTGTGAATATACTGAAAAAAAAGTTATTGGGACATCATTTGCTGCATTATTGTTTTTGGCACACTCAAATTGAAGACAAAAAAAAAAAAAAAAAAAAAAAAAAAAATTTCCTTTGGTGGTCAAAAAACATTGTAATATTGAAAAAGAGTGAAGTTGGGCCAAATTGGGCCGGACCCATCCCAAGCGTCCCCGCCATTGTAGTGAGAGCCTCCCAGTCCGATCCTCCAAGTCTTCGATCTACTTTTCCACAGTCCCACTTTCTCTTCAGAGCTAGAGAGAGAAAGAGCGAGATTCGCATACGCAGATAAGAGACTAGAGAGAGATATATGGATATAATATCGCAAATAAAATAATGGTTTTCATTTTTATTTTTTATAATTTCTGCCTTTCATGGAAAGAGAGCGAAAGCTCTAAAAAGAGAAAGCCAAAGGTAGTTGGAGAGAGAAACCGAGGAGGAGAGAGAGGGAGAGAGAGAGACTGCCAAGGGTTTCAGTTTGGTAATGGTGAATTAGCTCTATAGCGAATTGGCCCTATACGAAGGACCCTAACACCAAACAGCAACAATCGCAATCAGAGAAGGGGCTCGTCGGATTTCCCTGTACGTTTCCTCATTGATGCTCTTCGGCGGTGGAGCCGATGGTTGGAAATGGATCGTGTTCGCGGAGGCTAGCACCGGCGGCGGCGGCGGCGGTGGGAGAAGCGGTTCGCTCATCGGCGCCAGCGTCGGTGGCGGAAGCGGCTTCTGGTCTTGGACTGCTCCCCCCAATGTCGGCTTAGCCGTCGCAGTCACGGCCATGGCCGGTATCGCCTTGGCCGCGACAGTCGTCTACTCTCGTAGGTAAAGAAAACAAACAAAATTCCCCCAAAAAACTGAATCGAAATCCCTAATTTGTTGTGAGAGGAAAACCCTAGATTCTTCGCTAGCTAGATAGGTTGATAGGTAGACATTACACACATAGATGATTACGCATCAGAAACCCTTAATGAGAGCCCTACGGCGGAGTCACACTTCCTCTAATTCATCTCCACCGTCGTCAAATTCCACATCTTCACCGTCATCGTCGTCGTGGATTCATTTGCGATCGATTTTGTTAGTCGTTGCTTCCTCGTCTTCCTTTCCAGTTTCCACTGATCGGTGAGTTTTCACTGTTCCTCCTCTTCCCCCTATCTCTGCCCCTTAAATTTGGTCCCATACACTCTATTTGGTTACTTAGAAATCGTATGAATAGGCAAAAAAGGCTGGGATTTTTTATGGTTTCGTTTTCACATTTACTAAGCACCCAAACGGAGTTTAATCATTTTAATTTGGAAATGTGCTCCTGGATCCGATCTGGAAGTATCCAATTGATTCCTTTGTGTCCAAAAATGTCATGTTCGGCTATTTATTCCTCAGTCAGTCTTCCTGTACTACTCTCTCTGTGGGATTCAGATTCAGATTATTGCTTCGTTGCTATTCTATATTGGTCGGATTGAATTGTGCCTTTTGTACCATGCATTAGTTAAGGACTTTTGGATATGAAATTGGGTTCAATTAGGTATTAGTGTGTCACAATTTTAGAGGTCTCTGATTCATAAAAACAGTGCTTCATAATGGGTTTCCTGTTTAGTCATAAACCTTAAACTGTCCATCAAAATTATTCTTTCTTTTTTGGTGGCAATATTGTTGTTCATGCCTTCCTAGTGGACCTTATTTGTACTGATGAATTGCACATTGTTCTTTCCTAATATCTTCGTTTGTCTATATACCACTTTGGATTATTAGATACGTTTGTTTTAATTATGCTTTTTCCTCATATGAAATGTAATCACTTTTTTTTCATTCTTTTTTCAGGGGTAGTCTTAAATCACCTTGGTCCCGTAGGAGAAAAAAACATGCCCTTCTACCCAAACAATGGAAAAGTTTTTTTACACCTGATGGGAAACTCACTGATGGTGGTCTCAAGTTTTTGAAGAAAGTTCGCAGTGGAGTATGTTATTGACTTTTGTCAGACCTACTTTCTATTTTCTGTGTAATTGTTTTTAGGTGTTTCTCCTTGTCATTAATGTATGTGCAACAGCTGTTTGATATTAATCACTTCCTTTCTGATGCAGGGTGTTGATCCAAGAATCCGAGCTGAAGTGTGGCCATTTCTTCTTGGAGTGTAAGTTTTTTTTATTTTTATGTCATTGCATTAATGTTTCAAGTTGTGTATGCTATATATAAATTTGTCAGTGTGAGATTTAGAAATCTTTTGAGAACTTCTTCCAATATCGAATATTAGTTTGCCTGGTCCTGGGGAATGGTTGGTTCCATGGACCCTTGCAGGTGTTTGTTGTGAATTATGATGAACTTCTCATCTATCACCCAGTTATACTTTGTCTTTTCTGGTGTGTCCCTGTCTTGTATTCTCTGAGTTAGATTACATGCACTTAGAATAGAACCATCATAACAGTTGATTTTTTCTCTGGTATCATTGTGCATTTTCTGTGTTTATCTAGTGGCTATGATTTGGTGGTTGAAATACCTATGTGTATGTTTAAGTTCCAGTATTTATTAAAGTCAATTATCATAGCAATCTGCATTAAGTGCACGGTGTTTAGTTATGATGAGGATTTCTTTTTGTAGTTTTTTTTTCCATTATTTATCTAGCTTAGTCTGCTTTCTGGAAGTGTAGCCATATTTCAGACCTTTGATTCCAGTTTTTTGCATAAATGATAGTAGAGCCTGACCTCTATTGCCCTGTAGTCTCTCAAGAAAATGACATTATAAAAGCTTTTTTCTTTGGCTGCTGGAAATGTTTGCCTGTGGATTATGGTGCTGGCTAGTTTGACATTCATTTGCTCTTTATCAACAGCTATAACGTGAACAGTTCCATGGAAGAAAGAGAATCTGTTAAAAATGAGAAAAGGTATTCATTCAGTTCTTTGGCCTCTTCCCATACATATGCATTACTCTTCCCATACATATGCATTGGTGATTCTCTCGCTCTCTCTCTCTCTCTCTTACATTCTTTTATTCATTTGCAACGCAGAAAAGAATACGAGAACTTGCGGAAACAGTGCCGGAGAATTTTAACACACAGTGATAAGAGCTTTAAGTTGGACGAAGCTTCTGGAAACAGTAGCACCGAGAGCAGTGGGGATTTCAGTCAAGTTTTAGATTCTTCTGGCCAAGGGGATGTTGCAAGTGCCAGGGAGTCCATTTCAACTGAGGGAGGAAACCAGTTGGCCAAGGATCCTGATAAGCCGGTTGGCCATCAAGGTGTTCAGTCTTCTAAATCATGTGAAGGAGATGATGAGAAGAGTGGGGTCACCTGTGAAGATGCCTGTGCTGGCGGCGAGACAGAATCAACTGATTCTGATTCCTCTGAAGACGCTGATATCACTCGACCATTACTCGCCACTGAAGTAACTGGAGAAAATTATGTTGATGAGAGTGCTAAGGAGAGCTCCTCTCCCTCCATTATAGAAAACAAGTCCAAATCCCACACAGCAGAAGATTTTGCCACATGGCAGAGGATCATCCGCCTTGATGCTGTGCGTGCAAATGATGAATGGATCATTTATTCACCATCACAGGCTGATGTATCAGAGATCAAGGCACAAAGACTAGCTGAGAGTGTCGGGCTGAAGGATTACGATCACTTGGAGCCGTGCAGGATTTTTCACGCTTCTCGCCTGGTTGCAATCCTGGAAGCATATGCGGTGTATGATCCCGAGATTGGTTACTGCCAGGGTATGAGTGATCTACTTACTCCAATCATCTCAGTGATGGAAGAGGACCATGAAGCCTTCTGGTGCTTTGTGGGTTTTATGAAAAAGGCACGGCATAATTTCCGGCTGGATGAGGCTGGAATCCGAAGGCAGCTTGGCCTTGTTTCCAAGATTATCAAGTGCAAAGATGTTCCTCTCTACAGACACCTGGAGAAGCTTCAAGCGGAGGATTGCTTTTTTGTGTACAGAATGGTGGTGGTTCTCTTCAGGAGGGAGTTGAGCTTTGAGGACACTCTTTGCCTCTGGGAGGTAATGTGGGCAGACCAGGCTGCAATCAGAGCAGGGATCGCCAAGTCTGCTGGGGGGAGGATGAGACTAAGAGCCCCTCCTACTGATGATCTCTTGCTCTACGCAATAGCGGCCTGTGTGCTACAAAGAAGGAAGCTAATAATAGAGAAGTACAGCAGCATGGAAGAGATCATGAGGGAGTGCAATAGCATGGCCGGCCGTCTGGATGTTTGGAAACTTTTGGATGATGCCCATGACTTGGTGGTGAACCTTCATGACAAGATTTAGAAACACCCAATGCTAATGGTAGGCTTTGGTTTTTTCTTTCTTTCTTTTCCTTTTTAATTATTTTTAATTTGATGTTGCACCCGCTGAGGATCCCTTTGAAAGCAAGGATCTTGAGGTCATGTTCACGCTGCTTGAAACAAGCATCTGATAGGCACTTTCTGTATTGGGAGTAAAATTATGGGATTTTTATATATAAATTAAATGTATTGCCCGCACTCTGTGCTTCTGCAGAGTGACTGTGGCACAGCAATGCAGAATTAGTAATTCAGATCAACCTCACTCCCATTCATAAACGAATTTTCCACTTTTGAGTGGGATGATATTGGTTCTTTCGCTTCCTTTTTTTTCTTTTTGCCATAGGAAGGAAACTTTCAAGGAAGTGAGTCAAGTGTAACGTGTCTCAATTTACGATATTTTGAAAATCGATCTACGTTTTGAAACTAAATAAATGATTTCTGACGTATAATATTTATAATTTCGAGTATCAATAGGATTTGATTTGAGATGGTATTTATATTTACAACTTTAGCACAACACTCATCGCTAACAAGGTTGCTTTTACTAGTCTAGATTGAAAGAGTGGGAGTGTATATATATTGTTTTCTGCTTCTTGTGTTGTGAGGGATCATTCATGACAGTGGCGTCAGTCGGAGTTGGAGGACTGCTTGTTGCGCTGGATTATGTCGTTAATGTTGCGATGGGCAGGTGGATTCTTTTCAATTTTAAGCCCCTCCTTAAAAAACTCAAATACAGACTAGACCGTTTATCAACAGAACCTATCCAACAGATATTAACAACAAGAAGGCTACTTTTCAAGTTATCAAAGCTTAGTATATGGTCTCATAAAAACAAGAAGAAGATTAGTATATGGAGCTGCAAAAGCACAGAGCTGCGTGGTTACACGGACCAACTTGTTCGATTGGATATTTATCTCAGAATGCTGGGCCAAAAAACTAAACCGGGAAAAGCTAGGAATACGAATCTAATCAACTTGACTAAACCAGTATCTGCTCATTATTTATAATTGTACCAATGGGAATAAAGATTGACAGTTTTTCAGAATTTTATTACTTCGTCTGATTTATTTTCTTCTGTTATTTGGTTTGTAAAGTTATTACTTTTTTTGAGTAAAAGAAATATTTTATGAAAGGATTAATTGCCATTTTGCCCCAGTTTCATAATGGTCAATCTACTACTTATGCTATTTTTTCATGGACTTGATGGCATTTGAAAATTACTGCAAGTTTTTCCAGCTATCATTAGATTGGAAAGAAAGAGGATTTGTGGATTTTTAAGCATAAACGATGTCGTATAGTACTTTACTTTTAAAAATATAAAGGAAACCAAATCCTGGCCGCAAGATTTATAGTGGACAGCTAGGATTAAAATCTCAGGATTATTCGTATTCTTTACGAGTAAAGAAAAAATATATTTTAAAAAAAATATATAAACGGTAATTTCTTTTGTAAAAGCTGGTAATATGTTCCCAACTTACCCATACATTTTTTACTGTGTTAATGAATTGGAAGTAAAAGTACGTTTATGACTTGGTTACTTTATTTATTTAATCCCTCCTTAATCCGTAGAGCTGCGTAATTTGATATTTTTTTTAGCTTCCCTCAGTCTTCGTCTTTGAAACAACCGGATCTCATCTCTCTACGACCTTTCTGTGTGTTCGCAGTCGGATCAATCTTAGAAATCTCATCGCTCGTCCGATCTCTCACAATGTCCGCGGCACCGGAAGAACCCCAGTCCCAGAACGGACTCGAACCGGACCCGACGACAAATCCGAAACCCGAATCCGAATCAGAACCAGTGGCACAGCCTGAAGCTAAACCAGAACCCGAAGCTAAACCCGAGCCAGTGCCAGAGCCCAAAGCTAAACCCGAGCCAGTTCCAGAGCCCGAAGCTAAACCGGAACTCCATCCTGAACCAGAAGCAGTGGTAACCGATGGTGCGGATCCGAAGGTGGAGGAAGTCGTAGAAGCCGCGATCCAATCGAATAACCAAGCAAGTGCGCATCCAGAGCTGAAAAAGGACGAAGGAAGCCGTACATTCACAATGAGAGAGTTGCTCGGTGGCTTGAAAAATGACCAATCGAACGACGTCGCTAATGATTCTAGCTCCCCATACAGTTACAGGTTTGCATTCTTTCATTTTATTGTTTCTGCATCTCTTTTAGTGGTGCAATTGTGCAAAGTTCTGTTTTTTATGCTTGAATTTCGGTTATATGTAGACAATTGCTCCAATTCGTAATATTTGCCTGCAATACCTGCTTTCGGGTTTTCTAAGACGGAAATTCAGACAAAGAATGATAGAAGTTTCACTTCAAATTGGTTATGGTTGATTAACATTTAACTGTTTTTGACTAAATTTTTTCAGTTTTAGTCTTACATCAAACTATTATGAATGAAATTTGTGGTTGGGGCGGCAAAAATGTAAATTTTATATGGTCAGAGTAGTGGATAACCTTAATACCTTGTTAATAATTTATTTACAACTTATTTGCCACCAATTTGTGGGTTTGAATTGTATCAGTGAAGAAAGCCCACAGGAACAGCACTCAGAGCAGAACAATGCTGCAATGGAGTTGATCAATAGCGTCACTGGTGCCGATGATGATGGTCGGTCTCGCCAACGGGTTCTTACTTTTGCTGCAAAGAGGTACTGTCTTCTTTATCTTTTCTTCTTACTTGTCAGCTTGGTAGGTAATAGTATAATTTTATAATTTACTACCAAAACAAAGCTTGAGTTGTTTGCTATGTGCACGATCACACTTCCTTTTTATTTTATATTTTATGGAACTATGCGATGCTTGCAACCACAGGTTGTTTTCCTGGAGTGCTGATTTCCTTAAATTCTTTTTTGTATGTAAATTGTGTAGGTATGCTAGTGCAATAGAGAGAAATCCAGATGATTATGATGCGCTATACAATTGGGCACTGGTTCTTCAGGTTTGAGATACTGTCTTGTTTGATTCCTGGTTGGATTTAGTTATTGTTTTGATAATTAAATTTCAACCAGATGGCTTTCTTTGTTTTTAATTATTTATTAGCAAGAGAGTTGTGAAAATCATGTTATTTTATAAGGGTTGGAGGCAAATGATAGTAAGAACAATATGCTCATTGTCTACTGCTATATGTGGTTTCCTAAGCTAGAGAACATCACTCATTCTACATTAGTCAACATTTTCCCACTCACTCTACATTAGTCAACGTTTTCTGACTGGGTCATATGTTTGGAATGAAAAAGGCTAAATTTACCTTACATATGTTGACTCTCTCCTCCAATAATGTATGCTTAGATGTTTCAGTTTCTCTATAAATGATTTCATAACAGGAAGTTTCAATTGAAATTCTTATTTTTAAGCACATTTTGTCTTCCTCTGAATTGCATCAGTGCGAATTACTCTGTTAATCAATCCTCGTTTGGAATGCAGGAAAGTGCAGATAATGTTAGTCCAGATTCTACTTCTCCTTCTAAAGATGCTTTGCTTGAGGAGGCTTGCAAAAAATACGATGAGGCAACTCATCTATGCCCAACACTTCATGATGTATGTTTGCATATCCTTTGTCAATATAATCTCATTAGATGGCTAGTGAAATTAGTGATCTCAAAAGTGCTATCATTACTTGATAATTTCTTATTAATTATATCACTTGTGTGAAAATAATGTGTTATCATTACTTGACAAGGCTTTCTATAATTGGGCTATTGCTATCTCTGATCGGGCAAAAATGCGTGGTCGTACAAAGGAAGCTGAAGAACTATGGAAGCAGGTTAGATTACAACTTCAGTACTTCAGCCTTGCAAGATATACAGAGTCTTAGAAAAGGTTCTGCTCTTGTTAGTTTCTTCTGCCACTGTTGTGGCAACACTGAGACTTGGCAACTGGATTCTAACACTTGGAAGCTGGATATGACTCTAATATTCAAAAGTGAATAGCATTTAATATGAATAATCTGCTACTTTTTATCTGCCTCATTTTGTTGTAACGTTAGGACTTAAGGACTAGGTGATCTTTATGAGCTTTAGGAAATTAGGAACTTAGGAGTCTGTTACTTAAAGCAATTTTGTTTCTCGTCAGATATGGCGGTGCTGTGCTGGCATCACGTTGGAATAGTTCTCATTTCCCTTCAAATCATAACCAACATGAGTTCTTTTTTTCTGTAAGAAAACATAATGTCAAAAGGGTGAAGTGATTCTTACCATCTCTTAATTTGATTTGCAGGCTACAAAAAATTATGAAAAAGCTGTCTTGCTCAACTGGAACAGTCCCCAGGTTTGACTTAAGAAATTGTTGTATTAGGCCTTTTCCAATTTCTTATGATATTCTGAGAAAACCAACTTCTTGTACAGTTTTTTCCTCTTATATGACTGTTCGTCTTATTGCCATTGACTTTAAACCCGCTTCCAGAGAGAGGGAGAGAGTTATGAAGTCCTTCTGGCCAGATGAAAGGAACACAATGTACTTGTTTGCCTCTTGTTTCTTTGTACTAACTCCATGTTATATCTTTCAGGCACTTAACAACTGGGGACTTGCTCTGCAGGTATCTTAAGTTGCATTAGTATTGGCTTTTAATTTAGCTTCTTTTAGAAGAAAGAAAATCTTGTTGAATTTTCCCCTTGCTCAGCATGTATTTATGTTCTATGTTACAAACTCCAGTTTGACTTTTTTCTTCTTTGATTATGCAATTTAGGAACTCAGCGCGATTGTTCCTGCACGAGAAAAGCAAACAATTGTAAGAACTGCAATTAGTAAGGTATTATGGTTGTTTGGAGACACCAGAATGATTGGTTGAATTTGGTGGGAAAACCAGAAAATTATTTTCATGTCTGAAGTGTAAGTTCCTCATTTATACTGCCATGACTTAATTTCACTTTCCTCTGTTGCAGTTCCGCGCAGCTATTCAGTTGCAGTTTGATTTTCATCGAGCAATTTACAACCTTGGAACTGTATTGGTTAGTTTGTTACTCATCCTTAATAATTTAGGATAATGCAATACTCCATAAATTAAAAGGATCAGTTTCCTCTATACCGGGTAACAAGAGATCACTAGTTCTTTTATCTAATAATCCCATGTAACTTGAATCACCAAAACTTTTCTTCTTCCTACTTTCAGTATGGATTAGCAGAGGACACACTAAGAACTGGGGGATCTGGCAGTCCCAAAGAAGTTTCACCTAATGAGTTGTACAGTCAATCTGCTATCTACATTGCAGCTGCACATGCTTTGAAACCAAATTACAATGTAAGGATCCTATGGTTTTCTTTCTTAGTCAACTTCATTTGATATTTTCTCAAAATAGAATACCCAATTATACCATAGAAGGAGAAAACAACAGCACTTAAGTTAGAGAGACAGGATTTGCTTAATTTTATTTTCCCCTTGATGTTTAAGGATGTGAACTTTGATTGTTCATGCTAAGTTTTTGTGATTAATTACTTACAGGTTTACAGTAGTGCCTTGCGGCTGGTGCGATCCATGGTAAGTACTAATACCAATTTCTGCCATAAACTCTCTAGGCTTTTGGATAAATATTTTTTGGTCAGTTATGAGATTGGTGTCTAGCTGTTCTCCATGAGAAATGGTCCTTATTATGGAATTATGCATGATGTGCATGCTCATTTTGGACCTCACCTTTGGCTGGGGATGATGCACGTGGGATTTAAGCTAGTCACTCAGTCCCATAGCTCTCAGTGGTCGTACTTTGATGTCGTTTAGTTCTTGCCTTCTTTTTTATTTGGTTGCATATATGTTCTAATAGAACTCAATCTTTACAGCTTCCTTTACCTTATCTCAAAGTTGGATATCTTACTGCACCACCAGTGGGGAAATCAATTGCACCTCATAGTGATTGGAAACGATCACAATTTGTTTTGAATAATGAAGGGCTTCAACAGGTAATTCTTTATCAGTTTTTTATTGTATTAAGTGAAGAAATATGATGTGCACAGTGAATCTCAGAATTAGATGTACATTTTACTTCAGGTATATTCTTTATCTATTTGTTATTATATGTGTTCTTTTTATTTATTTACTTCCATTCAGCAGGTTAACAAAGGTGAGCAAAAACAAAGTGTCTCTGGCAGATCAGGAGAAGCAGCTATAAAAGTTGACGTTCCAGATATCGTTTCTGTTTCATCATGTGGTGATCTGACTTTACCACCTGGTGCAGGCCTCTGCATTGATACAATTCATGGACCTGTCTATCTGGTAAGGAACACCTTTTGATACAGAGAAATCCTTTATATGAGTAGAATGATGATTAGAAAATGTCAACAAATCATTAAAATTGTATTGGCATTCTGTCAAAGTGCATAAAAAGTGCGCAGAAAACATTGCCTTTTTATATTAAAAACCCATTCTAATGTGAATGTTCAACCTCCAGGTTGCTGATTCGTGGGAGTTCCTCGACGGATGGCTCGATGCAATCCGTTTAGTTTACACAATCTATGCACGGGGTAAGAGTGAGGTTCTGGCAGGTATTACAACAGGCTGATTTTTTATATAATTTTTAAAAAAATGTATCACCAGTTCCATGATTTTGTTTTGAGTGATGTATAATTTTTGTATCGAGGATGACTTGTTCAAATAAAATCTGTATATTATAAAATTTGGATACGTTCAATACATTTTTTCTCTGAATGGTCAGATTATTTTACTCAATTGGTTGTTCTTTCTATCTCTAGAAAGCTAAAAGGAAAACTGGCATTTACATACAGTTGCAACTCTTCTTATCTCTCTTTTGATGTCTGCATCTCATCCCTGATCGCCATTCGCATTGAGCTGGATCTGGCTGCTTTTCATATGAAAGAGAGCCGATTATCACGAGTGTCACCGGCATAGCAAATGTATGCGCTTCCTCGCACACCAAGAAGGGTATACGATATGCCCTACTGAAGGCTTTCTCAAAGACAAGAAGGCGTTTCCAGGAAAGAGTTTTTTCGTTTTATCACAAATATCGCACCAATTCGTATGAGGCTTTGAGCCACTATACCCATTCAACAAAAGTAAAAATGTAGAGGAATATTGCTAAGTGGTGGTCAATCACCCACCAAAGTGGGATGGGGACAAGCTGAAATTTTTTATTGTTTAGGGATACAACTTCTTGCCATTTTCCTGGTACTAAATAACATCCTGTCACATTTTTTAGAATCAAACTATCTATCCCTGTGAAAGTGCCCTTTTCAATGTTGCTACCCATTTCTCATTGACCACATTTGTAAATCCCTTCAAACTAGGAACCCAAAAATTTCATGCACATGGGTGGTTTTACTTTGGCCAGAGCAAGAACTGAAGCTGGGAGAGTCCACAGCCCTTCCCCACAAATTAATCCGGAAGCAACTGCCGGAACCATCAGCACAGCCTTCTTGCTGTCAAGCTTGTGCCATGTGAAAACGATCAGACTTCCGATACACATATCAATGGCAAAGTATGCCCCAACTAGAAATGGCACACCCATGACCATGGGAAGTGGCATATATTTTCCAATCTTGGGTGAAAAATCTCGAACCAGGTTAACTATCACCGCGAAAGCAAAGAAGCCGTAACAGAGCTGCAGGCAATGCTGAGGCAGCGCCGAGAAGCCTTGAACACCTAGAATTGCCATGTTTCTGTAAATCAACGCATAAGGCGCTTTGAACTCTCCATGTGGGTTTCCCACATCAAATGCCTTGTAGAACAAGAAGAAGCTGAGAGGAGCTGTCACACAGCCTAACGCAGTGCCAAGGGTTTGGCTCACAAACATTGCTCTAGGAGAGGTGAAAGTTAGATGGGCTGTCTTGAGATCCTGCATCAGAATACAAGCCACAGAAACAACTGATTTGATGAGGCCACACCCTGCAAGCCCTGCCACCACACCGTGTTCTTTTCCGGTCAATGCTGCTAGCACAAAGAGGGCAACTTTTCCGTAGTTATAGGCCATGTTTATATCAGTGAGACCAGCTCCATATGCATTGCAGAATGCAAGAGATGGAGCAAGCATGTAGGCTACAATGACATAATACCATTTAAGTTCTGGGAACATCATCGGGATAGCAATTATGGAAATTATGGAGAAGACAGCGTATCCGGCAACTCCAACCCACATGGGAATATTTTCACTGAGGAAGATTTCATTTTGTTTTTCTTCAATTGGCTTCACCTGGCCATCCACAGCTGCAGGAAGAGAAGTGGATATGTCTATTAGAGTTACTGTTGGTGATTAGTAAAAACTTTAGTGCGTCTCTGTGAGAACCACTAAAATAACTGTTAACTAAGTAACATATTAAGATTCTTGTTGAAAGGGAATTGTAAGGCCACTCTCATTACCCAAGTTGAGATTCTTGTTTTTCATTCTGTCATGAATGTTAACGATGGTTGAAATCAGTATCTTGATGAAATTGTAAAGTCCATCGCCAAGGATTAGAGCAACCGATAGAAATACCTGAAAAAAGTTATGGAAAACAGTGAGTCAGTGAGTATGAGATAACCGGTTGTGTACAATCATACATCTATCTCTCTCTCTCTCTCTCTCTCTCTCTCATCACATGGATGAGAGAGACAGACATGATTTATTGTATACAACCGGTGATAGGGAAGTTTTTGTGAAGACGAGGACAAAGTGGATAAAATTTTAAAGGATTGAGGGAAACCTTGTAACCATATAAACTCTTCATGTCATATTCATCTAAACTCTCAGAAAACCAGTGTCCTTTAAGCTGGCCAATAAGCGGCCACATTACTCCGAAAGAGAGAACAGATCCAAGAAGCAAGGACAAGTTTACTAGATGGGAACATATCATGCCTGCTCCAACAAAAGTCATACTAAAATCGAAGTAGAATCTGCAATCGATAGTAGCCACAATTTGCAAAGGATCAGTTACAGCTAGCAGAAGCAAGGGAACAGAGTGATTGAAGAAAATCCATTGATACGTACGTGTGTTTCCAAGCTTGCAATCCGAATGTGGGGAATTGGGCGAATCCACATTCTTCTTTGGCACTGTAAAACCACTTGAAAAATCCCCACAAGAAGCTGACTGAAAAGTACTTCATGAAACCATGCACTTGCTTCCTGCAAATGGTCAGAATTTTCTGTTGAGGTTTGATTCTAACTTGTCTTTCTATGAAGAAAAAGAAGAGTACTTGTGGAAGATGTTTACTTAGCCATCTTATCTCCCCGAGTGTGGAAGCCATTGATGAGAACAGCAGTTGCCAAACCACTTGGATATGTTAATTTCAGGTCAACTATCATGATCTGTGAAGGAAGGAAAGTCCCTTAAAAAAAAATCTACTTCAAAGTTCAGGGCAAAAGAAATCATATACATGAGAAAAAGTTGAAAATGAAACTGAAGACTAAAAGACCAATATAGAAATACCTTCCTGAGAGGAATTAAGACAAAAAGGCCAACAAAGCAGACTAGAAAAAGGAAGCCAGTCATCCAAACAAGCCCAGGTTCCTTGACAGCAGATGCAGAGTTTCCCTCTGTGTTCACCCCAGACAACTCGTATGTCTTCTTGTTTAATCCCAAGAGATAGGATGCAAATCCACCTGTGTATCCCAAAAGCATAAAGATATATAATGATTAAGATTAATTATAAATTAAAACAACTTAAAGAAGAAGAAAAGAGAACTAATAACAAAGCTTAGTTTAATATGTGAAAGCCAAATACCTCCCACAGCAATACTATAACATGCAACTGCACAAGTCTGTATCATAGTATTCTCTTGCCGGGTGAAGGGTCTTGATTCAAATCCTGCCTTTTGAAGCAGGTTTGTCCATGTCCGGATAAACACAAAGGCAAGGAGAGCAGCAGAGACATTGAGGTTAGGAACAATCCCAGTTGTGAGGTTTAGCTTCATGGCTATCACGCTGTACACCATTCCAATCACTATGCTTGCAACGACTCCCCGTACCGTTATCTGCTCTGTCCATGGAAGGATTGTCCCAGCTAACTCCTCGGGTTCGATTACTGTCTCGTCTTCCACGTCCTCTCTCTCAATCTCCTTCTTCTCTCTTGCTTCCAAATCCATGCTGATGGCTTTCAGTTTTACTATCTCTGCACTACTCAAATTACAGCAAGTCCTTTGTAAGAATCCAGCAAGGTATTTACTTGCCACTTCTTGGGGGTCAGCTTATTTGTTAGGCAAACAGAGAAAATGGGATAAAATCTAAATAATAACTTGCCACTTATAGCATGAAGATGTTGTAGACATAGAAAGAAAAAAAGGTTAAAAAGGAATCAATGCATGATGAAATCACCTTGGAGCTCTTTTATTTCAATCCTTCCCTTCTAGATAGCTACTGCAATGGATGATGGGACTGGATTGGCTATAGAAATCACATAAATCTTGACAAATGTTGGTCCTTGTCTTTTTGTTTAGCTGATAATTTAGACCCTTTGTAGTGAACAGGACAGCCAGAAAATATGCATGCGTTTGTTGCCTTCCTGAATATATAGCCCACAATTCAGCAACTGATATCAGACAGGCTATCCTCTTCCTCAATATATCCACACTAGCCTTCAAATTCCAAAAGCACATAAATACATCTTGTCAATGGAAATTCCACACCTAACAGTAAAAATATCTGATATGTCTTAATTTAATATATAAATCAACAACTTGCAAAAGTACCAACTAATAAATAAGATTTTTGAAGTGCTAGGAAGGCAGAAAGTGCTTGATATAGAGGTGGGCAATGAATTACAATATTGATCGCAACTATAACTACATATATGATTGCCTACTTCACAAGCATTGGCTTTGCTAGCTGACCTTATCCTTTACTCTCCATGAAATGAAGTGGTTAAATTGGACCATTGGGAATCTGTAAGTTGTACATTTGTGGGTCAAGCAACACCCCTCATTGAGTAGGAAATGATAGCTGCAGAAGAAAAACAAAACAAAACATTGATGATGTTTCTTGAGCATGATGGGTCATAAAAGTCAAGAAGATTCCTCATTTGCATTTGACAATTACTCTGTTAATCATAGGGTTTCTCTTCCATGTATCCTTTTTTTTATACAAGGAAATCACATCAAATGACTCGTTTAAATGAGTGATATTTTTTTGACTGTCGAACTAAAAGTTAAATAATTCGCTAACTTTTTTACTATTTCACCCACCGAAATGCTCATAAGTTCAACTCTTTTATTCAATTCTATGAATATTTACACACGACGACCTTTTAATCGACCCATAAAAGAATTAGAATTGTATAGCTCGAGAAAGTACAAGTCTAAAAGTTTATATATTTTATGTGTTACTCTCTGTACATTTTGCTTGGTTTGTTGGGTTCCGTAGACATAACATGTGAAGCTAGTCTTTGTTTTTGTATAACAAAGTCCAGCAATTACCTGTCAACATTAAATTTGAATTATTAAGTAAAAGACACAGATGATCAAAGTTTTCCTTGGCAAATCAGAAAAGTAATTGAGAGGAAGCTAATCAATGCAGGGAGGACGACCTGTGAATGAGAATGGAGGGAGGGCGTTCTTTGTCCCCTGTGGAAAAAAGCAATGGCCATGAGGTCTGCACACGCACACTCAACCCAGCTGTGGCTTTTGGAACATTCAGCAATGGCACTCTGCCTGCACGTGGCTTTGACACCTTTGGCACCAGAAAAAAGATGACAAAAAACTTCTACTGATTGAAACCTCAGACTTCAGGTTGGCTATTTAATTAAGCTTCAATGATGGCTTCATGCATTTCTTTCTTCTCCATCCTTTTCTTCGACCAAAAAACAAACGAAATGGCTTAGATAAACACGTCTTAATATTGGCTTATGCATTATGCTTGCCGACTTAATCTTTATTTCTAGCTTTTGAAAGCATCTGTACTTCATCAAATCATGGAAACATTTTGTTCTGTTCTTCAAAAGATAAACCAATAGAATTATAGAATATTTACAGTGGTGGGGGTACCCATGTTGAAACTTTGAGGAAGGGCTAACTAGGCATGGCCTCTTTTCAAGATTTTGTATGCATGTGTGTACATATAATCAACTTGTTGAGGTCATCCCAAAAGTTCCCAATATTATAAGGTTGCCAATAATTGTTAAAAGATCAGCTGACTAACAAAAAATTGAAAGATGCTGTAAAGAAGCACAAGCTTCTTACGCAAAGAGCTTGTAGTTCAAGTGGTTTAGAACAGTCACACGTGCACCTAAAGTCATGTCATGCTTTCAATATTATTGGTATAAGAAAAACCATACAAGTTTATTATGACTTATTTGTGGGTCCCAATCCAATATGTTTACTCCTTTTTATTATTATTATTATTTAAATAATCAATTATGTTTGCTTTATTTTTGGTCAAGTCCAAATTGAGGGACATTGTAAAAGCCTAACCAATCAGTCCTTGGAGACATGTATAGGTGTTAGTTCTATTTGGTTTGGATATTGATCAGTACATACATATCCCATATATTTTTAAAGCAACTATATTCCTACCATATATACAACTTTTCAATTGAGATCTCAAGGTGGGTTGAAAAACCCATATGCAATAGTTGATTAAAATGAGAAAATGGAGAAGAAATCTTCATCCAAAGTGGCTTTGTAATCATAGATACGATGACTTTAGTGGAGCCTTGAGCAATCTTATGGTGATCTTCAACAAATAGATATGGGATTGCAACTCAGTCACACTCAAAAGCTGTAACTTTCTTTTTGGCACTAACAGCAGATATATATATATATATATATATATATCATCCCTTTTACTTTGAGCTTGACTTTTTATAGTATATTGGTTCAGAATATTTGGGGTAATGGCTGCTATGGTCCCTGCCTCCACTTTTTCATTTTGGGCTAGGCAAGCTATTGCTATTGCTATAACCATAGAGATCATGGAGCAGGCTTTTGTGCACCACACTTCTTGGTAGGCTTTGGTATATTTTTCTTGTTCTCCAGCTTCAGAAAGCGAAAAGGAAGAGTGTGGGGCTGCAATTGATTAAAACCACAACAAGGACAAGCATGTTCTTAGTGATGAACTCCAAGCCTAAAACCAACGATTCATGAAGAAGACTTAACATTTCACCGGTCCAAGTGTCCCGAATCTCTCCCACTCTCATGTAACATATGCATAGGATAGGACCCATTTGTATAGTGATCACCACATATATTTTTTGTGGAAACTCGATTCATAACTCCCGTAAATAGTCTATTATGATATCATAAAGAAAGATGCTAAACTACAGCCTGTAGCTTAGGAGAAATTGGAAGAAAGTGAGGGGAAAGTTCAGTAATCAATCTCAATAATGGCATTATTATTGTACCTTTATTTAAGCTGACACATTGGGCTTAACATCATAAACAACTCTGCTTAAACCATCAAACAGAGTACTAAACAAACGAACAGCTGTCAAGTTACAAGATTGCCAGATGTCAAGCCACTGTTGCTGACTCTTTACTGTGTGGCTGCAGCAATAATTCAGTTTGGGCTGGATCTAAAGTTTAGAACACCCATGATATTGTTAATTGTCCCTTCAAACTTGAGGGTCAACTCATTTTTTGGGAGACTGTGCAGCCATGAGCCACAACTTACTGCACTTGTACCTTATTTAAGGAAAAACAAACAACTCAGGGTCAACTCATGTTGGCAAAGTAATGTATATTCACATGCATAACTTGTACAATGCACTAATTTTGGTCACTATGTATTAAACTTACATTGTTCTTTTTTCCTTATCAAACACTCAACCAAATCCAAAGTTTCTTTTTCTTGATTGGAAAGGTAAAACTCTAAGATTAGCAATTGTTGGCGCTAAATTAGCAAGTTTATTCGTAACCATATTGACTTTATGATAAGTATTGTTTCTCTTTATTGAGACATGTCGAGTTTGTGGCAATCACTCCCCGAGATATGGGAGTCCATTGTTGAAGAACATTAATAAAACTGAAAGTTCGATAAGTAAATCTTATGAACGATAGCTATTAAATTTATTTCCTTCGGAAATGAAGAGAAGTAAATAAAAGGTCGATGGAGCCCAAAAAAAAAATACATGTCACAAGTTGCCAGAAGAGCCGAAAGTATCACAACTCTCGACCGTTTCCAAATGCTTCTTGTTGAACTTGAATGCAAATTGCGAAAATTCTGTGGTATAAAATACAACCAAAACCAGACCAAGACAAAAACCATATAAATGGTCTTGGATTCATGCACCTCCCAAACCATCCAACCCCCTCACAACTCATCATTATTCGCATCAATACATGACAGCCGTCTATCAACCATCACCTCCATCGCTCGTCCTCAGTACATCGAGCACGCAGAAATATCTCAGAAACCTCGGTCGCCGCCTTTTTGTCGTCTTCCCCACGTCATCATCACATAAACCGTGTGCTTGCCTGCCCCGGAAACCCGAACCAAACCCGCATCACCCCTGCTTGTATAAATACCCACGCCTTCAAATTACATCTTACTTGGATCTCACTTGGGTCAAATACTCCGGAGAACGAGATGTGTAGATCGACTGACTACCACGGATTTCAACCGAGGAGGGACCGGTTGAAGATTCGGGCTTTCTTTCTGCGGTTTTCGGGTCTGAATACCCGGGCACCGTTACCCGAATCCCTCACTCTTTCGTTTCTTCCTCGGATTAACGAGAACGAGCTAGAGATCGACGGGTCAAAGATCCGACCCGATACACCGGCATTCCTCACTCTCTACCGGGTCGTGAATGCCAAGGTGAAGGACGGTGAAGTGATATTCGGATCCCGAGAGCGGGTCGAGGCCGGCGATGGGATCCGGTTCGAGGTTTATCTGAGGGAAGAGAAGGTGCTGAAGGGAACTTTCAGGAAAGATGAGGGGCAAGAGTGGAAATTGGAGTGTAAGTGCGCGCTGGAGAGCGAGAGCGTCGCGAGGGAGATAGCTGAGGCGCAGGTCTGCGTGGCAGTGGAGGGACACGTGGCGATGATTGAGAGGGTGAGAATGGTGGTTAAAAAACAAAACAGCACCGGAACTGCGGGTTTAAGCGGCTGGAGGAGATTCCGGAGGAGGGAGACGTGGATTATGAATCGGACGGCTGTTGTTGTAAATGTGGATCGGACGGTGGAGATTCGGAGGTGGGTGGTGACGTGGACGGAGAGGATGAGGAGTTGGAGGTAGATATGGAAGGAGTGAGATGGGCCGTTGATGTGGGTATTTGGGTCATGTGTTTAGGCGTGGGCTACTTTGTTTCCAAAGCCTCTGCCAAAACATTAAGACGCAGAAGATTATTTTAAGCCCAATGGGTTTTTTGGTAATTTCAAATCTTGAAATTTTGACACGTTATTGAGAGAGTTCAATGGTAAAGACCCAAAAGAAGTAAAGGTCATAATGATTTCAATGAATTTGATTAATTAATTTCGTTTTTTAAGATAATGGGGTCAACTCATCTAATCACATCACAGCTTATATTTCTCTATTGTGGGAAGTTAGTTAGAAGATTCCAATATCCCTTGTTTGTGTTGTGGTTTCAACTAAAGCCTTTTCCATCCTTGGGCTTCAATCATATAAACTTTTTGCCTTGGGTTTCACCGAAAAAAAACCATATCCTTTCCTCAATCCCTTTGTGTTTGGCAAGTGCCTAGTTGACGACCTTATCTTTAGACATGACTAAAACTAATGACGACCTTATCTTTAGACATGACTAAAACTAACTTTTATGCTTTCTATCCTCTCTACTTCTAGGGTATGTACCTACATGCTAGGTACCTAAGGTTGAGTAATGTTAGAGGGACAACATTAATAATACAAAAGATCGGTCAACGAAATGAAACTAAACTCGTAAAAGTGCTATACAATATGATTCGTTCAAGTTAGGTTACGTTCGTATAAGAAGTTTGTAGCTTAAGTGGTGTTCACCCGTTTTGTGTTTACTCCTATGATGGAAGGGCAAAGTTCCCCACTGCCTTGAGAACCATAGACTGGTCAACAAGTCAGCTTTCTTTGGTGTGCGAGCGTGCCACTGCTAGTAATGAACAGTCTAGCAGACTTAGTCTGGAATGGATAACTTGCGCCCCAAGTTACTGATTTCCTTTTACAAGCGATTGTGAATTTGGGTGAGGAATATCTCCCAAGTAAGTTCTTTTCTTGCCTCAGACTGGTGAGGACTTTAACAATTTATCTCAGTATAAAGAGGTTGTTCTGGCCAGAATAGTTGATGAAATTTAAGCTGTTTTTGGGCGGAAGTACCTTTTACAAGACTACAAAAATACATGTCGATGCAAAAAAGATAAAGAGATAGCTAGATCTCCATTTCTGCCTGGATGGGAGGCTCTGTGATGGGCTGGACTGGGAATGTCTGGGCTGGACTGGATCGTAGACAACTCTGATTGCCCGATTTTCAACTACAAATCGATGCCAAAGGTTGATTCTGGCAGAGCTTTAATGTACCTCAAGCTTTTGCGAAGCTTCTGAGTAGGCAGAACTGCGGTTTCTTCAGTCTGAAAGGGCAGAAGTGGCTGTTCTTGAGGACGTTGGTGAGCTAGAGGCTATTCCGTGAATTTGGCTGGGGTTTTCCATACTTGGAGGAGGCTCAGACTCTGCTTGTGTTGGTTTTTGCTGAACCAAATTTGTAACGAGAGAAATCTCGTTTTGAATGACTTGCTTCCTAAGTCTGGATTCTGGGCATTCTGATCTGGGACTGGTTTTTCACTTGAAATTCAAGTGGACTTGTTGGTCGACTCTGAGCTTGTTTATGTGACGGTTTACCTGTGTAGGACCTTTGTTTGGTTGAGTGATGAAATTTTGTTGTAAGATTGATTGTGTGTAAGATTGATTGTCCTTTGCCCTGTTCACTCCTTCTTGTATTTATAAGAAATGTCTTCTGGAGTAGGGTAATTCTTTTAATAATGGGCGGCAAATCCTTTCAAAAAAAGATCTTCTTTTAAAAATGGAAAAGAAAAGAAAGAAAAAAGGTTTCCTCAGTTTTTGGTAGATAGGCTCTCAACAGATAGGCAATCACTTCCCTGATTTTCTTGAAAAGGAACCTAATCTCTTTCCCAATTTCAACTGCCCTTCGTGATATTTTGCCGGTGATGGTTAGTTTGACCCCTTTTCTGGACAGCTTCCTACTTTCCTGCTTATCCCTCCCTGAGATTGTAACTTGCTTATCTCCTTGGGAGAATTACCTTCTCTGAAAAGACAAGGGAAAAAATCTTTGAGTATGTATATATATATATATCATATATGTGTAAGAGGGATTTGATCTTTAGCTTTTCCAGAATCAATCTTGATATTATGAACCCTTCAATTACTTCTCCTGTGACAGTTGCCATTGCTGACTTTTCTTTTTTCAGAGAGGTCACGTGGGATTGTTCCTACTTCTGGGCTTTCTTCTTTCTTTTATATTGAGCCTGTGAGGCCCAGATTTGATGAGTTTTGGGCTGGTCTCCTCTGGCTTTTGGGCTTCCATCTTTCTTTGATTTTTTGCAGCTTCATTCTGGGCCTAAATTTTGCTGGGCTGGGTATGCCAATTTGTGGCCCAAACAAGTGGTTAAGAGCATATATTCATGCACCTAATGTCCTGCGTTCGAATCTCTTTTCCCTTAATATCGTTGATCATAGTAACTGGTTGTAATGAATACACATCACATTAAGAAAACATAGTTCATCTAACATGTTCTTTGGTACATATGCAAGATTTAATGAGCTCCTTACATGTCAATTAAAGATCATTTAAAGTTGATGATATGTTCTTTTGTGTATATGAAACAATGGATGGGCAAACATTGACACCAGCCTACCCTTTGTATCATTATCTGATGGTGAGGGACACCAGCCTTACAATTGACAAGACCAATAAAGGCCCTTCCTGGTCGACCAAAGGGAAAATGAGCAAGTGAGCAAACCACCAACACATGAACATGCTTAATAGTTAGAGGAGTTTGACAATTCCGTAGCCTACGAGACAGTACAACTATACAAGTACTCCATCTCGTTCTCCATTTCGGTTATCTCTGTCGTTCTATCATCATGCCTGTTTAGCTAGAGAATGATAACGACGGCCAACATGAAACTGCTATTGCATTACACATGTATCGCGTGTATGTTCGTTTAGTTAAAAAATGATATTAAAAATTAACAAGCGTAAATAATCATAACAACATTTAAATTGGAGAAGTTTTTCCCATTGAAATGCAACAGTTAAGCATGAAATAAACTTCATATTTTTTGTAGGAAAATTGTGTTTGAAAAGAAAAAAAATCCTCCAATTTGATGATCTAATGACATTCTATCAATCGAATTAAATCATTCCCGTAATTTTTCGTTAAAAAAGATAAATAAAATAATAATACATTTTGTAAAAAACAAGAAATATGGCCAAAAAATTCAAAATCATAATTTCAAAAAATAGGGGTTTGTCTGAAAATTAATAATAATTAGCAACAAAACTATTGACAGCTCAGCTCAGCCACAGCCACCTCAAAAAATTACAAAAACAAGACAAATTCACCAAAGGTACAAAAGACACCCAGCGCGGGTCCCAGCCGTCCCTTATAATGACCCATCCACGTGTCAACATCCCCATCACCCTTTACAGCCTCCGACACGTCAGCACCTCACATTTCAGTGAATTCACAAGCCAAGTTCTGCTCCGAGTTCTCTTCCCTTTCTTAACTCTCTCTCGCCTTTTCCTTTTCTCATGGCGGTCAACGAGTTCAGATAATATCATCGAAACGCATAGCCCATAGCCTCGAAACGGCACGCAACTCTGTTTCAGGTATAGCCAAAGGGCAAGCCCTCGCTAGTCGCTTCTTCTCCAAGAGGAGGAGCATGGGGAGGATGGGAGGCAATTCCAGGTCTCACTCTGCTAACCCCAGCGACTACAAGCTTCTGGAAGAGGTTGGCTATGGCGCCAGTGCTACAGTGTACAGAGCGATCTATCTCCCTTTCAATGAAGTCGTCGCTGTAAAATGTTTGGATCTCGATCGCTGCGGCAGCAATTTCGTCAGTTTCTTATTGCTCTGCTTGTTTCAAATCTCAATTTTATTGTTGTTAACGAACTTTGGGGGATCATTTCTAGCTGTTTGGTTACTGAGTGAAGCTAGATTTAATATGAGCTTAAGATCTTTGCTTTGGTTTGAGATTGGAATTCGATTTGTGAACTTGAATGCTTGATTTGTGAATGCGGAATTAGTTAGGAATCGGGAAGCTTTCATTTTTTAATTGGTGTAGGGTTTAATTTGGTTTTAATTTATGCTTGAGATCCTCAACGGTCTGTATTGATGAGCACAAATCACAACTTTTGCAAATGCTATTATCTTAGTCACTGAAGTACTCTCTTTGAAATGAATATTGCTGAAGAAAACCCATGTTCTACTGTTTCCAGTATTGTAGCTGATTCATAACCCGTTATTTTTTTGGGTGAAAATGCATAACCCATTATTTGATATATTATGTTTGTATTCTTTCATAGGAAGATATACGGAGGGAGGCGCAAACGATGAGCTTGATAGATCACCCAAATGTTGTTAAGGCGTATTGTTCATTTGTTGTCGAGCGAAACCTTTGGGTGATCATGCCATTCATGGCAGAGGGTTCTTGTTTGCACCTCATGAAAATAGCATATCCGGATGGGTTTGAGGAGTCTGCGATCGGTTCTATCCTTAAGGAAGCCCTTAAGGCTCTGGTTTACCTTCATAAACAAGGTCATATTCACCGAGATGTTAAGGTTTGTTTCATTTACGGGTAGCCTTCCTTTCTGTTTCATTGTCATAAGTTTGTTTGGAGGTTCTTACTTTTTGATTGTTTTACTGTCTTTGCTGCAGGCGGGAAACATACTACTTGATACTAATGGGGTGGTTAAACTTGCCGACTTTGGCGTTTCAGCTTGCTTGTTTGATGCAGCTGATAGGCAACGCTCAAGAAACACTTTCGTAGGAACGCCATGCTGGTGAGTTTTTAAGTCACATAAATTATTACTTAATTCCTGGTTTGGTGCCACATGTTATGCTAACTGCTTTATTATCCATGTATTTGAGATTAAAACTTGGTTTTTGCTTTCCAGGATGGCACCAGAGGTATTGCAACCAGGAAGTGGATACAATTCCAAGTGAGTTTTATTTTATGCCGTAGCCTATTTCTTGTAATTGTTCAATGTATTATCTGCTTTGAAAGCTAACTTCTTCACTTAACTTTTGGAGGAAATGATAAATTCCGAGCTGTACTGTATAATTTGAAAAAAGGGTCCTATGTGCTTATTTCTTAGTTTTCTGTTGGTTGATCTCTTTACAGGGCTGACATTTGGTCATTTGGTATAACGGCATTGGAGTTGGCCCATGGTCATGCACCATTTTCAAAGTACCCTCCAATGAAGGTACTTATGTTACCAGGATTGAACTTGACTGCAACCTCTATAGTGGTTCTTTAGTGAAACCTCTGACACGTCAAACTCTTTTTGTTTGTTCTCACAGGTTCTTCTCATGACCATACAGAATGCCCCTCCAGGACTTGATTATGATCGTGATAAAAAGTTCTCTAAGGTATTGGTTTTCTTTCTAGATAGAGTGGCATTAACGCATGTGTTTGATGCATGCAAATCATTATTAGTGCATTGTGCGTTATTAAAAGGCATGTAAGTAGTCCAAGGCTTCAAGTGTAGTTGTTGCCCTGTATTGTATTTCGCTTACAGAATAATATTCTAATTGGAGGATTTCCAGTCGTGATCAGTCTTTTAAAGAAATGGTTGCAATGTGCTTGGTAAAAGATCAAACAAAGAGACCAACAGCAGAGAAATTATTGAAACACTCCTTTTTCAAGAATGCAAAGCCTCCAGAGCTTTCTATAAAGAAATTGTTTACCGACTTGCCACCACTTTGGAATCGTGTAAAAGCACTCCAGGTTAGCTGTCACTCCATTTTTATATTGCTTCCTTGCTATCAGTCTTTGACACGTGTTGGTATTCTTATTTTATGAATTGATAAAATATGGAAATATCGCAGCTTAAAGATGCAGCACAACTGGCTTTGAAGAAAATGCCTTCAGCAGAGCAAGAGGCAATATCACAGGTCTGAGACGTCTCATGATGCTGTTATTTTTTAACATAAAATTGACTTAAAACAGAGTCGAAATATGTTCATATCCAAAGCTTTTTTTTATACCAACTTGACAGCTAATGTGTGCTTTATTATTTCTTTTGCCCTAATCTTTAGTGGTGTCATTGTCTTTCCTTGATCAGAGTGAGTACCAGCGAGGAGTCAGCGCCTGGAACTTTGATGTTGAGGATTTAAAAGCCCAAGCATCCCTGGTATGCCACGTATTAGTATTTAGCAATTATCAGCATGGTGGTATCTCTGGGCAGTAGCTTCCTTGTTTTTCTATATTGGCGAGTGAATCTGAAATAATAGCCTTTGTTTTTGCTAGGTGCGAGATGATGATGATATTCCAGAAATGATGGAAGAAGATGAAAAGTTGAAATCTGTTGTTAGTTATAAGGTCATCAATTTCCTTTTATTCATGAGACATTTGTCATGCTATTCTTAGTGCAGTCTAAGATTTAAGTTTCTTTTTTGGTGATAGTGCACGTTGCTGGTCTTTTCTTTTAAATATATTATTCTTATGCGGAAAAATAATTTTTTTTTGGTTTGTTTTGTTTTGTTTTTGTTTTTATGCTAGCATGAAGCAACTGGTTGCCAATCCAGTTTGGGGAAGTTGAACGAAAATAGTGAACCATATTGGACGGAATACAAAGAAGTAAATGATTATGAGGCACAACAGGTTGAAAGCTTGAACAAAAAAGGCAAGGTTCTTGAAAGTAATATACTGGAATCTGGTGGCCAGCAGAAAACAGCCTGGAAGAAAAATGGATCAAGCTCTGAGGCAACAGCATCTACATCAGAAAAAGACATGGTACAGGCCAAGAATAAAAATCTATCGGTGAAAAGTCGTCAAACGCAGAGTGGCCCACTCACACCGGGTGCTGTGCTTAGTCATTCATTATCAGAAAGGGCTCGCATATTTGAAAGGTTTGTCATGGTTAAATAATGCTCCAAAATTGAAGCTATTGGTGCTGTCTCTCTCTCATGGGATAAGAGCCTGATGCTTTGTTATCTTTAGGAGTGAGAATGAAAATCAACCGGCAATTGATAAAGCTAAATGTGAAGTACGACGAACACCAAGCTTTAGTGGTCCAATGATGCTTCCAAATCGAGCTTCGGCAAACAGTTTATCAGCTCCTATAAAATCTTCTGGAGGTAATAAAGATGTCCATAATTTTTTAGAGATGATAGTTAAAAATGCAACTCTTTCTACTGTTATGAGTACATTGGGCCCAGAATTCTTGTAGCGCTAAGTGTTTCACCTTTAATAGGTTTTAGAGATTCTTTGGATGACAAGTCAAAGGCTAATTTGGTGCAAATTAAGGGGAGGTTTTCAGTGACTTCAGAAAATTTAGATCTTGTAAAGGTAAGGCTTTGTTCTTATGGTATGCTTATTCTATTTTTTACAATCACTAACTTAAAAAAATTGCCATAGGATATTCCATCAAGTACAATACCTCGTCGATCTTCACAGGTAGGTAGCCAGTATTTTCCTAACCCTTTCTCAAGTAATTTGTTCAGTTCTAATTCACGTTCTCTTTTGTTATTATTTAGGGATCACCTCTAAAAAAGTCAGCAAGCGTTGGTGATTGGGTATTTGAATCCAGGCAAATGGTTTGTGTTGTAATCTCTCTCCTTCCCACACCCACTCTCTCTCTCTGTATACATAACGATAGTTGTGTACAGATAAATCCATACATACATACATGATACATATGTGTGTGCGTTGGTGATTGGGTATTTGAATCCAGGCAAATGGTTTGTGTTGTAATCTCTCTCCTTCCCACCCCCACTCTCTCTCTCTGTATACATAACGATAGTTGTGTACAGATACATCCATACATACATACATGATACATGTGTGTGTGTGTGTGTTTCAAATCCAATGGCTGAAATTTATTCAATAATAAATTAATTTATGAGATTTGGATAACAGCCGTAGATTTTGATCCAACGCTGGTGAGCATGGTCTTAATGCTCACCAATAACCGGGAGATCTAAATTGTATGTGTGTGTGCACGTATTCGTATATCCATGTCTCTGTTTATTCGATGAACAACATTAGATAGTGGCATAGTGCCAATAGTTTTTTCCCCATTTTCAATATCTATTATGACAACATAGAACGACCAGTCACTAACTTAAAACTGTGGTAGCTTGAAATGTATTTGTCCATTTATGATTTCATTTTCTATGTTTCAGCCTACCACTCCGTCTGCCAAGGAGTTGAACAACAGCAACATACCTGCATCGCTTCTCTTGCCTCACCTTCAGAATCTTTTTCAGCAGACGTCGATTCAACAGGTAAAGAACAAATTTGGTACTACATAGATAGTGGATATTTGACTTGAAGAATTTTATTTCTGGAGCTAAGGAGTGTCCTTGTTTATTCTTTTGATTGCAGGATATAATTATGAATTTACTGAGCACCTTGCAACCAGCTGAGGCAGTAGAAGGTTAGTGAAATATCTATGAGTTTGATACTTGAAATTAATTGTCCATCAGTAAGGAGGCATTGAACCAGTTAGTAAGGTACTCCATTTTTGTTTCAGGTACTCAAAATGGAAAGTTGCCTCCACTGCCCCGCAGTTCTGAGACCAATGGAAGTGTAAGTATATTTTATTTTGTCACCGTGATTGTTCTGATGTGGATATGACTACTATCATGGGAATGATAATAATTTCGTTCTTAGCAGCTTCTTATTATTATTATTTTTTCCAAATGGTAGATTACTTGACTGTTTATTTGACAGAATTCCATCAACTTTGACTGATTGAGGAAAAAATAACTGTTAGCTTAGTTCATTTTGAACTGGGCTTGTTTACTAAATCAATTTATGCGATACATACTGTGGAAAAGCAGATTTCTTTATGTTTATCTTTTTGTTCATGACAGAACTCTATTGGACTGATATCATGATAAGTCATTAGCTTTGTAGACTCATCACGTTTCTACTCTGTTTAAGCAACAGGTCGAAGCTGCAGTTTCTGAGAGGGAGCGTTTATTGCTCCTCAAGGTCTCTGAGCTTCAAGCTAGGTTAGTCATCTTAAGTTTAAACTGAATGCCTTTGAAGTGCTTTTATGTGTTTTTTTTCCTGGTTTCATATAAGTTTGTCTAATGCTCTTTCTCTCTCTCTCTCTCTCTAGGATGAACAACTTGAGTGATGAACTGACTGCTGAAAAGACGAGACACATTCAAGTGAGTTGCTCAAGGGTTCATAATTACAGTTTTCGTGCGTTATATGGTTGAAGGAAGAGAGAATGCATAATGTTGTAGTCGAGTCTAGTATGAGTATGAGGGTTTGAGAAAATGGGATAGTTCAAGTTAGTTTGAGTTGGACCAGTTGGTAGTGATGGGTTCCCATGCATGCCATTATTGCTGGTTATTTGATTGCATATAGTTTTTCATTAATGAGTTGGTTATCTGGTGACAGTTGCAGCAACAGCTGAATGCTGTATCTGGGCAGGAAGAAAATGGGGACGGAAGATAAGGGGTGCCTGAAAACCCGAAGTTGTGTTTAGTGTAAAGTGAATCCATGTACATCCGGCCAATGAGCGGTAGATCGTGTCGAATGTGTTCTCTCCAACAAATTTTTTTTCTCTATGCTGAACGGGAATTGTTCATTGGCTGCCGGTAAAAGTAGATGCATGGAGAAGGTAACAATTTGATGTTCCTGAATCTCTTCTCCCAGTGTACCTAATAAGTTCCCGCAAGGATTTCGGCCACTTCAGAATTCAGACAAGTAATAATCGAGCTTATGGATTCATCCGGATGTGATTTGTCCTGTTCAAAAATGGAAAATAGGTGCTTCTCTGTAGCGATCTAACTCCTGGACTGGTGGTCAAATTGGTTCTACAGTTATATACATATATAATAGGGGTGTATTTTATATTTATAAGGTTAAAACAGACATTGTGGCATCATTATTTTTGTCAAAATGGATTTATGAGCTTGTATATGATGGCGGTAGAACGTAATGCTGTTTATTATTTCATTTATACTAATTGTGCTATTCCTATTCATATGTACGCTTCCACAAACTATTCAGTTTTTGCTTTCTTTAGAAATATGGGATTTTGAATGCATCCCAAATCTACAACTCCCGTATTATCTTTGTGTAAGAATTTATGAGAAAAGAAAGTTAATGCAGGAAGTTGGTCTTAATCTCGAACTATAATGTTCTCTTGTTAAACTTATGTGACACGAGTATTGCAAATTAACAAAAAATTGGGGCAAAATTATACCCTTATCAAATTAACAAAACATTGCAGAAAAACTATACCCTTTTCAAATTAACGAAGAATTAACGGAAAGCTATAGCAGGCGAAGTCCACGCAAACGGCGTGTCGTTTGAGAGGAATTAGTAAACGATATTTTCTCCCTTTTCTTTTCTTTTTCCTTTTGAAAAAACGCCGTCGATTAGTTTCTCTTTCCCAAAACGCGCGAGACTCAAGGTGATCGAACTCAGCTGAGCTGTGCAAATGGTGCAGTAACCTCCTGAAGAACCCAAGCCAAAGCCATGGTTTCAATCCACTTCTCTTCTACTCTTCACCGTCTGAAACCACCACCGCCTCGTCCCTCTCAGCTCTGCAACCTCAAACCCTCTTTCCTCTCCAAAAGCAACAAATCCCCAAACACGAGGAAGAAGATCGGCACCAGATACAGAACGTGCAGAGCGGAGTTCTCAAACGACGCACCGTTTGCTGCAGCCATCGGCGCCTGCATGCTCTCTTCTCTGGTGCTTCCGGTCACTACTCCAGAGGACGATGGCGGCGGCGGTTCGCCTATGGATTCCACCGATGCCAGGTTTGCAGTCATGGGCATCGTTAGCTTCATTCCCTACTTCAATTGGCTGGTAAAGAACACTTTTTTCTTTTTTCTTGGGTGTGAATTATTGAAGTTTTTGTTTACGTGTTTTAAACTTTTTATTGATTGGGTTTGTTGTAATTTTTGTTGAGTTTGAATGAATAATTTTGGCAGAGTTGGATTTTTGCGTTTCTGGATACCGGGAAAAGGCGTTATGCGGTGTATGCGCTTGTCTACTTGGTTCCCTACCTCAGGTTTCATTCTCGTTCTCTTACTCTTAATTGAATGCTTACATGTTCTGTGACAATTGAGCTACTTGAGAGCTTATTGTTTTTTATTTTGTGGACAATGAGGAAAGTTTGTCTCATACCAATCATCAACAAATGATTGAGCTCAATGATTTGTAATAGTGATAATCCTATGCAGAAGATTTTGTGTGGGTTTTGATGATTTATATATGTAGTTCTAGGCACTAATGTAATTGCTTGACTTCCCATGGTTTATCAGGTCGAATTTGTCATTGTCTCCTGAGGAGAGCTGGCTGCCTATTGCTAGCATTGTTCTATGCATTATTCATGTCCAGGTAATAGTCCTCTCAGTACTTCTTTATACCTAGTTCAACCTGTAAAGGAAATATATTGCTAACATGGAGAAACTATACGCCCGCATTCAATATCTTGTTGTTGGTGGGTTGCTGGGGGCAAGGTTTAGAGCTATGGTTTCAAGGGGTTTTGATTGTGAGTTCATTCAATTGTTTGTAAACTTTGTATATCATGTAACCTTATTCTTGTGATTCCAAATTTTCTCCCTTGCAGTTGGAAGCCAGTATTAAAAATGGAGATCTTCAGGGCTTTCAATTGTTTAGCGAGGCTGCAAAGCATACTTCATTCACGAGTAGAAAGAAAGATCTGACTGGGCATGAAGGGACCTCTGAGGAGGTATTAACTACTTAGGGTCCTTGTAAGTTTTTAGATATGCTGGATAGTTTTTGTTCTTATCTGACAACGGCTTTAATCACTTTAATATAATCTGAAGGGGAGTAAAAGAGAAAATAAGAACCTGCCATCCAGCGAAGAGCTTGGGAGGTGGGGAGTTCCCAAGAAGCCTTTACAAGATCACGAACGCTCGAATGAAGATTGGGATGATGATGAAAGAAGCAAACACTAAAAGGTCAGACCGTGGTCAGAGTTGCAGGCAAGCAATTTGAATTGCAGAACGTGGCTTTTGTGCCCAGACAAAAATGTAGTGAATGTTGACCGCGACTGCAAGCTCAGCGCATAAGGGAGGGTCAAGAGGGATACCACAATTGTCCGATATTACCGGCAGCACAGTGTTATAAATAATACGATGCTTTCACATGAAGAATGTAGAATGTAGAACCGGTTTGCAGACCATCGAAATGAATTTGTTATGTACAGGTCCTTTTAGCATGTCGCACATTCTGGATGGCTTTTTCATTTTCGACTCTGGTTGGCTAGGGCCATGGTTTTTAATTTATTAATTGGGTTGTTTTATTTGAGGAAATGAGGAATGAAAATGAAGCACAGTAACATTACCAAGAAATAAACATGAGTGGTGATTTCCCCACTCCTATTTCTCCTATTTTATCCACTTACACTCCTAAGGAGTGTAAGTGGATAAAATAGGAGTGGGGAAATCATTACCCATAAACATTTTAATTTTTATTGACATTTGACGTAAAGCACACTTTTGAATGAGTATTTTTGTGATTGGAAGTGGGTAGCAGAACCATTGAGAACTGCGTTCAGCAAACATTCTGCAATTCTGATAGAGAGTAATTGCATTTCTCCTAAGTATGAACACCTTTGCTTAACTAGAACATCATCTAGAATTGGATCCTGATACAGGATTCTTGATGGGAAAAGGACTCAAGAGCCTTACCTTAAAACAATAATCCAGGGCAATAGCAGCAGAAAGAAAAACAAAAAGACTCTGAGATACATACAGTGCACCATCAAAAGCATGTGATAAGAAGCTACCAGCATTTAGCTCAAGAGGTTGTCCACCATCCAGTGTAGCAAGACCTGCAAAAGGCAAATACTTTTTCATTTCAAGGCAAAACTATGCATGCAGTGTCATATTTCAAAACTGTTTGATATGCTTGAAGATTTCAATTGTTCTGCATAGTGGTGTAATTAGTACCTTTGACAACGCCGAAAGCGGCCGGTGCTCCTGTCTTCAGATGAACATCATCCAAGTCTCTTCGAACTGCATATCGAAAGGTAACTCCAAATAGTGCACAGCTAACAAATGTGATTGCCAGAGGGAGTATCAGCTCTGAACCGCTGGACACCTGAGTGAAGGAGAAGGGCAATCCAGCAACAGTGCCGACAAGGGCAGAAATAGAAGCTGCTTTTATGGATTGCCATCTCTCTTTATCCTTGTCAATTTCTCCATTTCCAGACTCCGAAAATCCATATCCATCTCCAGGTTGATCCCCATCTTGTGAGAGGGCACGCTCAGCTTCTTCAACCATGGCTTTTGCTTCTAATATATCCTTTTGACATTCTGCAATCTTTAATGCACGCGACAGTCTATTATCAGTGGCAGCAAAAAATGCCAAACAACAAAATAACAAATAAGCTGAACACATAACTTGTCATTATATTTGAACAAAATTAACTCGTTTCATGAACAACCATGTGCAAGCAATATCATGCTATATTGAATTCACAGAGAACCAACTGTAAGCAGCAACAGAAAATGTCTCAACAACAGATGAAGGAATCAAATGAACACAATTCTTCTCATAGAGCAGATTTAATTTGTTAGAGAACAACCAATTATCTAAACATCAAATAAAACTGACAATTTCCACACATCAACCACAGGAATAATATACAAAATTAGGGAAACATTAATTTATATACATAAAGATCCCAAAATTTTAAGTTCTTCACTTCAAGGAAGTAGAAGAAGGCATCTAAAACCAAAACCCAACTCAGAAACAAACCCAGAAAAGCATATAAAAAATGGGAATTGGGAAGAATGAGAACCTCAGAAGCCCTGCTTTCAAGTTGGTTAATATAATCTCTCACAAGCTTAGCCTCAAGTTCTTGTTTCTCAATCTCAGCCAGCTCTCTCTTAGCCATCTCTACCCTTTGAGACGCCTTTTCCAACCCGTCAAGCAAATCCCTGTTCTCTTCTTTTTTCAAGAGCTCCTCTACTTGCTCTCCCACAATGCCACTCAGTGCGTCCTTCAAGCTACCGCTCTCTCCAGAGGTGCTTCTCGTGCATTTGACTATGAGGGGACGAGATGTTGAAGGAGAAGAAGAAGCTCTATGAAAGATTGTAGAGCAGGTTTTTGATGCTGTGATGAGTTCTCTTGGGAGGAGAGATATGGGGATTGTGGAGGAAACCCAAGTGAGATTGATGGTTAAGGGCATGGTGATCACTGATTTTTGGAGGATTTTGTTATCCTATTTCATGTTTTGTTTGAGGAAGATACCCACCCCAATTTCCATTTGCAAGCGCTACACCCAAAAAATATCTTATCTCACCCTGAACTTTTTTTTCCCTTTATTTCTTTCAAGCAATTAAGCTATATTGTTATATTATCTTTCAAATGACCTTGTTTAAAATTTAAGAACTTTGTTTATCTTTTTTTAGATATTCATATTCATTTTCAATACCAACGATATTGAGAGATGAAATTTAAGTTTTTTTTTTTGCATTTTCTATACCAACAATATTGAGGGATGAAGGATTTAACACAAAAATTTCCGAAATAAAAGTGACTATGTCAAAGGGTCTAGCCCAATTAAAAAGGGCCTTAATTTGCAAATTAATGATTTCTGTTGGGGGTTTTTTCGTCGGAAGGCTCATCCGGGCTTATTGATTCTTGGACCGCCATAGAGTGATGAATTAAGCCTTCAATGCCCCTTTTTCTGAGTTAGCAAGAACTATGCCCAAAGTACCCCGAGGGAGAAGCAAGTCCCAGGGGAGTACTTTGTTCTTCTTCCAGCAACTGCGTGTTTTGTGTTGATGTTTCCGGCAGCTCGACGAAGAGTTGAAGATGACTTGCTGATGTTAATATGAGATTATATGAGCTTGACATGAGAGCTTGGAGTGTGGGAGTTAAAGACCTACAAGTTTAGCAAATGAGAATGCATGTGCTCGGCTTGGTGTTTGATATATTTGAGTTTGGTGTTAATAATTTGTTGTGTGTGGCTATAGCTATGGGGATTTAAGAGTTTCAAGAGAATGAGGATGTAAGGAAAAGCTTGAGGTTTGAAGGCTATGGTGTTTAAAGCTTGGAAGGAAAGAAAAGCTTGGAGTTATGCTTGGTGAGGCTTTGTGGAGAAGATGATGGATTTCAAGGGTGAGAAAGTAGAAGACATGGTTGTGATGGCTGAGGAATGACTGTGAAGGCTACTGGAATACTAGCAACAACTAAGGAAAAGTGAGTTCTCATGGTTGCTGAGAAGCTTGCAACAACCAAGAGGGGTTGATGGCTGCTGGGATGCTTGCAACAGCCGAGTAAGGAGTGTTGGTTGAAGAAAAATTGGTTTTCTTTGCTTGAGCCATGAATGCCAATTTATAGAGGGTGAGAGTTTTCCTTTATTTCCGATAGGTAAAGGGAGGTGCTGGAACCAGCATATTTCTAGTGGTTAAAAGGGAGCACTGGGGCATACTATTTTCCAGCATGTAAAGCTAGATACCATAAACTGATTATTTCCTATGGGTAAAAGGAAGCACTGGAAACTGCTTGTTTCTAGTAGGTAATAGGAAGTGCTGGAAAATGCTTGTTTCCAATGGGTAAAGCTAGGTATTTGGAAAATGACTATTTCTTATAGGTAAAAGGAAGTGCTTGAAAAATATCTCATTTGCTCACCCACATTGGAAAACTCTAAGTAATGGGCTTAGACTTTGGTGCTCCCAAGTAGCTAGCCCAAAGTCTCTATTATCCAAGAGCTTCCATGGACCTTGTGGACCTTCGTAACCTTCCACACCACAATCCCTCATACAAGCCCCGTAAATCACATGACTTGGGTTCATGTGAGCTTGATAGGTGATTGGCATGAGAAAAATGTATTATTAGTTTGGCATGGCATGTACGCTATTTCTATATTTATTTAATGAATTAAATTCCAAAATATAGCTTGGATTAACGCATGACCGACAATATATGTTATATTAGGCTTCCCGTGACTTTTTTGGGCCTCAACAATTTCATATTCGAAAATCCATGACATCGTGGTAGTGTGTGTGAGAAACTCCTTTAGTTTATCCCTTGTACTTAAAAAAAAGTTGAATACACTCAAACAATAATTCCCTCCCAAAAGGATATTTAGTATTTAAATTTCTGAGGAAGTATATAATTTTGTACTGAATTTTTTTTCTTCTAGAAATATAGTTTGAAAAAAAAAAAAAAAAAAAAAAAAAAAAAAAAAAAGATTCCAAAATTCAACAAATTAATGTACACACTATGGTGCTGAGCAAAATTAATGACAAAACAAAAATAAAAAATAAATAGTGCAAATAAAATAACGCCCAACTCTTGAAATCCCGCTAAGGCATGCTTCCGCTAGTTGGCAGAGGGTTTAAGCACACGCTACCATTCGTCTTCCCCAGCCACCACCATCACCTGCGCCTTCACCTCTCCCGCTCTCTCATGGCTACCGCTACTTCAGCTAAGCGAGTTGGCACTCACAATGGCAGCTTCCACTGCGACGAAGCCCTCGGCTGCTTCATGATTCGCCTCACCGACAAGTTCTCCAACGCCGAAATCGTTCGCACCCGTGACCCCCAGGTTTGTAACCCTTCACCATTTTCTGTTTGGTTCCCTAGAAAATTGATGCAAAATGAAGTTACTTGATTGGAAATTGGAAGCTCTTGCAGGACTTTGTGATTTCTTATTGTCGTTGTTATTGTTTGTGGGTTTTAGGTTTTGGAGGGTCTGGATGCTGTGCTTGATGTTGGGGGTGTATATGATCCTAGTAGGGATCGGTATGATCATCACCAGAAGGGCTTCGAGGAGGTGTTTGGCCATGGGTTTAAGACTAAGCTGAGTAGTGCTGGTCTGGTTTACAAGGTATTTACTTTCAAAAGGTTCTCTCTTTTTTCAGGGTTTGAAGTATGGGCTTTTCAAGTGTGTAACTTTACTTGTGTTAAATCTGGTTGTAGCATTTTGGGAAGGAAATAATAGCCAAGGAGCTTCAAGTTGATGAAGGCCACCTAGATGTGCATCGGTTGTTCTTGGCTGTTTACAAAAGCTTTATGGAGGTACTACCAAGTTCTGCATCTTTTTTTTCATTCTATTCGAATTTGAACTCAAATGGACTCATAGATACGAGAAACCTCTTATGTTATAAAAGAGACGAAAACCCTTATATGGATGCACATTTTGCAGATGTTTCTATTCTTCAAAGTTTTATTGAAATGTTATTTGTAGTTACTTTTTTCGCTTTCTTTAATGTTCAGCAAATTCATTCGACATGCATTTTTGTTAGTCCAACTGTGTTTTTAACATTATTGGTTACTTGTAACAGGCAATTGATGCTGTTGACAATGGGATCAATCAGTATGATACGGAACAGCCTCCAAGATATGTGAATAACACACACTTGTCTTCAAGGGTGGGCAAGTTGAATTTGGATTGGATAGATCCCGATCAATCAACTGAGAAGGAGAATGAAGCCTTTCATCAAGCCATGGAACTGGCTGGCAGTGAGTTTTTATGCGTGCGTCTTTCTTTCATTAAGACTTAACAGATATGTAGAATTTTCTCTATTATTTATTTTGGTAAATTCACATCAAACATCTTTGTTTAATAATTTTCTTTCACGTCTCTGAGCACATAACTAGAAGGGGAATGCTTTAATGAGGTTGTATTTTATTGGGATTAATTTTTTCACATCCCTTTTCAATGACCCTTTTTTCCGAATTTCAGAGTGTTCGTTTTCATGCAAAATCATGGTTACCAGCACGGTCTATTGTAATGGAGTGTCTCTTAGCAAGATGGAGTGTTGATCCTAGTGGAGAAATCATGGTTTTGACTCGATTCTGCCCTGTAAGTATGCAGTGCTGTATTGTTTTTGCCAATTTAATAACTTTAGGCTTAAGCTGTCTCTTATAACTGATGCTGATGCTATTAGTTTTAGAACTTCTTCATTGCATCTTCAAATGTTTTTAAGCGATTTGTTATCCATATCTGGGCTTAGTTGAGACATCTGTATATTTTCATGCCCTACAGTGGAAGCTTCATTTATTTGAACTTGAAGAAGAGATGAAGATTGACCCTCCCATAAAATATGTTCTCTATCAGGTACTTGTATCAATCTCATGTCCTTGTTATCTTTTCTTGGATTGCAATGGATTGTAATGATTTTCAGTTTTTTGTTTTTGTTTTGTTTATGGTCTGCAGTGGTTTCTGTCTCTTTTCTTCTGTTGTAATGTTTTTGCCCCCTTGACATTACTTTTAGTTGTGTTAGCTAATTTGTCTGCAAATTTATCTGAGAAGAGTCGCTAATTTTATTATCAAAATAAAAACAATGTGCAGGATGATAGGAGCAAACACTGGCGAGTTCAAGCGGTGGCGGTAGCTCCTGATAGATTTGAGAGCCGAAAGCCTCTAGCATTGCAATGGCGAGGACTTAGGGATGAGGAGCTCTCGAAGGAGGCTGCAATCCCCGGATGTGTTTTTTGTCCACATGAGTGGGTTTATTGGAGGAAATCAAACATATGAGGGCGCTCTGGCCATGGCAAAAGCTAGTTTGAAGCTTTGATTGACAAGATTGACTTATTTACTAATTCAGATTAGTAAATTTTGGGCATTTCAGCTGGATCTTTGCTAATTTCTTAAACTTTAGCCTGTTTTATGTTCCTACGATATCGCCTCCGATGAAATTTTCCCTATTTGGTTTCTACAAAAGTGTTAAGTAAACATTCATGCAGTGATTTCAGAACCCACAAACTGGAATATGCATTTGTTCTGTCAATGACTTTGAATATGCAATTTTCTCAGTCGAGCATAAATTGATTTGGCCTCGTAGACGATTTTTATAATTATTCAGATGCTTGAAATCCACACCAAATCATTTTGCAAACGAAATGTTGAAAGAAAAGAAATGTAAACAAATGGTTCTTCTGGTTTTAAAAGTGCAAAATCTGGATCACCAGCCAACTTGCTTCCTTCAACTCGAAGCTCTGCAATTTTTATTTTCTTTTGGGCTCTCTGTTTGTTTTCAATCTCCCTCCGGACCCCATTGAAGTTGTTGCTCAGTAAAGTACAACTTACAAGCCACAACGCCACACTTCCGAGAGTACACCATGCAGCTGCACACGTGACTGTGAATCTGTCATGAAATAGAGCTCTCTCTCTCTCTCTCTCTCTCTCTCTCTCTCTCTCTCTCTCTCTCCTACCAGTCAGTGAAGTGAAAAAGAAAAACTTTTTTCCCTAAACCCCAAAACTCACAACCAGCAGCCATGGCCACACTGACTTACCCCACCACCACCACCACCACCATCAGAGCCACCAAACCCACATTATCTCTCAGAAAACCCACCAAACTCATCTCCTTCCCTCTCTCCTCACTCAAAACCCTAAACCTCACTGCCACCTCTGCCTCACCCATCAAATCAACCTCCTCCTCCGACCACACCTCCACCGCCACAAACAGCATCACCACCACGACCACCAACTCCATCTCTCCCTCCCCCCAAACACTCAAGTCCCGCCTCCAAAACGGCGAGACTCTCTACGGCCTCTTCCTCCTCTCCTTCTCCCCAACCCTCGCCGAGATCGCCGGCCTCTCGGGCTATGACTTCGTCGTCGTCGACATGGAGCACGGCCATGGCGGCATCTCCCAAGCCCTCCCCTGCCTCCACGCCTTGGCCGCCGCTCAAACCCCGGCCATTCTTCGCTTGCCCGAGGCCTCCGCAGCTTGGGCCAAGAAAGCCCTAGATCTGGGCCCACAAGGCATCATGTTCCCCATGATCGAATCTTCCAAGGACGCCAAGAAGGCCGTCTCCTACTGCCGCTTCCCGCCCGCCGGCGTCCGCGGGTCGGCCCACACCGTCGTTCGGGCCTCCAGCTACGGCATCGACGAAGGGTATTTGAGTAATTACGAGGATCAGCTGCTGATCATGTGCCAGGTGGAGAGCGAGGAAGGCGTGAAGCACGCAGAGGACATCGCGGCCGTCGATGGGGTTGACTGCATTCAGATGGGGCCGTTGGATCTGAGCGCCAGCGTGGGGTACTTGTGGGACCCGGCGAACAAGAAGGTTAGGAAAATGATGGAGACCGCCGAGATGGCCGTGCTGGGGTCCGACCCAAAACAGCGCGGGGCCTACTTGGCTGGCTTCGCCATGCCCCACGACGCGCCTCGCGATCTCTGGACACGCGGATACCACATGGTGTCGGGAGCCGTTGATGTTGGGCTGTTTAGGAGCGCTGCAGTGGAGGACGTGAAGAGGTTTAAGATGAACTTGATCGACGGCTCTGATGATGAGCAGGAGCGTGAGAAAGATGCTGATGAGAAGTACTGGAGCGAATGATGAAAACTCTTTTTTTTTATCTTTTTCGTAGCGAGGAAAAATATTGAAGAAAACTTTAGAACTTAGAATCTTGGACTTGTAAAATTTGAGTGGGCTTTTTTTATTTTTCTTGTGGTGTTTGGGCCCTTGGGACTGTTTTCATATAATAAAAGGTCAAATTGCCGGCCGAATTATATAATGAATATTATTTTTCTTAAGCTATTAATGGTAATGATAATGAATATTTTTCTTCTAATAAAAAAATTAATAGATTTTTTTTCTTTTTCTGAATGACAAGTTTGCCGACTGTTTTTTTTGGTCAAAAAACAACAAGGCACATGGAAAAAAACCCGACCAAAGTAAAAGAGGAGATGTGACATGTTACCACGATGCTGTCATGCATAAGAAAGTGTGTTGCAAGTTTTTGTCTTCATAGCTGGCTTATATTATATGCACCAAGCCCCTAGAACATTTAGGTTTGGCAGGTAATTTACCAATTGAAGTGGAAATATTCATTTACTCAAGTGTAATTATGTGCACCCTGCCTAACTCACTATCATACGCTTATCTTAACATGCCAATTTGTGGATTAAAAGATGGTTTGCATACTTATAAGTTCCTAAGAGGATTGCAACAAGTTTTCTGATTGAGTTTTGAGACATATGTATTACATTTGATGGTTAAAATTTTCAAGATTAGAACGTGTACGAAAGTTTCATGTTTAAAAGATGTAGTATAAATATGAAGTTATCATCATGAACAGTGAGTCGTTAATCAGTATGCGACATAAATTTAACAACAATTTAGCGTGCTCTAGTACGTGCTCGGATCCAACGGGAACGGCCCCATCTTGGGAAGAGCATGTTATAGCGTGAGTGAGTAAAAAAAATAGTGTAAAGGAGAAGTCAGGAAAACCTCACTTATCATGTCTTCGCTTCCAATTTGCCCAATTAGAATAGAAAAGAAAGGAAAAGAAAAGAAAAATAAACAAACACACAGTCAACAAAACCATCACCCCCCTCGGACCAAAAACCAGTCTGTGTGTCTGCGTGAGTTCATGGGAATTGAAATCCCCGGGAAATCTTGAGACCCTTTTCTCAATTCACAAATCCCATTACCACCTAAACTTCGCTCCATGTCCACTTCAGGGTTGGTAGTCAGTCCTTTTTAAGCTTCATTCTGCACAACAGCACTCCTTACTCTCTTTGCTTTTGCTCCTCTCTCTCTCTCTGTCTCTCTCTGCGAGCTTGTTTCGTTTGTGTGAGAGGCTGAGAGTGAGCAATGGAGTTCTTCTACTTCCTTCTGTTTGGGGCTCTCTCTGCGGTTGTGGCAGCTTTGGAGCTGAGCAAGAACAACAAAGATCGCATTCATACTTCCTCTGTTTTCAATGATTTCAAGAACAACTACCTCCTCATCTACTCTCTCATGATGGGTAAGCTTAGATCTGTCATTTCTTTCTCATTTCTCATCTGGGTTTTCTTTATTCTGTGCTGTATGTACTGCAATGTCGCTCTTCTTTTGGATTTGGATATTCAGATCGAATTGGACTAAAATTAGAGATTCAACTATATACAGTTTCTTGGATTGGCAATTTTATGTAATGAGCAAGCATGTTGTTTGTTCAAGATTATTGATCTAGTTATATTCCAGTCATTATAACCCCTTCTAATTACTTCTTGTTGCTTCTCCCTTATCTGTTTACGCTGGTTGATGGTATCAGTGCTGTAATTGATGTACTGCTCTTTGCTATGGTGTCTGAGTCTTTTGATTGTAGTGCTACACTTGATTGCATTGGTCATGGATGGTAATATAAATCTTTAAGGTCAAGAGTATTATGTTATTTGAAAACTGCTTGGAATTGAAGTAGATTGTTGCATTTCATTATGAATCATCCTTGAAATGTTTTATCATTCTGGATCTGATTAAATTGGTTGTGGCTATAGCCGGGGATTGGTTGCAGGGTCCGTATGTGTACTACCTCTACAGCCAGTATGGGTTCAGCAAGGGGGATATTGGACAGCTTTTTATTGCTGGGTTTGGGTCATCCATGTTGTTTGGGACAGTTGTGGGATCTCTAGCTGACAAACAGTAAGGTTTCATGTTGATTAGTTGTTGTGTTTCCTTAAACTTGATCATATTATTGATTCTCAATAATGATATGCCAATTTCAGGGGTCGTAAGAGGGCGTGTATTACGTACTGCATAACTTACATTCTAAGCTGCTTCACCAAACATTTTCCTGACTACAAGGTTTTACTGTTGGGACGCATATTGGGAGGCATTGCCACTTCTCTACTTTTTTCAGCTTTTGAGTCTTGGCTTGTTGCAGAACACAATAAGGTGCAGTGATTGGTCTGCTAATTAATTGCAGTTCTGGAATTCATTTTCTTGACAGGTTCTAATTTATAGTTAGTCTTACAAAAGCTGTGGATCAATTTATCCTTCTTTTGATGGTATGGAAAGCCTACTCATATTACTGTTTATATTTCTGCCCGGCGTAGAAGGTAGAAATTGGAACCAGTCAATTATTGCGTCCAAAGGGCTCAGTTCATATTTTTGTTAATTTAGTTATTGTGTCATAAATTAAATTCCATTCAGTTGAATTGCTTTCTTCATGTTTTATCACGCGAGGGATTTTAGAATTCAATATTACTTCACATATACATTGCTCTTTAACTGTTTGTGTCCCCTAATTTTTGCAGAGGGGCTTTGAGCAGCAGTGGCTTTCATTAACATTCTCTAAGGCTATTTTTCTTGGCAATGGTCTAGTTGCCATAGTAGCTGGGCTACTTGGGAATCTTCTGGTAGATACTTTGGGATTTGGCCCAGTTGCTCCATTTGATGCTGCTGCATGCTTTTTGGCAATTGGCATGGCAATTATATTGGCATCATGGGGTGAAAATTATGGAGACTCTTCAGAAAACAAGAACTTGCTCACCCAGTTCAGGGGTGCTGCTGTAGCCATTGCTTCCGGTGAATCCCTGACCTTATTCTCTTTCCATCATCTTTTTTTAATTAATGGTTAAGTCCATAAAATAAACTTCTCCAATTAGATAATATAAGACTTTAAATAAAGGTGGGCTGACATTCATATGACTCTAACCTTATTCTTTTGCATTTCTCACAAATTCTTCTTCTATTATTTTCCATGGGGGAGCAGATGAGAAGATTGCTTTGCTTGGTGCCATACAGTCCCTATTTGAAGGCTCAATGTACACCTTTGTGTTCCTCTGGACTCCTGCTTTGAGCCCAAATGATGAGGAGATTCCACATGGTTTCATTTTTGCAACATTCATGCTAGCCTCAATGTTGGGAAGCTCTTTAGCATCTCGGCTGATGGCAGCTTCATCCCCCAAAGTCGAGAGCTATATGCAGATTGTATTTGTAGTCTCTGCGGCTTCGCTTCTGCTTCCCATTGTGACAACTGTATGTCAAGAATTTTAATATATCAATCTTCTTCAAATTTATGAATTTGAATTGCTTTTAAACCATGGTTATCAACTTGTCTATGAATTTGTACAGTTATTCATTGCACCTTCCAATGTGAAAGGTGGGAGCATGTCATTATCAGGGTATACTCAGCTCATTGGCTTCTGCATATTTGAGGCCTGTGTGGGCATATTCTGGCCATCCATCATGAAAATGAGGTCCCAATACATCCCAGAGGAGGCAAGAAGCACCATCATGAACTTTTTCCGCATTCCTCTCAACATCTTTGTGTGCGTTGTGCTGTACAATGTGAGTGATTAGGTTTCATTTACTCATGATCGTTTGAGGCTCTGCCTACCAGTACATGCTTTTGACAAAAAACAAAAACTGTGAGGGTATCCTCAAATAGTTTCTTTCTCATAGAAATACAAATATGATTGTACATTTTTCTGTAATAATGATTTGGTTTGTTTCCTTTTCGAAGGTTGATGCATTTCCCATCACCATCATGTTTGGTATGTGCTCGATTTTCCTCTCTGTGGCTGCTGCATTGCAGAGGCGGCTTATGGTGATTGCTGATGGCCCGAAATCAAGTAAGTTCTGCTGTAGTCCTTGCTTCTTTCTAATTAATTGATATATTTCGACTGTATGTTATACTATCACAGTTGCATTCCACCCTTTTTTCTTGTTGGTTTCCTGTGGTGATGATTAATAATGAATATGTTATGTTTCATCGTAGAACCAGAAGAATGGACAACACATGAGAGGGACACAGAAGCAGAGCCATTAAATGACTAATTGATGATGAATATAACAATAAAAGAAAAGACACCTGGAAATTTTTTGATGTTTGAAACAAGCCACCTATTCTAATGTGAACGTTCGAGCTGCATCTTGGTTTTCTGTTTGCTGTCACTGATTGACACCAACTTCAAAACAAGGCATGAAGGAGTTTCAGGGGCAATCAGCTGGTGGCTATAACACAAAGAAATGACTAACTAACGAGTCTAGTTGCTATATGTAGTTCATGTATTTTCCAATCACTGTAGACTCATGCTTGCATCAGCTATATTTTGTCATATGGTTGTCATATGATTGATGTTAGAAAATGTAAGGATGCTTCAGTCACTTATAAATGGTTTTTTTTTCTTCTTTCCTCTTGGCCATTTTGTTCTCGTTCTTTTTGCCCTTCAACTTCTCATTTTTGTTTTGTTTCTATTGGACGTACTTAGAGGAAGCACCTTGGAAGTGTAATATCAATTTGGTTTACATTTCTAATTTGAAATTGGTAGTCTTGAATTTTTTGTAAATCTGAAGTGCACAAAGGCATAAAGAGAATGTTTAACGTTTTCCTAATTGGAGACAAGATACAAGTTTTTGCCAAAAGTGGGTAGGGGTAGGGGAAGGGGGAAAACTCACGCACACGGGTATCATCGGAACCGGAAGATAGAAGTTGATTAATGAGAGTGTAATTCTTTGTTCAATTATTGTATGGATGTTTTATTTTATTTTTATAAAACATAACCTTAGACAACCCCCAAGTAGCTGTTACCCATGAGTGTCCTCTGACTGAATTCCGGACGACAAACCATGTGAAAAGGAGACAGGCTTTCATGTTCTTTCATGTTTCTCCACATGATGATCCAATAACTAACTCAATTCATCTTCCTAATCATATTCCAAAAAAATTTCTCCAACCCCACTCTCCTTTTTCTACCTTTCAACTTATGAGCACTTATAACATTAGTGGCTCATCCTTTAATGGATTTTTAAGAACTATACTAGCACGTAAACGACTTATGCTAACATAGTTGTTCAACTTACCCATTTTAAGTTAAATTCATGCACAATCATGAACATGCAACTTGCGCATGTGAAATTATTGGCCATGTGATTGGTTTTCCAAATCAACCCTTTCAGCAAAGCCCATCTCTGTAGTTACTTGTAAGTTGTACCTATCTATGTATTGTTTACCACTTGGCAGGAACAAACCAAGTCTCCCCACAGAGACCTCCACCATCCTTATATTATTCTTTTGATGTTTAACCAGTTTTGACACAGCTGGTTTGATATTGAGTCCTTGACCATCTAAAAAGATGTACCAATCACGCTCAAAACGAGGGGGCATTTGGTAATTTTGTCTTCAGGTTGTCCATATGCAGTGCAGACACCCTCGAGCCAATAAGATTTGCCCATCCGCTGATTCTCTGAACTCACTCCTACATTTGAGAAAGAGAAAGTTTGAAGTGAGAGAGAGGAGTTGAAGATGGCCAATCTTAGAAGTCCAAGGTTTCAGCTCTTACTGGTTTTGCAAGTCCTTATGCTAATACAATCCAAAGTGCTTTGCTACCAGTACAAAGTTGGAGATCTAGATGCTTGGGGCATACCGACTTCGACAAATCCAGAGGTCTACACCAAATGGTCAAAAACCCATGAATTCAAGATGGGAGATTCTCTCTGTAAGAGTTTTCTGTTTCTTTCTTTCAATGTTGTTCTTTCTTTTTTCTCATTTCAAAACCACTGAAGAAAAAAAATTGGTTTCTTTTTTCCTGTGTAATGCAGTGTTTTTGTACCCACCAAGCCAAGATTCAGTGGTTCAAGTCACAGCACAAGCCTACACCAGCTGCAACCTCAAAGATCCAATCTTGTACATGAACAATGGCAACTCTCTGTTCAATTTTACTTCATTGGGGGACTTTTACTTCACCAGCGGTGAACCGGGTCATTGCCAGAAGAACCAGAAGCTCCATATTTCTTTTGGCAATGGCTCTGCCTACTCTCCCTCCTATGGCCCTAGTGCATTGCCTGATTCTGCACCTTCTTACCCCACAGTTTTTGGCACAATCCCAGCACCCCCTTCTTCTGCGCCGTCACAAAGTTTCCCAGTTCTCATGGTGGCTGTGATTGGATTTGTGGTATGTTCACTGCTCAGTGGCAATCTGTGAACAGCTTCAACATGGCTGTTATTGGATTCTTTTTTCTTCTTCTTCTTCTCATGAATGGTTCTATAAACATTGGCATATTGGTTGATAAATGGAATTTTTGGTATTGTAATTCTTTTTGGAAATCCAATAGAATAATGAAGCATATCATGTTCATATGCGATTTAGCATTGCTTTTCTTACTTTCTTTTGGTGAATCCCTTGAATTTCGGAGGGCAGTCAAAGGATCATTTTAACCTAAAAGAGAAAGTTACAAAGTTACTTTTTATTTTAAAATTCCTTTTTTTGCTATCAAGAGAAGAGAAGATAAGATGACATGGGTTTCCATGTCAAAGTACAAGGACAGCCTGACAGAACACTGCCCGGTGATTGTGGCGGTGAGAAGTAGTTGCATAGATTATACAATTATTAAGTATCCAGCTGGATGTACATGTTGCCCACGACAGTGTCTCATCCATGTGGGTCACCAATTAAATGTAGCATCATAATAAGATTTGAAAAAAGAAAAAGGAAGAAGAGATGAACCAAAAGTCTGAAAGAAAATGCCTGTATAATAAGAGAATGTAACTCTGCCACCACAAGGATCAACAGCAGCAAGTTCATAACCACAGTAACTGTAAAATATTGCATGCTCTACTATATATGGTACACAGCCTATCAAGGCCTCATAACAGCACTTGAGGATTTTTCTCATCTTAAAAGTACATGGAGGTAGACACATTTGACAGAGTTGGAACACATGCGACAAGAGTTATAAAACATTTGACAAAATTGATGAGGGCTGGGCAGGATTTCATCTCAACATCTCAGTACGGATGGACGAGACAAGGGACGCTGTTTTGGACGAGTACTTGTGATGGATCTAATAGTTACTCAACCGACCATGTCAATGTCAACTGGTGTTGGCTTCACTTCGGAAGCAGCAAAGGGTGCATCTGGAACTGCAGGCTCTGCAAATTGTGTGGCCGTAGACTTTGGTTCTGTTACTGAAAATGGATTTCGCATTTGGGCAGCATTAGAGTCTACTTCCATAGCAGAGGGCCTGGGTGGGGAAGCAGGCTGCACCTCCACATCCGGATAAGCAGCCTTAAATCGTGCTCGCAGGCCTTCATCAACCAATCTTACACCACTCAGTTGATTACCGAGTGACATCCACCTGATACAAAACATTCAGAATAAAACATAAAAGCTTGATTTTCAAGTAAAGGCCCCACACCCACAGACAACAAGAGATAATAGACTATGGTAAAGGCCTTTTTTTGTGTGGAGAATAAACGATGGTAAAGGCTTTTTAGGACGGAAAAGGGTTAAAATGGAGATCTACCCTCATTAGCATGATACTCAACTTTTCTTACTTAAAGAGTTGCACTTCCGATTTAACCCTTCACACTTACCTTTGGTTCTAAGAAAACCCCCAAAAACAATAGAAGCCGAATGAAAAAGGAAAAAAAGGAAAAAAACAATGGTACAGGCCTTATAAATACGGGAAAGGGTTATTACCCACATTTGCATGATACTAAACTTTGCTTACTTGCACTATCAAAGAAATTTTAACCTACGGAAAACCCAAGACCATGCTAGGTTCAGATTGTCACTGGTTTCGTTATCAATTTATGCCAAAAATCACAACATACAACATTGTTGATATTGTTGATCAACAATAACGAAGGAATTTCATTTAACAATTACAGCCATAGTCAAGAAAGCATACCCTGCATGAGTATTGTGCATGCGAGCAAACAGTTCCAGCTTTCTAGTCCTTGGACTTATCCTCTCCAGCAAAGGGTACATCTGCAGGAATGCATGTATATTTAGCCAAATTTTAACAAAACTAAACAGATAAAAATACAATAGAGACAATAATTATTATAACATTATGTGTTAGAAGGCAATAACTTCTAGATCACCACCTCTTAAATTGTAAGGGAAAAGTACAATTATAATATAGTTCATCCCGTAAGCTCATTATGAAGAACTATATTTTGCATAGATATTTCACTGCACAATTATAAGAAGCATATTCCACTAACCTCATCTGGCTTACGGCTTGTCTCTCTAACCTCGGCAACAATGACATCAGTATCAATATTTCTATTTACCAATGGTTCCCCTTTTATTCCAACAAGGCAATGCTCCTTACTATGATTAAGCCAGTGGCCAGTCCGCCCTGTTCTAATTATTCGTTGAAGTTGATTAGTCTTTACCCAAATTAGCTCCTCGATACGCTTGTATCCCCAAAGTTCCAAACTGCAAGAAGAATAGTGATATTTCTGTGAGTGAAAGCCAAAGAATAAGCAGATCCAATTTAAGCATCTATGGTTATAACTTATACATTTGATGCAGCAGTTGACAGATGGTCAAAGTATATACATACCATTCACGCCCAAGCTCCATTGCACGCCCAGTGACCCAAAGGAAAATCAGACCATCTGTCTGCAATGCGGGAACATTAAGATTGCGCATTTCATCATCAGCCATTGTCCCATAGGGCAATTCCATATGAATGTCCCACGGTGGATCTGCCATTATTACTCCAAATTGCCCTAGAATGTCCATTCTAAAGTTGCGGATATCACAGTTAATCCATTGTGGTTGACCAAGTTCAACCTCAGAACAATATTCAGCACGCTGAGGCTTCAATGGTTTATGGGGATTGAGAGCTGGAGCCCCCATCATCATGTGTGACACATCTGGTGTTGGATCAAGCTCATAGTGTACATACTTGCATGTCTAACAATGGAGACAACAACGTGTTACTTTATGAAAAATAGTCACCAACATATAATTAATTCATCACTCAAGTAAAAAAGGTAAACTTTACCTTCATGTGACGACAAGTATCCAGAAAAGAGCAGTCACCTAAATTGACATCGGTATGTGGAGCAATTATTCGCCTAAAATGAACCTGAAAGGAGAAAATAAAATGCAATGTGAAAAAAGCACAAAGTACTAAGATTAAAGTTATTTGCAGTGATTTTAGAATAAAAACTAGAAATACAATCAGCAAAAGGAAATGTAGAACATCTCAAAATAACTTTGAATAAGTTCACAAAAATTATGGTTAATAGAACTGAAATAGCCAGTGTGCACATAAATTTCAATTTTGGAAACAGGCAAAACTAAATCCAATGATGCAATCCTCTAAAGTTGGATGCTACAAGCCAACATTAAATCAGAGCTCAATCATTTTGGTTACACTTTCTAGCAAGATCGTTTCAGCACATTATTAGGTAGTTAAAAGATCCCAGTGCAAAACATAAAACTTAAACTAGACGCATGCTATGAATTGAAATTGTACAACATCGAACAAAATAATAAGCAAGAGGCAGCATTCTGATAACTATTAATTTCAAGACTTAAGAAGTCATGATCAAAGGCATGTTTTGCACTTGTAAGAACAGTCAATAGATCATATTTCTTACCGACCTTCTCACATGCAAGTAAGGAATTAGACTGGCGCCGGCAGTCCTCTTTTGTTAGGGATGTGCAGTATTCCTTCAATTGTGAACCACCTTTAGTCTTGAACTGAAACAAAAAAAGACATCAATTGACTTCAGACTTTCCTGCTGATGCAGCCAACCCCAGTTTTAGCATTTCTTATGCCCAAGCAATGAGTCCATCGAATAATTGAGTCCCAGTTATAACATAAAGAACAAACTGCAGGCAAAATAATATGTTCACCACAAGCCTCCTACTCATTGATTACAGAACCCAAAATCATTGCTTTGGTGCTCTTGATCAATAAGCAGAAAAGATAACACAAAATTTGAAAATATCACATCAATACTTATAAAGTCTAAAAGCATAAATGGTCCTTGCAGTTCCAAGTAATTTTTGGGTGTTACACAGTGTTACCAATCCACCCGTGTTTTAGCACGTGTATATTTAGTAATAAACCTGTCGCCACCATGTGTCATAATTTCGGGGCTTGATTAGTAAGACCATGTGGTTGTGGCATTACTGTCACACATACCCTATATGACAAGTCATGTTGTTTAGTATTGTTAATACTAACTCTTGTGGTCTACATCTGTTACCAATTTTAGTTACATCTCCTAATTCCGTCAATTTTTGTAACCGGTCATCCACGTGCACATCAGGTGCAGGAGCATTATGGTCATTTTCCACCCATTTCACTACTCACAAAGGATCCATGTGGTTTACAGTATATGTCGCAAGTCTCTTTGGAGACAAGTTGAGTGGAAGGTAAGTCATGTGGTCTACGCTGGTTACCAAGTTTACTCAAATCTCCAATTTTGTTAATAACACACATTCATGAGTAGAGATTTACTAAAAATTGGTAACGGAGTAGACCACAAGGGTATTATTAACAAAATTAAAGCCGAAGAACTTATCTATAAACCTTCGACATATAGGGTAAAATACATGACCATTTGTGATCTTAAGCCTATTTATAGCTTAAATGGCAGACAGGAAATATTTTTTACATATACCAGCTTTCCAGGTTATTGACGCCAAAAAAAAAACAAGCTTTCCAGGTTATGCAAAGAACCAGTTAAATGAGTCTATTAAGAACAATACAAGTAAAAGTATTGACATTTGACAAACCTTGGCAGCCACAGCAGTCTCCTTAGCAGTTGGCCGGTGAATCAGGTCCAAAAGCTCCTCACCAGTTTTTGATTTTTGTAACTCCTTAAAAGTCTTCTTATTCAACAATGCCTCAAGATCCTTCATTTCCTCCTCTTCACTCCTAGGCTTATGCGACATCGAATTGGGGCTATCCATTGTTGCATTTGGCCCCAAACTAACAGCTCTATGCATTGGAGGAACACCACTCATCCCTCTAGGCATTCCCATCATGCCCATTACTCTAGGACTAGGAGCACCCCTTGGACCCATCAATGAACCCGGCGGTCCACTCCCAGGAAACATAGGCGGCAAACCAGCCATATGAGTATCATTAGGTCCCATCCACAAGTCCTGCATTGGCCTTGAACCAGGCCCTCCCATTCCAAACACTCCACCACCATTACCATCAACCCCATTAGTCACCACTTGCTGCTGACTCTGATTCTGATTCAAATTCCCATTCCCATCTACCAAATTCGAATCTTGACTCTGGAACTGCTTGCTTTCAGGCAATTCCTTCATCAGCCGAGTCCGGTCAATCCCCAAAACCATAACTCTCGACTTGCCACTCACCACAAACTCCTCCAACTCAACGCCACCGTTCTCTTCCGCCATTGACCTCAACGCCATCTCCACCGCCAATATCGCCCCGGACTCTCCTCCGAGCTCTCGCAGGGCCGCCTTCTCCTCCGAAGTTGCATTCTGGTCGCCCTCAAGTTTTCTCAAAATCGCCGACGAGTCAACCCGCGAAAAGGGCACCCTTTCAAGCAAGCAAACCGCAACCATAGCCCGAACCACAGACAATGGGTTTCCCATCTCATCCATGGGGCTGAAGTTCTCGGGTTCGGGTTGGTCGGTCGGCTCCGGATTCGCCCGATTCGGAGAAAGCTTCGGACTTTCGGTAATTGGGTTTGTGGGTTTGGGTTCAGGGGAAGGGAGGCGACTGCGTTGGGGTTCTGGGGTTAAAGGGCGAGTGGGTTCGATTGGTTCGATTGGTTTGTTGGGGTTGGGTTTAGGGTCCGGGAGAGAAGGTGTGGGAGTGAAAGGTCGGCCATTGAAGGCCGAGAGGACCTTGAGAGAGAGATCAATGGTGGGAACAATGGCGGGGACGACTTGGGTTTGGAGATAAGAGAGGAGTTCTAGCTGGGTAGTGCGCTGAGACTCCATTCGAGCTTCAAGCTGTTGGCTCCTGTTTCTGATGGTGGCTATGGCGGAGGCTTCGCCGTCTGATTGGGTTTCCATTGCTATGGGTTTCTTGTGCTTCTTCTCTGTGTAACTGAAATCGAGTGAAGCTGAAGCTGTTCAAGCAAAACAATTTCCCTGTCTCTCTCTCCCTCTTTCTACGAATAGCGAGGGATTTTGTAATGTTCGCAGTCAAACCAACATATATACGTAGGATAGGAACAGGAGGGAATAGGCAAACAATTCCCCTCTTTATTATTATTTTTGTTTTTAGATGATTTTTCAAAATATTTTAGATATATATTTGGGAATTTCCTCATGCCAATATGTTATGGTTGAATTTTTTTTTGGTTGATATGGTTGATTAAGTTTGGATTTTGTTTAAATGTTGTGGTTGTTATAGTTTAATACCATAATATTTTTATAAAAAAAATTAGATATGTATCAAAAAAATATTTAGAGAATAGATTTCTTTTGCGACGTTGGTTATAAGTCATTTCACCAACTAGTTTTTTTATTTACTTCTTATGAAGTCATTTCATCCCTACTTGATGTATGAAGGTACATAAATTTTTTAGAAAATCAATAGCATCTATTTGGTTGATCGTGCTACTTGCAAACCTCTAATTAGGAGACACATTCATTTTTTTGCTAACCATCAAATAAGATGATTTATATAGTAAATTTTGTTTAACACGCACAATTTGTTTGATGGTACAAACATTAAAATTAGAGATAAATGATCATTGAAGAAGTCTCTAACGATACATATACGCACGAAGATAATTATAAATATCAAAAGATAACTTACTATATCACACCAGTATGATTTCTGTAGCATCTTTCAATCTCGTAGGATTCTCCAACATTTTTTTGTTTTGTGAAACTTCTCCAACATTTTGTTGGACCAAATTCAAGCATGAATACTGCCCATGCACAAATTACAAATGAAATCCGTTGCTTTCCCCATTACAAACCAAGAAAACAACAGTTGATTGGAAAGAAATCATCCTATTTTCTATCCAACTAGTGCAATTCTTTAAGAACGAAAAAAAATAATACAAATTTATAAATAAACCCAATCCTAGACATGTATTTATAAAAAAACCCAAGCACTATTTAAATATAGAAACACACCCAAAATCAACCCCAAAGTCAACTTTTTGGGTGTGTTTATAAATGAGTATTGAGTGTGTGTAATGATGGGTTTTGGGTGTGTTTATATGTTTAAATAGTGCTTGGGTTTTTTTATAATTTCAACCCCCATTTTGGGTGTTTTAGTGAAATCCCCAAAAAATAAATCTACATACAATTTCTTCAAGTGTAAACAGGGCAGCCTTCAACAATCACACCTTTAGCCGTAGGGCAAGTAGCCAAGGGGCACCCATCAAGGTCATTTCCCCACCAGCTAAGGCTAATGTCCTCCAACCCCAGGCTAAAATACAGAAGCACCCCCATGAAGGCAAGGCCAGCATCAAGTGCGCCAGAGAGCACATAATTGTGCCTCCTCCACCAATCTGGCCTGTACCTATACACAACAAAACCAGACAGAAAACCCAAAATGATCCAAGAAGTGTAGTTGACTGCAGTTGCAGGTGGCATATTCCCTGTGGCACCAATTAGGACTGGCATGTTGATGAGCCTGATCCACTCTTGTTTTGGGAAGGCCTTAGCAGCTGCCCATACAACAAGGGGGGCAACTGCCCCACCCAAGAAGAACCAATTGACTGCCTCATATGTGCCCTCGTTACCAAATATTCTTCTAGGGCCAATCAAGCCCCATATGACTGAGGCATCATAGAACACTGTGTCTGCTGGGCAAGTCCACACTGATGATGTGTCCTCACATATGTCTGGGATGGTTTCCATCAGCCACCAAGCCGTGCCCAAGTAGACAATTGCAGCTATAAGGGTACCCACAACCTGAGAGGTGAATTTTAATTGTTAAGGATATTGGGATTGGAAGGAAATTAGTGAGAAGATAAATACAATTATACTATTTGTACGATATTTATTGATCACATTATGTAATCTGTGAATGCGGTACAATAGCGGCACTGAAAAAATAGGAAGTGACCTGAGCCATGAACATGGTTCTAGGAGGGATTTTCATGTAGTGACCAAGCTTGAAGTCTTGCAAAAATGTGATGGCTTGTGTCATACTTATGTAGCCATACACCTTGAAGCACATATTGGCAACTGGATATCCTGGGTAGATGTACCCAATTATATACTCAGTGATGATGTTCAAGCCTGGTGTCTGTCATTAGAAAGATGAACTGATTAATGAAGCCAAAGATTGGTTAAAAGACTAAAATGTCCAACAAGATTGACTGTTAGGGCTTGTACCAGAAAATGGGTACCTGATTTGTGATGGCTGTGATGATCCCAATTGGGAGGGTGAAGAAAATGGCAATAGCACAAGCTAGTAAAACACCCCACCAAGGCAACTGGAGCTGGTCATTGTAGTATTGGCAGGTAAAAATAGTAACTGCAATGTTGACCAAAAGTATGGCCACAAACCACCATTCGGGCACTTGATTGTACCTCTGCATAAGTCTTGTGTGTATGTCCATTTGCTTCTCTTTGAAACTTGCTTTGCTTTGCTCCCATATTACCCTACAAATATAGCATATGGCCAAAGAATGAGCTTCAAAACGCAACCTAAACCAATTGACTCCTTATGGTATGTGTGTTTATCTCTGTCATAACTCAACTCTTCATATGATGAGAGTCAGAAAAATCGACACATATGTGTATACACTTTAATGTATTTTTTTATAATTTTCGACGTAGTGTAATGTCAAATGAACTTGTTTGTTACCTTCCATGAAACAGAGCAACATGAACAATTGTAGCAGTGAGTGCAGCAAAGCCAACACCGTAAGTTATTGCGAAAAATGTGCTGAGGTAAAGCGGACCTTCTCGATCATACGCAGCGGAATCAAGGTGGAAATTGGAGTCAATGATAGCTGTTATGTTGTATTCTTGACCATCTGATGTGAACAATGTGTCTGAAAAAATTGGGAAGGTTTTGGCTTTGTAGACATTAAGCCAATAGCAAAGAGGAGTCAATATGTACATGACAAATAAAAAACCAGCAGCAACATTGGCTGTGGCAAACCATGGGCTTGCAAGTGGGCTTCCGAGGTAGGAGGAGATGGTTGACCAGTCAAGCCCAACGGCTCCAATTCCAAGCCCATAAAGACCTGAGCCAAGCTGTTGGGCCAGGACACTTTTGGGGAAAATCCAACATATCCAAGAGAGGGAAGTTAGCATTTCAAATAGGTAGCCAGGGAAAACATAGTAAGCAAAGCTGCACATGAAGGCAATGAGGAAGAACTGTGTTCTGGTCAATCCTCCCTTTGGCCTTGCTTCTTTCTCATGGAGGGCCCTGTGGTAATGAAGTTTTCTCACATTTTAGTCGCTAAATAACTTGGCATGTGACATGTTAGCGTTTTACTTAATAAATAAATGAGATTCGAGCGAGACTGGGGGATATAAACAAATGTAAATTTGTAGTTGGGATCTCAAATTTTAGGAGTTGTTAGGGTCTTTCACATTATTGAAATATTGTAAGCATATTGTAACAATTTGATTACATCACCTTAGCTCAAGTCCAAGAACTAGTTAGTTAGGACTTGTGTTTTAGTTTTGCAACCAAACCCATTATATAATGATTGCAAATGATTTTTTAATTTACAAGAAACGTAAAAATGTATTATCTTCTTCGATAAATAAAAATCCTATGTAAGTATTTTACGTGAAAAAATGTGACAAAGAATAAAGATGTGCTATAATTGCGAATGATAATTTGTAATTAATGGACGACTGAGTCTAGCATCTTTCGACAAAATCATCCATAGATACAAAATATGTTATACTTGATAAGAAAATAGGTGAATAAATGTAGATAAAATTGCAGTAATTTAATTACTATCTCTGACGCGTCATTATTTCGTGGCATGCATGAATTGAAAGACTAAAAAGGACACTACTTGAATGCAAACACCTACCTACCCTTTCTAAATTCTCAACCCCCAATCAAGATACCAACCAGTCAAAGGCCAATCAACTCCATGGCCACCCAAACACACCGGAATCAACGGAATATTCATAGTAAATTTAAAATAAAATAAAAAGATATGACAAAATTAAACACTCTATAATCTATTAACATACATATTATATATATATATATTTATTTATTTATAGTAAGTAAAAATTAAAAGAAAAAAATGAAGGTATTACCTGAACAATGAAACTTGGACAAGGTTTGCCGGCCACCACATAGCAGCTGGCTCAACCAAGTACCTCCTGAAAATCCCAGCCCAACCAAACCCCAACACCTACCATTCAATTCAATTTCAAACCCCATCATCAACCCTAATCAACAAAATTTCAAAATAATCATCTTCAATTAAACTCTACAAAACCAATATAATATATCTGGAAGAAGTTAACAAATTACTTAATAAAAATATTCACCTGAGTTGTTAAGATAACAAGCAGGGACACAAAGAAGGTGATGTGTTTCTTGTAAAAAACTTTAACCACAGTAACAACATGAATGGCGTAGACAGTGCCAGCTCCAGAATTGGCAAAGATGGTGATGAGGACATGTTCTTTGACATTGAAGGGTCCAGGGTTCAAGGTGAACTCCCAGCGGGAGCCTTTGAAAAAGGCATGGGTTGTGATTTTGGAAGCCATGAGCTGCCCCAGAGGCACCACAGCAATCTGGGCAGAGATGGCGGTGATCGAAAGAGGCTCTTTTCTGTACCAGAAGAACTGGTTGAGGAAGGAGAGGAGGACGCAGGAGAGGGTACCCAGAAACCACATTCGAAATGTTAGGACTGGGAGGGAGGGATCGTCTGTGGTTGGTACAGTCAAAGCAACCTGTTCCACTGGTGAGTTTTCTTCTTCTTCTTCTTCTGGGTTTTGAAGTTTTGGTTGAGAAGATGAGGGCTGGGCATAAAAGTCTTCATCTTTCTTGTCCTTAGAAACTGCAGAGCCAGAAAACAAAATTAGAAAGAGAAAAAGGGAATTGATTGATTGATGGGGAGGGCTTGCTTACTGAGAGGGCTTGTGATTTCATGAGTGGATTCTTCCATGGATTCTGTGCTTTCTGTCATTCTGTATGTCAATAGTTTCTAACATGTATATACGTTTTGTTTTTAAGGTGGTGGTGGTGGTGGAGGATTAAAATTGAATGATATGAGGAAGGAGAATCTAAGGAGGTAGATAAGTTGTGAAATTTTCTTGGGTCATAACTAATTTTAGGGTATGATGAATTTTTTTTTGGTTCATAAAATGGTATGGTTGATTAAGTTCGGATTTTGTTTAAATGTTATAGTTGTTATAGTTTAATACCATAATTTTTTTTAAATTAGATATGTATCTAAAAAATATTTAGAGAATAGATATCTTTTGCGACGTTGTGGTTATTATAAGTCATTTCACCAACTAGTTTTTGATTTACTTCTTCTGAAGTCATTTCATCCCTACTTGATGTATGAAGGTGCATAAATATTTTAGAAAATCAATAGCATCTATTTGGTTGATCGTGCTACTTGCAAACTTCTAATTAGGAGACTCATTAATTTTTTTCTAACCATCAAATAAGATGATTTATATAGTAAATTTTGTTTAACAAGCACAATTTGTTTGATGGTACAAATATTAAAATTAGAGATAAACGAACATTGAAGAAGTCTCTAACGATACATATACGCACGAAGGTAATTATAAATACCAAAAGATAACTTACTATATCACACCAGTATGATTTCTGTAGCATCTTTCAATTTCGTAGGATTCTCCAACATTTTTTTTGTTTTTGTGAAACTTCTCCAACATTTTGTTGGACCAAATTCAAGCATGAGTACAGCCCATGCACAAATTACAAATGAAATCCGTTGCTTTCCCCATTACAAACCAAGAAAACAACAGTTGATTGGAAAGAAATCATCCTATTTTTTATCCAACTAGTGCAATTCTTTAAGAACGAAAAAAAGAAAATAACTATATACAATTTCTTCAAGTGTAAACAGGGCAGCCTTCAACAATCACACCTTTAGCCGTAGGGCAAGTAGCCAAGGGGCACCCATCAAGGTCATTTCCCCACCAGTTAAGGCTAATGTCCTCCAACCCCAAGCTAAAATACAGAAGCACCCCCATGAAGGCAAGGCCAGCATCAAGTGCCCCAGAGAGCACATAATTGTGCCTCCTCCACCAATCTGGCCTATACCTATACACAACAAAACCAGACAGAAAACCCAAAATGATCCAAGAAGTGTAGTTGACTGCAGTTGCAGGTGGCATATTCCCTGTGGCACCAATTAGGACTGGCATGTTGATGAGCCTGATCCACTCTTGTTTTGGGAAGGCCTTAGCAGCTGCCCATACAACAAGGGGGGCAACTGCCCCACCCAAGAAGAACCAATTGACTGCCTCATATGTGCCCTCGTTACCAAATATTCTTCTAGGGCCAATCAAGCCCCATATGACTGAGGCATCATAGAACACTGTGTCTCCTGGGCAAGTCCACACTGATGATGTGTCCTCACATATGTCTGGGATGGTTTCCATCAGCCACCAAGCAGTGCCCAAGTAGACAATTGCAGCTATAAGGGTACCCACAACCTGAGAGGTGAATTTTAATTGTTAAGGATATTGGGATTGGAAGGAAATTAGTGAGAAGAGAAATAAAATTATACTATTTATACGATATTTATTGATCACATTATGTAATCTGTGAACGCGGTACAATAGTGGCACTTAAAAATAGGAAGTGACCTGAGCCATGAACATGGTTCTAGGAGGGATTTTCATGTAGTGACCAAGCTTGAAGTCTTGCAAAAATGTGATGGCTTGTGTCATACTTATGTAGCCATACACCTTGAAGCACATATTGGCAACTGGGTAACCTGGGTATATATACCCAATTATATACTCAGTGATGATGTTTAAGCCTGGTGTCTGTCATTAGAAAGATGAACTGATTAATGAAGCAACATATTAGTTAAAAGACTAAAATGTCCAACAACATTGGCTGTTAAGGGAAAGTACCAGAAAATGGGTACCTGATTTGTGATGGCTGTGATGATCCCAATTGGGAGGGTGAAGAAAATGGCAATAGCACAAGCTAGTAAAACACCCCACCAAGGCAACTGAAGCTGGTCATTGTAGTATTGGCAGGTAAAAATAGTAACTGCAATGTTGACCAAAAGTATGACCACAAACCACCACTCAGGCACTTGCTTGTACCTCTGCATAAGTCTTGTGTGTATGTCCATTTGCTTCTCTTTGAAACTTGCTTTGCTTTGCTCCCATATTTCCCTACAAATACACCATATGGCCAAAGAAAGAGATTCTAAACACTGCCTAAACCAATTGACTCAAATGTGAAAAATTTAAGAGAAAGTCTTCTTTATCATTGATCGTATACAATTATGTGTCTATTTTTATCATAATGTGATCCATATAAATCGATATATAGTTGTATACAACTAGTTCTAGCGAAGATTTTCTCTAAACTTGAACATAGTGTATTGTTAAATTGTTACCTTCCATGAAACAAAGCAACATGTACAATTGTAGCAGTGAGTGCAGCAAAGCCAACGCCGTAAGTTATTACGAAAATTATACTGAGGTAAAGCGGACCTTCTCGATTATATGCCGCGGTATCAAGGTGGAAATTGGAGTCAATGATAGCTGTTATGTTGTATTCTTCACCATCTGATTTGAACATTGTGCTTGAAAAAATTGGGAAGGTTTTGGCTTTGTAGACATTAAACCAATAGCAAAACGGAGTCAATATGTACATGACAAGGAAAAAACCAGCGGCAACATTGGCTGTGGCAAACCATGGGCTTGCAAGTGGGCTTCCAAGGTAGGAGGAGATGGTTGACCAGTCAAGCCCAACGGTTCCAATTCCAAGCCCATAAAGACCTGAGCCAAGCTGCTGGGCCAGGACACTTTTGGGGAAAATCCAACATATCCAAGAGAGGGAAGTTAGCATTTCAAAGAGGTAGCCAGGGAAAACATAGTAAGCAAAGCTGCATATGAAGGCAATGAGGAAGAACTGTGTTCTGGTCAATCCTCCCTTTGGCCTTGCTTCTTTCTCGTGGAGGGCCCTGTGGTAATGAAATTTTCTCACATTTTAGTCACTAAATAACGTGGCTTGTGACATGTTAGTGTTTTACTCAATAAATAAATGAGATTCAAGCGATACCGTCGGATATAAATAAATGTAAATTTGTGGTTGGGATCTCAAATTTTAGGAGTTGTTAGGGTCTTTCATATTACCTTAGCTCAAGTCCAAAAACTAGCTAGTTAGAACTTGTGTTTTAGTTTTGCAACCAAACCCATTATATATTAATGATTGAAAATGATTTTTTAATTTACAAAATACGTAAAAATGTATGATCTTTTTGGATAAGTAAAAATCTCATGTAAGTATTCTACATGAAAAAATGCAACTAATAGTAAAGATGCGTTATTATTGCAAATGATGATTTGTAATAGATGGACGACTGACTGTAGCATCTTTTGACAAAATCATCCATATATATAAAATATGTTATATTTGACACGAAAAAACGTGAATAAATGTAGATAAAATTACACACAGAAAATTACTAGCTCTGTCGCTTCATTATTTCGTGGCATGCATGAAATGAAAGACTGAAGGACACTACTTGAATGCAAACACCTACATATCCTTTCTAAATTCTCATCCCCCAATCAAGATACCAACCAGTCAAAGCCCAATCAACTCCATTCCATGGCCATCCAAACACACCGGAATCAATGGAATATTCATAGTAAATTATAATATATAAAAAAAGATATGACAAAATTAAACACTCTATAATCTATTAACATACATATTATATTTATTTATTTATTTATAGTAAGTAAAAATTAAAAGAAAAAAATGAAGGTATTACCTGAACAATGAAACTTGGACAAGGTTTGCCGGCCACCACATAGCAGCTGGCTCAACCAAGTACCTCCTGAAAATCCCAGCCCAACCAAACCCCAACACCTACCATTCAATTCAATTTCAAACCCCATCATCAACCCTAATCAACAAAATTTCAAAATAATCATCTTCAATTAAACTCTACAAAACCAATATAATATATCTGGAAGAAGTTAATAAATTACTTAAATAAAAATATTCACCTGCGTTGTTAAGATAACAAGCAGGGACACAAAGAAGGTGATGTGCTTCTTGTAAAAAACTTTAACCACAGTAACAATATGAATGGCGTAGACAGTTCCAGCTCCGGAGTTGGCAAATATGGTGATGAGGACATGTTCTTTGACATTGAAGGGTCCAGGGTTGAGGGTGAACTCCCAGCGGGAGCCTTTGAAGAAGGCATGGGTTGTGATTTTGGAAGCCATGAGCTGCCCCAGAGGCACCACAGCAATCTGGGCAGAGATGGCGGTGATCGAAAGAGGCTCTTTTCTGTACCAGAAGAACTGGTTGAGGAAGGAGAGGAGGACGCAGGACAGGGTACCCAGAACCCACATTCGAAATGTTAGGACTGGGAGGGAGGGATCGTCTGTGGTTGGTACAGTCAAAGCAACCTGTTCCACTGGTGAGTTTTCTTCTTCTTCTTCTGGGCTTTGAAGTTTTGGTTGAGAAGATGAGGGCTGGCCATAAAAGTCTTCATCTTTCTTGTCCTTAGAAACTGCAGAGCCAGAAAACAAAATTAGCAAGAGAAAAAGGGAATTTATTGATTGATGGGGAGGGCTTGCTTACTGAGAGGGCTTGTGATTTCATGAGTGGATTCTTCCATGGATTCTGAGCTTTCTGTCATTCTGTGTGTCAATAGTTTCTAACATGTATATACGTTTTGTTTTCAAAGGTGGTGGTGGTGGTGGTGGATGAAAATCGAATGATATGACGAAGGAGAATCTAAGGAGGTAGATAAGTTGTGAAATTTTCTGGGGTCATAACTAATTTTAGGGTATAATAAATTTCTATCATAGCTAATTTAGATAATTAGAAGAAAAAAAATAATTAGTTAGCTAATTAATTAGCTAGCAGGTTATTCTGAGTTGTTGCAGCTGCTCACCCACGTGGTGCTACTTTGTCTCCGTTTTTTTTTCTTCTATACATCTAATACATATACGAAGTTGAGAATATTAGTTGATCGTATTCAATTCAATCCAATACTAGTCACGATGGGCTGAACATTACTACAATTAAGCTTGATGTATGTTTCTTCCACTGCCTAAAATATCCTCTCTTTTTGGAATCTATTATTGCACTCATGTACTGAACGACAAAAAATATGGCGGCAAATAGGAAGAATTTTGAGGGGTCCATTGACCATGGATAGTTTGTTTGGTACAGTGCGGAATAATACCTACCCTTCCAAGCCCAACTGATTTTACAGTTGCGAGTATACTATTATAAAGTAAATTTAGGTTTTAGTCAAAAAAAAATTTTCACTTTTGAAAAAAGTCAAAGTTTTTTTAAAAAGGACAGAAAAACCTATCAACTTTCAAATTAAAGACATACAAATATAAAGGATTCCTTAGGAAATCCAAAAATAAATAAGGGCAATTTTGTCCATTTTGACTTCTTTTACAAAATTTCTCTCTCCTTTGTGTTTTTCCAAAGTCTCCCCGAGTATAACTACAATGCCCAATCGGAAATAAAAAAAAAAAAAAATTGATTAAAAAAAAAAAAAAAAAAAAAAAAAAAAAAAAAAAAAGAAGGTGGAAGAGAGTTCAAGGGAAATTTTTGAAATGGTTCTAAAGTGTTCAACTTTAAATGATCTAGATTCAAATTATTCTTGAATCTTGCATTGAATCGCAGTGCATGCATGTGTGGATGATACACACGCACCCACGTAAACTCACAACTAGCCGGAGGAAAATATTTTGTATACTTATTGTCACGTTATCTCAAATAAATATATCAATTGCTTTATATTTTAATTTTTTATATATAACATTGTGTGAAGAACTTATGAAATTGTCAATTGACCTAACTTCGAGATGTCACTATAGTTAGGTTACTTCTCCTATCATATATCACGAGTTTGTGACAGACAGCTCTACAATTTTGGAGCTATTTTGAATGAAATTTGATACAACCAATTCACGGACGGAACTATACTTAGTGGTCTATTCTGGGCTGTAGCCTAGGTAGTTTTTTGGAAAAGAAAATATTAACATATGTAGCTAATTAGTCGAGATTAGGGAGACTTTGGAAAAACCCAAAGGAGAGAGAAATTTTGTAAAATAAGCCAAAATGGACAAAATTGCCCTTATTTATTTTTTGATTTCCTAAGGAATCCTTTACATTTGTATGTCTTTGATTTTAAAGTTAAGAGGTTTTTCTGTCTTTTTTGAAAAAGCTTTGGCTTTTTTCAGAAGTGAAATTTTTTTATGGCTAAAACCTAAATTTACTAATTATAAATAAATTAATATCCTAGTATCCTAATTGGTCCCGCATAATGAAGTATCCTCGATTATAATAAACTATGTCAAAATGAAAAATATACTTGTGAAACTTAGCCTTAGGAGCGGTCCCAAAAAAATACATGATGTTTTTTGTATTCTTTGTTATGAAATTCTCGTAGGTAAAATTCTTATCCCTAATTCTCCAATTTTAATATTTTCATTGATTTGTCTCCATAAGAGAAAAACTTGTCTAAATGAAATTCACCCTTTTAAGAAGAAGATGAAACGAAAAAGACACAAAGATATCATTTGATAGATAGGTTGATTAGCAACAAGATGGATTCATATTACAATAACAAAATATTTCAATTCTCTCAAAGATCTCAGGATACAACTTCAATAAGTACACTTTTAATTATGTTGTTAAACATATATTCATGTTCATAATAAGTTTTTTTTATTGCATCTAATATGTATATGTTTTCTGTTAATTCTTATTAGAAATTAGTCAATGTAGCTATGAATTGCATGATTTATATGATTTAATGTATACTTTTGTCTTAGCCAAAAAATTTAGCTAGCCCATCCGTTGAAAAATTCATGATCCCGCCCTTAAAATCAAGGGAGTTTCACTAAAACACCAAAAATGGGAGCTGAAATTATTAAAAAAAACCCAACACCCAAAACACTTTATAAACACACCCAAAACCCATCATTACACACACTCAAAACCCATTTATAAACACACCCAAAAAATATATAATTGTTGATTTTGAGGTTGATTTTGGGTGTGTTTCTATGTTTAAATAGTGTTTGAGTTTTTTTATAAATACATGTCTAAGATTAAGTTTATTTATAAATTTGTATAAAATCAATTGCTAAGATTGCTGAAGAAGATGTTTTGGCATTATTGGTGGGGAATTGTAACTTGCACGGATTTTATAATCTCCCATATAATGCCGTCGAATATCATGCCAAGCTGCTATCTAAAGTGATAAGCCAATGATAATATGCAAGAGACCCAGCCTTTAATTTAAGTGGTCCCAAGAGCTATAGACGTCATCATCAACATAAACCAACCCGGCTTCCTAAATTGAGAAGCAAATAATGTGCATGAGACACTCCCTTCAATTTTGTAAGGGGACCCAGGCAGACACAATCATGTGAATAATTCTTCTCATTTCTTGCACATTTTGTTAAGAAAGATTAGGGTTTAAGTTAAAGGACTTGCGTGATCAAATGGATAGTAAATAAAATTAGATAATTAAAATGCACTTTAATAGTGCATATCTAATCGAACAGCTGTTATTCCATTATTCATTTTTTATTATCTAACATCTATAAATAATGGAAAAAAAAAGCCTCGTGGAATATGATATTATCACATGATCCTTGAGGCTTTTTATACACTTGAAATGAACCAAATGATATTGTTGACGTCTTTATATAACCCCATCTAAATCATTTCTCTTGTTTCCATTAGCAGATTGAAACCAATACTATAGCACTACGGACCCAACAGCCTACCCGACTCACCCACCAAATTATGTTTGACATTTTTCTTTCTTATTAAAACTATCAAAATGCCAACAGGGTTTAGTCGAGTGAAAAAAATTCTTGACTTGCAGACTAAAGATTTTAGGTTCAAACTCCCATGACATTTTAGTTATATGTGTAAGTTTAGACTATTGCTTGTACTTAAAAAAAAACCACTATCAAGATTACATAAGTTTTATATAACTAGTAAGAGTCACCATAGATTTGCGCTGACGTTTAAGGACCATAAAGCAAATGATGAATTAAGTTGTGATACAGCCAACCGCGTGTAAGTGATTTTTGATTATTAATACATGTAAATTTACATCTTATCAATAGTCATAACTCACTCTCACACTCTTACGCATGTGCGTACAACTACCCCTACTAAAATTCACAGTAGATTATTGACTTCCACATCAAACTAACAATTTCATGAATTTTGTTCACGTTAATCTATCACATCTCGGGATCAGGTTGTTACAATTTGGTATCAGAGCCACTCTACCGTGTGGTGCGAGTGTGCTGATAAGGACGTCGGGCCTCTAAGGGGGGTGGATTGTAACATCTCACATCAACCAATGGAGAGGGGATGATGTGCCTTATATGTACATGCCCGCCTCCATCTAGCACGAGGCCTTTTGAGAGCTCACTGACTTCGAAGTCGGGAAAATTCCAAAGTTAAGCTAGTTTGAACTAGAGCAATCCCAAGATGGGTGACCCATTAGAAAGTTGCTCGTGAGTTCCCAGAAAAAAAACTGTGAGAGAGAGAGGCGGCTCAAAGCGGACAATATCATACTACGGCGGAGCCGATCCAGAGTATGACATAATCGTCTATGTACATGTAAGTGAGTAAGTGAGTGATTTCTAACCATTAACTCATGTAAAACTCACATCTTTTTAACAGTTAGGAATCGCTTGACTTACCAAAGCAATCCAATGATAGATTTGCCGACTGCCACACTAGACTGCCTAGAGTACTAGAGTGTTCCATATTTTTGGCACCACCACTTCACTCACCGTTAACAAATAAATATATAAATGGTAACTTTGTAATTTAGCGCCAAAATGATGTCATTTTCTCAGGACAGCTTCAAGGGAACTTGTCATCTTCCTAATCAGTGAGTTTAGAACTCACCGAACTCCGACACATCTCTCCATTACAATAAGCTCACAGTCTTGATTCTCAGAGAACCCTAGAACTCTCCCTCTCACTCTCTGTGTTCCACAGCCATCTATATAAACTCACCACGGCACACTGGCCAGGTACAAATATTAAACTCTTAATTTTAATGTAATTCTCATATCTTCAACATTTCTGGCATTTACTGGCATTTGCAGATGATCAGTCCACTACCCATTTCATAATTAAAGAAAAAGTTTCGATTTTTTTTCTTTTTTTAATTTTCAAATATTGGGTTTTTCTCCTTAAGCCAGATTCATTGTTAATTACTGGGTTTTAGCTATATGTTGTCCCTGATCTTGTGTGATTTTTGAAGTGGGTTTCTTTGTTAGCTTTTTACTTTTCTCACAGCAATTCTTTCTTTACCAATTGCCATTTACTTCTTTTTGGGCCTCATTGATGGCTTGATTGATCACCATTACTGCTCTTTATCATCGGTTTCAGTTGTTTGATCCTTTACGTAATCACTGCCCTGTTTTGTCAACAGGAATTGCGTCCAAGACTAGATGATAGCCAATTTTATAGTGGACCAATATCTGGTGAGGAAAGGTGAGCTTCTTGTTGCTCTTGAATTTTTGTATTTACACGTGCTTCTTTTAGATTTTCAATTTTGATTGTACTAAAAAATGCTGATTGCTGCTGTATCTGCAAATGTTTGGATGCCCTGTAGCAGAGGGTCTTGAATTTTGTATAGTTGCTCAGGGGTCTGTGCTTTGCTCATCGTAATCTTGATTTCTGATGGCGGAATTTGTTGGGCCGAGGTTGTATAGTTGCTGTAATTGCAGAAACCATGTTGCCCTTCATGATGATGTCATTTCTAAAGCCTTTCAGGTGAAGAACTTTGCTTTGCTTTGATTAAGCTGTTGTGCTTCTTTTGATTGTCTGTCATTAAGAAAGATACCTGCTCTGATATGCTAATGAGAATCTCTTCTTTAAAATGAAATGAATAGACGTTTACTTGTCACTAGATTTTGGATGAAATGAGGAATAAAAGTTTAGCCTTCGTGTAAGTTGAAATGAAGACTCAATTCACACTTGATTAGCCAAGGGAACGAGGCAAGTAGTTGTTTTCTGTTTGGTTGAGGGGTTCTATGTTCTGCATTGTATTGATTTGGTTAATGTGTATATTAGATAGTCTTGTTCTGGATGTGACTATGATGAGAGGATTGCAAGAACATTACTTGATTCGACTATTTCTTTTCCTAAATCATAGGGTAGAAATGGTCGAGCCTTTCTGTTTTCACACGCAATGAACATTACAGTTGGGCCGAAAGAAAACAGACAACTCATGACTGGTCTGCACACTGTTGCTGATGTTTCCTGCTGCGACTGTCGTGAGGTGCTTGGTTGGAAGTACGAACGAGCCTACGAGGAAACGCAGAAGTACAAGGAAGGGAAATTCATACTTGAGAAATCAAAAATCGTCAAGGAAAACTGGTAGTATGTGTGGAGGCTTTTAGTTCATCTGTCTGCATGTCAAATGTAAGTGTATGGGATGCTCATGCTTCTATTCATCTTGTTCAAGAAATCTCATCAATTGAAAATATCAATTATTGTTCCTTGTTGTGCGTTCATTTCGTGTTCCTCGTGTGAATATTGTATTGGGGATGATTGATTTTGTTAGTAATTGTGAATAACTCTTTCAGTTTAGCTTATGGAATTAAATTTGAAATTTTGCATACAATTTTCTGTTCCACTCATTGCATATAGAACCTTCGTGATTGTGGTACTTTATTCCAATGGGTTTTGCACTTCAACAGAAGTTGACGATTGAATGTAGAATGAAGGGAAATAAGAACAAGAATTTGCTGATGAAGAATTACAAATTTGTGCTGGATAGGAGAAATCTGTTGCTAGGTAGGTGTTCCTGGGTGAAAGGAAATGACCATGAACACTATGTAAACACAAAATATATAAAGCAAATCCTTCTTCTTCACTTGCAAAGTGTCAAATTTCCACTATCAAGAACTCGAGGTTAAAAAGAGATTCTGCTTTTGGGGTTTGTCGTGAACTGACTACCACTAACAAACCAACATATAATCACAGCAGATATAAACCTAAAAGCAAATGGATTTACAAAAGTTAAAAGATTACAAGAATCAAATGAATATTATAGAACAAAAGGAAATAAAAAACACCCTAGCAGGAACAGGGTACGCCAGTTACCGACTATTTTCTGTTTTGCTGTGTACCCTTTCTTTGGAATTTGTCCACTAGAGACAACTCAGACAAGGAACAAATGCTTGGCAAACTAAAAGTTTTCTAATTATACGAGATAGCAACGTTTGTTGCTGAGCTACTTCATGAACCATACAATCAGGACTGGAACCCTACCTACCTATCTGAACCTTTACAGCATCGATCAAAACTGTACGTATCTGATCATAAAACTCACATTCTTGGCATCTGAAGCAGAACCAACGTTGGATGCTTGCTCGTTTAGTTCCTTTCATCAGTACGCAGATGCCGAGTCACTTGATCTGAAATTAATTCACATGAAATGGGCTGTACCCAATGGTACAAACAATATTATAGTATCCTTCATCACCTGCTCTCTTTCATAGTAAAATTTTTCTCTTTATTTTCTTCTTTGTTGTCTTCCATTGTAAGATTTCTCTATTTCTTATATCTCTTCCTTGGCTGGGCCAACTGATACCAGCTCTGTTTTAGAAGCCATCTTCCTCAACTTAGTCACTATTAGCACTGGATCCAACTGTCCTACCACTGTTAGCTTTTGGTTCTTTGCATCCCAACCGGTCGAACTAACCCCTGTTCATCCAAATAAACAGAAAAATGAATGGAAAATACAAAAAGAAACTTCTTTGGAATGCTTTGAATATTGAAGCTCCTCAAACAAAACTGAGCAAGAAAAGTTAGAATTATACCCTTTATGACATGGACAGCTTTCATGACTTTCTTCATTTTTTTGTCACCATCAGTTCCAACTTCTGCTACTTATGTATCTGCGTAGACTTGACAGGATTGCCAAGAGGAAACTAAATTGAAAGAAAGAGAGCGTGTTAAAGTTGGAAAAGCACCTGAGCCATACACAAACGAAAAGTAGAAATTTTAGAAGCAAAAACACATGAAGGTATAGTTAATCTTAGATAAATGTTGTGCATTGCAAACTAAGAAATCACCTTCCCAACATCTTTTGAAACATAAGAGCTTCTATTGGCTATCCGTTGAAGGTACATATTCAGTAACCTTATTTTCAGCATCTGGAGCTTCTAATGTAGGCTCACCTATTCCAATGTCAGTTTGACCTTGTACATCTCCGCTACCTTCGATTCGCTTCACCCCAACCTCTATTATTGCTATCGAATCCAATGTCTCCTTTACATCCCTTGTTCCCTGCACACTCAATCCAACTTCAGGCTGTGGGGGTTCAAGTACTTCACATGGATCTTCAATTTCAGTTGGATCATTTTGTAATTGTACCGTACCACTCCCTTCAATTTGATCGATCACCTTCTCTATATTACTTACGGAAACCAAGCTCTCTCTCACATCCCTTGCTAATTGCACTCTCAATATATTTAACAATCCTTGAAGTGATTCATCCAATCCAAAAAGTTTGTTTGCATATTCATACCTTTTGTAGCTAGTCCACTGACGAACCTTGGAGCACTTGTGAAGTAGCTCCACACCCTCTTCCATTGAAATCTAACATTTTCTAATTCCTCCTTTGGGAGATTCAATACCTTGTTATACGCTACTATTTCTTCTATTAGTGGTTTTAACGAGTCAAGCGTGGATTTGACATCTTCGAGAGGGCGTTTAAGCATCAAAGTCTTGTCCTTCACGCGCGCAATGGTATCAAACAGAATCGGAGTGCTGTTTTGGATTGGATGAATCACTTCAAGGATTGTTAAATATATTGAGAGTGCAATTAGCAAGGGATGTGAGAGAGAGCTTGGTTTCCGTAAGTAATATAGAGAAGGTGATCGATCAAATTGAAGGGAGTGGTACGATACAATTACAAAATGATCCAACTGAAATTGAAGATCCATGTGAAGTACTTGAACCCGCACAGCCTGAAGTTGGATTGAGTGTGCAGGGAACAAGGGATGTAAAGAAGACATTGGATTCGGCATCAATAATAGAGGTTGGGGTGACGCGAATCGAAGGTAATGGAGATGTACAAGGTCAAACTGTCATTGGAATAGGTGAACCTACATTGCCTACAATAGAAGCTCCGGATGCTGAAAATAAGGTTACTGAATATGTACCTTCAACGGTTACAGTTGGCTTGGATGTGCTCTTGAGGGAGTTGAAGAGGGAGCTTCTTAAGGATGAGGCGTCAACGCTTGTGCTAACCTGGCCTCGGGGATGCGGCAAAACCACATTGGCAAAAAATTTCTGTCACGATGAGGAAGTTAAAGATATATTCAAGAACAGTATCTTCTTTGTTTGTGTTTCAAAAAGGCCCAACTTGAGCATTATTGTACGAAAGCTATATCAACAGATTGAACACAATGGTTCTCAGATACCTGAGTTGCAAGAGGACACAACTGCAATTAAGTGGCTGCAAGTATTTCTTAAGGAAAGAGGACAGGACCCTTCACTGTTGGTCCTGGATGATGTTTGGCCTAGATCAGAACCCATTCTTGACAAGTTTGATAATTTCCATTAGAAACTGACATCTGCCTCTTCACCTTTTCTGGTTGCAACTGCAATTATAAATGGAATCAGATAAGATGCTAACTGAATCACTATTGAAGTAAGCAAGACATAGATTAAGCATATGAAAAATCACCTCCTTATCAACAGCTAATGCTGCATAGACAATAGAAGCGCTTTCCTCAGACTCATAATCTACCTCCAAGTCACTGCAGACAAAATTTCAATCTAAGATAACAATGTTCCTCTGTGGGTTAAAGAATTCTCAAAGACAGATTGTAAATGATGAAAGTTGGATAAATGATCTCCACTTCCCATAGAAGCACAACCATTGGAAAACTTTACCAGGTCACTCAATTGTTCATACTCCTGTCGTCCTTGATGCAAATTTGGTACAAAAAGAGAGACTACTGGTTTGAAATTTTCAAATGACAGTTTTCTCATTTAAAGTTTATTCTCAAAAATATCTAGAGCAATCTCAGAAACCTCACCCAATTTTCTTAAAGAGGGTTAACCTCGGCATATCTTGATCTACCTACCTAATTAGGAGCTCTAGAACTCCTCCCTAATAATGCTGAAAACCACATATTAGCACATATGAATCCCCAAGTTAGCTCCAATCATAAATTAGAAAAATCTAAAACTGAAGCGAAATGTTGAAAATATAGGACCAATTCAACTTCTCCAAGAAATTTAGTATGTCTTTCAATGATGAATCTCATTATGACCGGTTACCGTGCATATTGTAAAACTGTAAGGAACAACATGAGTTCGGATATAACATGGAAGAAAAAGCTACAGCCTACAAATATTATATTAAAATTACAAAAATGGGGAACACGCAACAGAGAAGCTCAATGGGATGAGATGAAAAGACCATAAAAGCAAGCATACAAGCTACATATACATAAAAGCAGAAGAAAAATTATTGGCGATTCGTGATTTCTCCACATCCTACCTGGAGGACAGAATCTCTCATGTTATTGGCGATCGGTTGGCTTCTTCAGACCAGTTTCGCTCGATTCCAGAGGCCTTGATTAGCTCTTGAAGCTAACATGAATCTTGTGGTTCAAGAGGCCCCCTCCAGCCTCCCCAGTTTCTTGTTGGACTTTCTTTCCCACGAAGAAGCTCCGATCACAGAAATCATCAGAGTTAGTCAACTGGTCTCCGCTGTCTAGATAGATACCGAGTCCAATGTTTCAATATCCTCACACCACTTAACAGAAATCTAACGGCGTTAAACTTCCACTTTATATATATATATATATATATATATATTATTTTTGTTTTGTTTTGTTTTGTTTTATTGTACATGTGTACTCCTCTTATTGGCTACCTAGAGAGATTTGTAATTAATAACTCGATAAAAATGTCACTTTAACTTTTATCTTTGGCTGTAACTATGTTAGTTAATGGATTTTGAAATTTGATGGCATGTTACGACTCTGAAATGGTTTGATGTGTTGGAAAATAAAGAGTGTGTAGGAGGTAATGGAATTTTTTCTTTGTAATTGGACTAATAAAGTTGACAAAAATGTAAAATAAAAATGGATTCGGTTTCGGCCTAAACCGCCCAAACTAAATTGAATTAGTGTAAAATTGAATAGTTTGGTAATGCAGAATTTAAAAGATAAAATATATATGTGATTTAAAAGCCTGAAAACTATAGCAAAAGATCAAATAAAATATTTATTTACAGTAATTATTTTCACTTGCTCTCTCTCTCTCTCTCTCTCTCTTCTTCTTCTTCTTTCTTCTGATTTTGGTTTTTTAGCACACCACCACTCTCTCTTCAATTCGCTTGATCAATGAAACCTAGCCTTCCCTCACATCCCCAAGCTGCTTCCTCACATTCCCTGCCCTCACATTCCGTGCTAGCCACGCCCTCAGGATATTTAACACTCTTTGAAAATCTTGATCCAATTTGGTACATTCAATTTGAGTTTGGTTTTGTACCACACCACTCTCTTCAATTCTCTTGATCACCGTCTCTGTTTCGTGGCACTTCCTCACCTTCCGTGCTTGCCGCATCTCCAGTATATCTAAAAGTCCTTGAAAATATTGATTCAATTCAAAAAGTTTGTTGGTATATTCGTACTTTTTGCATCTAGCTTGCTTGGAGCACTTGCGAACGAGTTCTACACCTTTCTCTATTTGTATTCTAACAAATTCTAAGTCTTTGTTCGGGAGATTCAGCTCTGCTATCCCTATATATGGCATTAAGAAGTCTAGCGTCAATTTTATATGTTGGAGGGGGCATTTGAACATGTTATTTTTGTGTTTCACTTCTACAACGGTATCGAACATCACTAAGAATAATTCTCCTAGAGTTTGCCCATGCACTTTGGTTTCTTCTTCAGTACTTGCTGACAATTCTTGCACATTCCCTGCCGTTAGCACTCTCAGCAAATCTAAGAGTCTTCTTTCCCATTCATCTTGTTCGTCGTCCGAAAGCGAGCACTCCTTAACATCCCTTGCTTCTTGCAGCAGCTTTAGTGTTTCTAACAGTATGGTGAGAGACTTATTCAATGGGACAAGTTGGTCCATGTAACTAAGCTCTGTGTAGTTGCACCAATTGTACCAGATGCAACAGTTCCATAGACTAATAGGCTTTGATAACTTGACAACAAGCCTTGTGCCCTCCTTCATTTGTCTTCCAAGGCTTTCTAATTCGTCTTTGAAGAGACCAAATTTGACGTTGTTTTCATCACCCATCTGTTGGCTAATACGTGGTAGTAAAGAATCTAGTGTGAATTTGAGATTTTTGAGAAGGGGTTTGAACTTCTCATTCAAAACAGTCCTCCTCCTGCCCATCGCAACCTACTATCTAATCCAACGCAAGCCAAAAAAACCAGAAAACTATATACTTAGTTTCAATCTAGAGCTTACTTGTTAACATTGTTAGTGACTAAAATTGCGCTAAAGTTGAAATAAATACTACTTCAAACTCTAGAATTACTAGGAATCCTAGTCTAAAAACGAAAAAACGAATCGTAGCATCACTAGGAGGAAATTAAACTCTAGGAACCCTAGAATAACTAGGAATCCTAGTCTAAAAACGAAAATAACAAACACCAGCATCACTAGGATGACTAGGAATCTTTAATTGAAGTCTAAAAAGGAAAGATAAAATAAAATTCAGAAAGGACTTGATCCACTCCGGAGCTTTTAATCCTAACTCTCCCACTATACATCGTGTGGCCATGATTTGCTCTGGTCTCTTTTCTAAAAAAGTAACATATTATACGACGTCGTTATGCATAAAAATCCTACACTGAGGCGCAGTTTAAACTTGAAGTTGGTTTTTATTGTGTTCAAGTTTTCAGTTCTGTATTTGTAGTGTGACATAAAACAGTAATCTGAGAGTAAAATTTCTCTACATCTCCAACAGAAGAAAAGAAGTAAAAGATTACAAGAATAAAATGAAGCAGCATCCACCAAGGCATTTGAAATGACTCTGCATAGCGTCTACCTTCTTTTCATCACTGTTTACACTGTTCACAGGTGATAAATAGGTGATAAACAGGCGATATAATTTGCTGTTTGTGAGTATTTCTTAATTATTTTCTCCTCCACATTCTTGAGTTTTTGTGTTCCAATTTGTTTTATTTTATCAAGAGAAAGATTCGAGTTGTTCATCCGACCCAAGTATTGTGAGTGTACGCTTATGAGGGTCATAGGTTGTTGTATCTTAGAGGGTAGGCCGCCATACAACCTTACTACACCAAGACATTGTCTCCGAGGGCGAAATCTACTCTTAAGGACAGTGACTACACGCCTCAACCTAAAACTATTATTCTACTCAAGTATCAATGGAGACCAACTTCTACATCCTAAAAGATAAGTATTTTACAGTACTTCTATTAATTTTATTTAATCTACTATATCAATATAAATTACAATTTTCTAATATATATTTTACGTGATGTTTTTGCAGGAAAAGTAGCATCCATAGACCAAATTCTCCAACAATCTTAAGAGTAGATTTTGGATGCTACTCAAATTATTAACCAATCTCTGATCATTCATGTGTACAAGTGGGGTAACTAAGTCTCATTCGGATATTTGAAGATAACTAAGCACAAGTTCTTTTTTATGTTGGTGTATGAATATTTTGGGGATTATATGTTTTGCGGAGTTATAAATAATGTTGAGAGCTAACGAAGGGTGATACACTTGTGATGACCATTGTAATACTTTCATAGAAGACTTCTTTCTATTGGATAAAGCAGTACTATTTTTAAGTTTAGGGTAACAGCATGGACCGTTAAATTCTTTGGGGAAACTTTCAACTCAATGAGCCATAAGTATTAAAGTTTTATACTTGTATGAATACCCTATCAGGTACGTGAATAATGTAATTTTTATTTATGTGAGGCATTCGGTGGTTTCATTATCATATTTACAATGTTTATTAAGATGACTTTGAATTGGCATATTTTGAGGCCAACTGTCTCAATATCTTTTGAGACTTTCCTAATTTGTGGGGGTTGAGAATCTTATTAAATTGTGGGGGTTGTTGTCTTGCAATCCTTTTGCTTTAGTCAATTATTTTTTGATGGCATATGTTGGAAACATAGAAGGAATGTGTTTTACATTGAAATATTTGAAAATGTGGGGGTTTATTATTTTCATAATCTTGATATTACTATTAGTAATTAGTAAAGGAGTACTAATGACAAACATGTTGATATATGTATGAAGTTTGCTTATACTATCACAATTCATTTATAAACGAAATATATGTTGATGTAATATATTATCAGGACTAATTCATTTTTTCTTCATTTTTGACATGATAAAATTGGGTGCGAGTTGTGATGGTCTTGGTATAAAATTTTGGTGGAGACCTATTATTGTCTTAAAGAGGTTCTTATTGAGAATTGAGAAGATACAGTGACAACTTGGATATGCCATCATGATTTTCAGCCATTTGGAGTGCACAAAAGGGAAGTAAGAGTATCGTGAAGTACTCATTACGTATTAAATTTATTTAATGAATTAATCGTTATTCTGTTGTTCATAGCTTCAGCAGATACACTCAAGTTTCATCGACTGTTGCAGACTCATATATCTGAGTACGAAAATATTTGAGAGGTTCAACATGTGCACTCAAAGTTTTATAGATCATCGGAGACTCATATCTGAGTACCAAAGAATTGAGAGGGTTATATCCCTAAATTATGAGATGTCAAAGTTTACTTTGGCTAATTCTTTGACAAAACCATGGTGACAAAGAAAATGGAATACATCGAGGAAGATGGGGACTTATGCCTGGATCAACGGTCAACAGTGATGGTAACCCAACTTATGTGAATGGAGATCCCAAGAAGTAGGTTCATATGGGTAAGAACAAGTCATTGAGTGATCGGGCGTGCACTATCAAATTTATATTTTTAAGAGTCCCTCCCTATGGTGTAGATAGTGCAATACTGCAATGTTTGAGGTTGAGCTTATGTTCTTAATGAATACCATAGCCCTTATGGGTGGGGGTGTGCTTGATTGCAGTGCACTTTTGATGGATTCACCTATATGAGTGTGGAAGTGGGTCTGCTTTCTATGAGAGTTCAGGCATGCTCTCTAGAGCACTCATGAATATCCAGGTGGGGCGCATAGCCTATTCATGCCAACCCGCTTGAACACACTTGAACAAGAGAATATAATATGGGTGGTTAGCCCTCTTATTCACACAAAGAAATCTTGGTTCATGGAAAATTTTATTTTCACCAAATTTGTGTGAATTACGACTATCTCACCCTAAGGCTGGTTCATAGTGGTCTATTTTCCTTGATGAACCAAACGTCTCTAAGATCACATCTTGTGTTACCTATACATTCAATTTATCCAATGCAACTGTAGCCAATGGAGGTTCAAGCACTGCACAACAATCTATACTTACAATTTGATCATTTTGTATCAAATCACTCCATTCCATTCGCTTGATCACAACCTCTGTATTATTTAAGGAAACTAAGCTCTCTCTCACATCCCTTACTAATTGCACTCTCAGTATACTTAATAGTACATGAAGCGATTCATCTAATCTAACTTGATCACAATTGTTTTGATCACAACCCTTAAGTCATGTGATGCTCGCTCGACACATTTCTTCATTGGACATCCTACAAGTGCGCATGTGCGCTTTGAATATTGAAGCTCCTCAAACAAAACTGAGAAAGAAAAGTTAGAATTATACCATTTATGGCATGGACAACTTTCATGACTTTCTTCATTGTTTTGTCACCAGCACTCATCTTCAGTTCCAACTTTGGCTGCATATGTGTCTGCATAGACTTGATAGGATTGCCAAGAGGAAACTAAATTGAAAGAAAGAGAGTGTGTTAAAGTTGGAAAAGCACCTGAGTCATATTGTTAAGAGTAAGAACACAACTACATAAACGAAAAGTAGAAATTTTAGAAGCAAGAACACATGAGGTATAATTAATCTTAGATAGATGTTGTGCATTGCAAACTAAGAAATCACCTTTGTCCCAACATCCTTTGAAACATAAGAGTTTCTATCTCCTACGGTGGATGCAGAGGAATCATGAAAATGAACCATCGGGTTAGCACCTTCTCAAATAGAGAGATTCTATCTTCCAGGTAGGATGTGGAGAAATCATGAAAGTAAGCAGTTGGATCGTCATTCATCGCTGTGAAGGAAGGTGGGGGAGAAGCACATACCAGGTCTTCATCGTCCAATGATTCGAAGGAGTATGCGCGGGAATGATGAGAAAGAATCATGGTGCATTCATCATTAATTGATTGCAAATAATATGGAGAGCCAAACGTCTCCAGGATCACATCTTGTGTTCCTTGTACATTCAATACATCCAATGCAACTGTAGTCGATGGAGGTTCAGGCACTGCACAACAACCTATACTTACAATTTGATCATTTTGTATCAAATCACTCCATTCCATTCGTTTGATCACAACCTCTGTATTATTTAAGGAAACTAAGCTCTCTCTCTCACATCCCTTACTAATTGCATTCTCAATATACTTAACAGTACATGAAGAGATTCATCTCATCTAACTTGATCACAATTGTTTTGATCACAACCCTTAAGTCTATGCTCGACACATTTCTTCATTGGACATCTTACAAGTACGCATGTGCACTTTGAATATTGAAGCTCCTCAAACAAAACTGAGCAAGAAAAGTTAGAATTATACCATTTATGGCATGGACAACTTTCATGACTTTCTTCATTGTTTTGTCACCATCACTCATCTTAAATTCCAACTTTGGCTGCATATGTGTCTGCATAGACTTGACAGGATTGCCAAGAGGAAACTAAATTGAAAGAAAGAGAGTGTGTTAAAGTTGGAAAAGCACATGAGCCATATTGTTAAGAGTAATAACACAACTACATAAATGAAAAGTAGACATTTTAGAAGCAAGAACACATGAGGTATAATTAATCATAGATAGATGTTGTGCATTGCAAACTAAGAAATCACCTTTGTCCCAACATCCTTTGAAACGTAAGAGCTTCTATCTCATGCGGTGGATGCAGAGGAATCATGAAAATGAGTCATCGGGTTAGCACCTTCTCAAATAGAGAGATTCTATCTTCCAGGTATGTGGAGAAATCACGAAAGTAAGTAGTTGGATCGTCATCCATCGCTGTCAAGGAAGGTGCAGGAGAAACACATACCAGGTCTTCATCGTCCAATGATTCGAAGGAGTATGCGCGGGAATGATGAGAAAAAATCATGGTGCCTTCATCATTAATTGATTGCAAATAATATGGAGAACCAAACGTCTCCAAGATCACATCTTGTGTTCCCTGCACATTCAATACATCCAATGCAATTGTAGCTAATGGAGGTTCAGACACTATACAACAACTTATACTCACAATTTGATCATTTTGTATCAAATCACTCCATTCTATTCGCTTGATCATAACCTCTGTATTACTTAAGGAAACTAAGTTCTATCTCGCATCCCTTACTAATTGCACTCTTAGTATCCTTAACAATACATGAAGAGATTCATCTAACTTGATCACAATTGTTTTGATCACAACCCTTAAGTCATGTAATGCTTGCTCGACACATTTCATCATTGAACATCCTACAAGTGTGCATGTGCGCTTTGATTATTGAAGCTACTCAAACAAAACTGAGCAAGAAATGTTAGAATTATACCTTTTATGACATGGACAACTTTCATGACTTTCTTCACTGTTTTGACACCAGTACTCACATTCAATTCCAACTTTTGCTGCATATATGTCTGCGTAGACTTCACAGGATTGCCAAGAGGAAACTAAATTGAAAGAAAGAGAGTGTGTTAAAGTTGGAAAAGCACACGAGCCATATTGTTAAGAGTAAGAACACAACTATACAAATGAAAAGTAGAAATTTTAGAAGCAAGAACATATGAGGTATAATAAATCTTAGATATATGTTGTGCATTGCAAACTAAGAAATCACCTTTATCCCAACACCCTTCGAAACATAAGAGCTTCTATCTCTTGTGGTGGATGCAGAGGAATCATGAAAATGAGTCATCGGGTCAGTATCTTCTGAAACATGAGAGATTCTGTCTTCTAGGTAGAATGTGGAGAAATCACGAAAGTAAGCAGTTGGATCATCATCCATCGCTGTGAAGGAAAGTGCAGGAGAAACACATACCAGGTCTTCATCGTCCAATGATTCGAAGGAGTATGCGCGGGAATGATGAGAAAAAGTCCTGGTGCCTTCATCATAAATTGATTGCAAATAATATGGAGAACCAAATGTCGGAAATTCAGATCTCGATGTCATCATAATCTTGTAATTTGATGTTTTGAAATTATCAAACTTGTCAAGAATGGGTTCTGATTCAGGCCAAACATCATCTAGGACCAACAGTGAAGGGTGTTGTCCTGCTTCATTAAGAAATACTTGCAGCCACTTCAGTGCAATTGTATCCTCTTGCAACTCAGGTATCTGAGAACCCTTGTGTTCAATCTGTTGATATAGCTTTCGTACAATAACGCTCAAGTTGGGCCTTTTCGAAACACGAACAAAGAAGATACTGTTCTTGAACATATCTTTAACTTATCTTGACAATTTCTTTTTGCCAATTTGGTTTTGCCGCATCCCCGAGGCCCAGTTAGCACAAGCGTTGACTCCTCATCCTTAAGAAGCTTCCTCTTCAACTCCCTCAAGAGCACATCCAAGTCAATTGTAACCGTTGAAGGTACATATTCAGTCACCTCATTTTCGGCATATGGAGTTTCAAGTGTAGGCAACATAGGTTCACCTATTCCCATGTCAGTTTGACCTTGTACATCTTCACTACCTTCGATTCGCTTCACCCCGACCTCTATTTTTGCTGCCGAATCCAATGTCTCATTCACATCCCTTGTTCCCTGCACACTCAATCCAACTTCAAGCTGTGGGGGTTCAAGTACATCACATGAATCTTCAATTTCACTTGGATCATTATGTAATTGTACCGTACCGCTCTCTTCAATTTGATTGATCACATTCTTTATTTTACTTACAGAAACCAAGCTCTTTCTCACATCCCTTGCTAATTGCACTCAAACAAAACTGAGCAAGAAAAGTTAGAATTATACCTTTTATGGCATGGACAACTTTCTTGACTTTCTTCATTGTTTTGACACCAGCACTCATCTTCAGTTCCAACTTCTGCTGCATATGTGTCTGCGTAAACTTGACAGGATTTCCAAGAGGAAACTAAATTGAAAGAAAGAGAGCGTGTTAAAGTTGGAAAAGCACCTGAGCCATATTGTTAAGAGTAAGAACACAACTACACAAAAAAAAAGTAGAAATTTTAGAAGCAAGAACACATGAGGTATAATTAATCTTTGATAGATGTTCTGCATTGCAAACTAAGAAATCGCAATTTTCTCAACATCCTTTAAAACATAAGAGCTTTTATCTCCTGCGGCGAATACAAAAGAATCATGAAAATGAGCCATTGCATTAGCATCTTCTGAAACATAAGAGATTCCGTCTTTTAGGTAGGATGTGGAGAAATCATGAAAGTAAGCAGTTGGATCGTCTTCCATCGCTGTGAAGTAAGGTGCAGGAGAAACACATACCAAATCTTCATCGTCTAATGATTCGAAGGAGTATGCGCGGGAATGATGAGAAAGAATCATGGTGCCTTTATCATTAATTGATTGCAAATAATATGGAGAGCCAAATGTCTCTAGGATCACATCTTGTGTTCCTTGTACATTCAATACATCCAATGCAACTGTAGCCGATGGAGGTTCAGGCACTGCACAACAACCTGTACTTACAATTTGATCATTTTGTATCAAATCACTTTATTCAATTCGCTTGATCACAACCTCTGTATTACTTAAGGAAACTAAGCTCCCTCTCACATCTCTTACTAATTGCACTCTTAGTATACTTAACAGTATCTTGAAGAGATTCATCTAATCTAACTTGATCACAATTGTTTTGATCACAACCCTTAAGTCATGTGATGCTCGCTCAACACATTTCCTCATTGTACATCCTACAAGTGCGCATTCATTGTAGTTACTAAAAATTAGACAACAATTGAAAATGTTAAACACGCAAATTCAAAAAATGTTTGCTTGTATAAAGTCATCCAAAAAATAGGCATTTATAAGGTTGTAATAATATCTAAGCAGTTAATACTGCTCAGGACTGTGTACCTTGGATTTGGAATTCGCTTCGTTACTTTCGTTCCATATTTCTTCCATTTATACTCATCATCCAAGTTCTCAGTATCACTTCGTGTCTGCACCAGAACTTTAGGGTCTCTATCAATTCTACCCCCAAAATATGATGAGGTCTAATCATTTTCATTTTCTACGTTCCTCTAAAAGAAAAATCATTCTACATATTCAAAAATCACTATGTATGACACATACACAATCCCACTCAGAATTGTATGAGGTTTACCATATTTTGGCCTCAAGATCACTTTCATCTTCAGCTCCTCCTGAATCTATGATTAGAGAGTTTTGCTCAAAATCATCCTCTCTAATTAAGGCAAAAGAATCCTCATGCATCGTGACTGACTCAGTTTTCGGGTTGGACATTGTTGGAAGCGGTAGATCGAAGATTCAATGTGAAGAGGCTTATGTTGGTTGAGAGGTTGACTTTCTTATAGAATGAGGCTGAGGATGGTTGTGACCTCCCTTGTAAACAATTTTAGACATCTGTCCATCCAATGATCTATCAAGGTGTTTCTTCATTCAATAATTGAGATGTGTGCACCTGTAATAAATACGTTGATATTAATTACCTTTCACTGATTTCTGCTCATATTTTCTCCAATTAAACCCATCATCTAAATTTAGTTCGCTGACATACTGAGACGATTAAGTGCAATATGCATATAATCAAGCTTTGGAGCACTGTCAGGTTTGCTACTCTGCATATTTCCAAGGCTTGTAGCAATGTCTCAAGAGAAGCCCTATAATTACTCAAGTTCAATTTCAGACTTAACTCCTAGTTTTTTTGAGAACTAGCCTCAGCAAAAAGAACCAAATCATCCGCGAAAAATAAGTGCGAAACCATAGGATCAGACTTAACTCCTAATTTAATGCCAGTGGCACCTCTAGCATTCCAACAAAGAATATCCATCAACAAACAACAAAAGGAAAGGAAACCTTAAGGGCTAAACCCTATAATCAAAAGCTAAACGGCTTCCCTTCAACATTGTTGAAGGCCTTGCTTACCCCATTCCCATTGGAATCATTCACCTTACCTGCAGAGATTTCCATCCTTTCATCAAAAAACTGACCATCATGAAAAGACAAAGCAACAGAATCTCCATCACCCTCATAATCACAATCAATTCCATGACTATCATCATTATTAGCTATATTTGGAGGTTGATGTCCAAATATAAAGACACCCTTCTCTTGATACAAACTCTGATCCTTTCCCCAAGAATCCAAATGAGTATTCACATATTCGACAACAGGAGCCCTTCTCTCATTCACAACCTTCTTACCTTTATCACTCACACTACTATTAGAAAGCCCAGACAAACCCACATTTGTTTTACAACCAAATAATCCTGAAGCCTTTGACTTACCATACTTATTAGAAATATCACCAAGCACAACCCTGCTCCCACCATTAGTTTGCCTAGTCTTAGTCTAGATTTTCTTCTCAAAGCCAACACCATTTTTATAAGTAGAGGGCTTCCCTGCAGTCCCTTGAGCCGCCATACCACCAGAGTCAACATTATCAAACCCAAAATCTTAACTAACCTTCCTCAAAGCATCAAAACGAGAGCCTTGGTTCATAGCACCAGAACCTTGGTTCCCCATCCCTTTATACACATTCTTTGGTCGCCTCCGTGGTGGTACATTCATCGAAGGGCCTCGAAGGTTCTCCAACTCCTTACTATTCTCTTCCTAACCCATAACAAAATTTGCACCCACCTCCAGACCAGCAGCAGATGACTCTGCCCCAGGTCTGTTTGAGGCAAACTTCTCTTTCAAAGTACAATGCTCCCTCTTATGCCCATAATGGCCACACAAATAACAAATATCTGGGAGACCTTCATACTCTATGTTATACCACACTTGGTTAATTTGAATAAAAGCCTCAAGAGGTTTCGTGAGGTCCAATTCCACACAAAGCCGGGCAAATTTACCCTTATTTTGAGCAGTAGTCAGAGCATCAATCTTAAGCAACTTACCCAACAAATTCCCAATCCTCTTCAAAGCCCAAACATCGAAGCACTCCAGTTGAATAGCTGAAACTCTGATCCAAGCTGCCATTCGAGTGATATGCGCAGTCACTGGATAAAACCCAGGCATCCACTTCTGTAAAACCAGATACTGTTCAGCAACAATCCAAGGACCCTAAGTTAACACAAAATTTAAATCCTCCTCTAACTCAAATTTCACTACAAATAGTCATTCACCAAATTCACTAGCTTCCAACCACCTTTCAAACTCCATTTCTGCTGCAAACGATCATGAATATAGTTATAAGTATGCGACCTACCAAGCAATTTCACAATTAAAGCATTCTTCCAATGTTTACAGATGCGATCCATTGCTCGCTCAGAGAATTGGATACTGGGTCCTTTATCACCATGAGAAACCACCACATCTTCTGCATCAGTCAGATCAGCATAATTATCATCAAATCAGCTGTCAGTCCCTATAAACGAGCTCTGTCGCAAAGGCACCTCAAGGTCTTCCATTAGATCTGCATTCGGGACAGCATCAGAGTTGGCCTCAAGCTCGCAAGCTTCCTCGGTTTGAAACCGCTTAGAGAACCGAACTTGCTTACAATCGCTACTAGGTGAGCCTTCCTTCATAGATCCAAGAACCACCGCCAAAGATTTAGGAACGAAGACCAGAAAAGTTGGGAGACTACCGAAGCAGCAAATCCCAGCCGCCAACGAAAAGGGAAGAAAAACACAAAATCGGCACTGCCCCCTTGGACGTTCTTTGATATTTATTTTTCTTATATACTTTGTGTTTGTCATTTTAATATCAAATCATTCTCATTCTTTGGATGAATAAAAAAAAGAGTTAATCGTTTTATTAGTCCCCCAACTTGGACCGGATTTGCATTTGAGTACCTCAATTTCCAAAATGGTACCTATGGTCCTTTAACTTTAGTTTCGTTTGGACAACTAGTCCCACCGTTACATCTATCAATTTTTTCGTTAAATTTAAGGGTAGATGAGTCTTTTCAGGTTGGTTTTAAGGGACAAAAAAGACTTTTACTCTTTTAGATTTGGGTTAATCGTTTTATTAGTCCCCCAACTTGGACCGAATTTGCATTTGAGTACCTCAATTTCCAAAATGATACCTGTGGTCCTTTAACTTTAGTTTCGTTTAAACAACTAGTCCCACCATTACTTCTGTCAATTTTTTCGTTAAATTTAAGAGTAGATGGGTCTTTTCAGGTTGGTTTTAAGAGACAAAAAAGACACTTACTCTTTTAGATTTTCTAAGAAAACCAAGAAAACCCTTGGGCGAAGACGCCCACTTCATCTGCCATGATGCCCAGACCATCGGAGTGGCGGACGGCGTCAGTAGCTGGGCCAGGAAAGGTGTTAACGTCGGTAAGTACGCGAGGGGACGCATGAACCACACCAAGAAACATAGCCACGAATATAACCCAATCATCCGTCGTCGCCGTGGATCCAAGAAAGGTGTTGAACGAAGTCTTAGGGTGGTTCTGGTGGAGCTAGAGTACGGCCGTGTCGAAATTTGTGTCACAAAAACGGATAGAGTCGACGCTGAAGATGAGCTTGAGGGTGGTAAAGGGATTGTGGGACCAAGCCAAGGAAAGAAGTTGCTTCAGATATTTAAGGCAGGGTGGATTAGTATACCTCCAAGGTCTATTTCAGAGGGAAGGCAAGTTGTAGAAGGAGGATAATAAAACTAACTGAAAAGACCCATCTACCCTTAAATTTAACAAAAAAATTGACAGAAGTAACAGTGGGACTAGTTGTCCAAACGAAACTAAAGTTAAAGGATCACAGGTACCATTTTGGAAATTAAGGTACTCAAATGCAAATTCGGTCCAAGTTGGGGGACTAATAAAACGATGAACCCAAGGAAGATAATAAAACCAACTGAAAAGACCCATTTACCCTTAAATTTAACGAAAAATTTGACAGAAGTAACAGTGGGACTAGTTGTCCAAACGAAACTAAAGTTAAAGGACCACAAGTACCATTTTGGAAATTGAGGTACTCAAATGCAAATTCGGTCTAAGTTGGGGGACTAATAAAACGATTAACCCATAAAAAAAAAATTAGAAATTGTATTTGTCACCATTTTTGTTGTCAATCGGTTTCTCAATGGAATCATCTTTGACAAACTACCTCCTAGGTATTTGGAAGGAGTCAAAATTCGAATTTTCCTCCATCAATTAAAAATAATAAATCATCTCCTGATCAATAAAAAAATATGAAACACATTTTTTTTGGTAAGAAATTATTGACCACATTGACCGACATGATTTTGTTATTCTTACAGCTGACCACAGTTTTAAATGAATGGACATTATTTCATTTGATCTCATGGGTCCAATATGTACATGTCGGCCCAAATGTTCATGTCCCGTCAATAGGAAGATCTCAGGGAAGAAATCAAAGGCCTAATTCATTGAATTTAATTTTATAAAATGGATTGACTAATAGACAAATACTGTTACATTTAAGCTCTTATTTTTCTGAATTTTGTTTCTTTATTGAAAATAAGTCAATTGTGCAATCGACTTGAAGTTTATCTTATATCTTCTTCTATATACCAAAAAACGCCCTTGGTTAATGCAAACATTAAGAATTGAAATTGTTAATTAAATGAGAATAATATGGTAAATTCACATTTTTTCATATTAAAAAATTAAAATTAAAAACAAAATAAGATAATGGGTCCTATTTTTATAGAACACAAGTACCCATTATATTTTTTTAATTCTAAAATAAAATAAATTTAAAAATAAAAAAAAACTAATTGGCACAGACTTGAGAGGCTAGTATATATAAAGCAAAAGACAGAGAATTATAAAACATTCAAAATATCAGAAAATGTCATTGGTTAATGCAAAAATGAAGAATTGAAATTATTAATAAAATGAGGATAATATGGTAAATTCACACTTTTTCATATTAAAAGAATTTAAAATTTAAAACAAAATCAAATAATGGGTCTTAATTTTGTGGTACATATCTACCGATTTTATTTTTTCTTAATTATAAAATAAATAAATAAACAAAACAAAACAAAAAAGAAAACCAATTGACACATGTGTGAGCGTGTGCCAAAGGAGCTAGTATATATAATACATATATTTTTTATTTTTTTATTTTTTTTTTATGAAACTTGAAGTTTATATATTAAACCACAACAGAAATGGAAAATTAAAATAGAAAATCAATTGGAAGTTGAACTAAAGAAACAAGGCAACATACAAATCAAACTAGCCTCATTAATCTACAAGTCCTGACTTATTCCCAAAACAAATCATCTTCACTTACTTGGTCCTGGACCTCAAGACAGAGCCTCCAAAGATTCTATAACCCAGGAAATCTCTCACTTCCTTTGATATAAGGTGATTGAGTTTCTGTTGTTGGCTGCTCTATGTTCTGAAAGGGCAAGTCTAAGACAGGCATGTACATGTTGTTACTGCTACTACCATGGTTGTGTGTCGTCTCTTTATATGTGGTAGTCACAACCTTTGAGTCATGTGATGTTTGATCCACACGTTTCTTCATTGGACATCCTTGAAATGTGCATCTGTAGTAGCTCCTACAGATTGGAAAACAATCGAAAATGTTGACTAAACTCAGTTACAAGGTTGCAATACTATCTAAGCAATAGTTAAAGGTCAGGAGTGTGTACCGTAGATTTGGATATCCCGTCTGTTCTTTTTGTCCATATTTCCTCCAGCTATATCCATCGTCCATGATATTAGCTGCACTTATTGTGTGCATCCCAAACATGGGTTCTTTCACAATTCTACCCCCATAATCTGATGAGGTCTGATCACTTACATTTTCTGCCTTCCTACAAAAGAAAGAAAAAAAAAAAAACCATTCTACTTATTCAGTTTTGGCTATATAGAACATATACACAATATTCCCAATTAGAATTTTATGAGGTTTACCATCTTTTGGCCTCAGGATCATTTTTATCTTCAGCTCCTCCTAAACTACTGGGTAGTGAATTTTGTTCCAAATCATCCACTCTATTTGTTTTCTTGACTTCCTTCTGTGTTCAATAAGAAGAAGGAATTAGAGTTTAGGGTTTAGGGTTCAATAAATTCTTTTCATGACTTTCTTCATTGTTTTGTCACCAGCACTCACCTTTAGTCCCAACTTCTGCTGCTTATATGTCTGTGTAGACTTGACAGGATTGCCAATAGGTAACTAAATTGAAAAAAAAAAAGCGTGTTAAAGTTGGAAAAGCACCTGAGCCATATTGTTAAGACTTAAGTGTAAGAACACAACTATACAAATGAAAAGTAGAAATTTTAGAAGTAAGAACACATGAGGTATAATTAATCTTATATAGATGTTGTGCATTGCAAACTAAGAAATCACCTTTGTCCCAACATCCTTTGAAACAGGAGAGCTTGTATCCCCTGCAGTGGTTGCAGAGGAATCATGAAAATGCGCCATCAGGTTAGCATCTTCTGAAACATGAGAGATTCTGTCTTCCAAGTAGGATGTGGAGAAATCACAAAAGCAAGCAGTTGGATCGTCATCCATCGCTCTGAAGGAAGTTGCGGGAGAAACACGTATCAGGTCTTCATCGTCCAATGATTCGAAGGAGTTTGCGCGGGAATGATGAGAAATAGTCATGGTGCCTTCATCATTAATTGATTGCAAATAATATGGAGAACCAAATGTCGGAAATTCAGATCTTGATGTCACCAGAATCTTGTAATCTGATGTTTTGAAATTATCAAACTTGTTAAGAATGGGTTCTGATCCAGGCCAAACATCATCCAAGACCAACAGTGAAGGGTGTTGTCCTGTTTCCTTAAGAAATATTTGCAGCCACTTAAGTGCAATTGTGTCTTCTTGCAACTCAAGTATCTGAGAATCCTTGTGTTCAATCTGTTGATATAGCTTTCGTACAATAACGCTCAAGTTGGGCCTTTTCGAAACACGAACAAAGAAGATACTCTTCTTGAATATATCTTTAACTTCCTTATCTTGACAAAATTTTTTTGCCAATGTGGTTTTGCCGCATCCTCGAGGCCCGGTTAGCACAAGTGTTGATGCCTCATCCTTAAGAAGCTTCCTCTTCAACTCCCTCAATAGCACATTCAAGCTAACTGTAACCGTTGAAGGTACATATTCAGTCATCTCATTTTCAGCATCCAAAGCTTCAAGTGGAGGCAATGTAGGTTCACCTATTCCCATGTCAGTTTGACCTTGTACATCTCCACTACCTTCGATTCGCTTCACCCCGACCACTATTTTTGCTGCCGAATCCAATGTCTCCTTAACATCCCTTGTTCCCTGCACACTCAATCCAACTTCAGGCTGTGGGGGTTCAAGTACATCACATGAATCTTCAATTTCAGTTGGATCATTCTGTAATTGTGTCGTACCACTCTCTTCAATTTGCTTGATCACAATCTCTGTATTACTTACGAAAACTAAGCTCTCTCTCACATCTCTTGCTAACTGCACTCTCAGTATACTTAATAATCCTTGAAGAGATTCATCCAATCTAAGAAGTTTGTTGGTATATTCATATTTTTTGTAATTAGCCCACTTATGAACCTTAGAGCACTTGTGAATGAGCTCTACCCCCGTCTCCATTTGTATGGTGAAATTCTCTAGTTCCTCCTTGGGGAGATGCAGTACCTTGTTATATTCTGTTATCTCTTCTATTAGTGGTTTTAAGGAGTCTAACGTGGAGTTGAGATATCCAAGGATGCGCTTAAACATCTTAGTCTTGTCCTTCACTTGTATAACAGCACCAAAGAGCAACCCAAACACTGCTCCTAGGGCAATTCTTTGCACACCATTCCCTTTAATTCGTTTCTGCCCTGTAGTTTGTGAATTATTGCTTCTTGAAAATTCCCGGCCATTCAATTCCTCATGCGCTCTCAGCCCGGCTTCTTGCTGCACTTTTAGTAAATCAGATAGTTTCTTGTCCAATTCATCTTGTTTGTCATGAATTTTCCTTGCCAAAAGCAGTGCCTCCTTCACATCCCTCGCTTCCTGCAGCTTCAATATTTCCAATAGTATTCTAAGAGATCTGTCCAATTCCACAAGTTTGTCTGTATAACTAGGCTTTGTGCAGTTGCAACAATTACACCAGATGCTGCAGTTCCACATACTAAGTTTTGATAACTTGTCAACAAGTTTTACACCCTCCTCCATTTGTTGTTGAAGCCTGTCTATTTCTTCATTTGGGAGACCTAATACCAAGTTATGTTCTCCTATTTGTTGGATGATCCGTGGTTTTAGCGAGTCTAGAGTGAACTTGAGATCTCCAAGGAGGGGTTTGAACCAAGGCTACCTTAACAACATCATGCAGGGCAGCAAAAACTGTTCCTAGAACAGCCCCTTCAACTAACTCAAGTGCCATGATTGTGTTCACAACAAAACTACCAACAACAACCCAACAATACAAAATTCAGAAAACTTGTATTCGTTTCAATCAATCTAAACTTTACCAATCAGATGAGTTAGACTCAAACCCGGTGGCAGCTGGTGACTGATCATTAAGAAAATATGAGTGTTCTTGGGTCCATAGACCGCCAGCCTCCCTGGATCACGTCTTCTTTTTGTTGATGGCTCCCTTTCCCTCGTCCACAAGAATCTCTGGATAGGCTTATTTCTTGATATGCCAGTTACTTTACCGAAGATTTCAGTTTTCTCTCTGACTTTGTAATTGGGTCAATATACCCCATGTGCTATTACTTTGTGTCTCACGTTAGCTCATTTCGTCGATTTAAACAGTAACACCGTTAACTCGCTGGTGTGACTGCTTGAACATTTTAATAATTTGTAAGTTAAAACCGAATAATAAATCAATTTTAAAAAAAATATTCAAATTTTTCAAGAACTTCAAATTTTTGAAGTGTTTAAAAACTTACATAAAAATAAAAAATAAAAACTTAAAAAGAGAAAAAGAAACCCATCATTCAAATTTTTAGTCTGTCTGCATGTCAAGTGTAATGTGTAAGTGTATGGGATGCTCATGTTTCTATTCATATTGTATTGGGGATTATTGATTTTGTTAAACTTCTCATTCAAAACAGTCTTCCTCGTGCCCATCGCAACCTACTATCTAATCCAACGCAAGCAAAAAATCAGAATACTATATACTCAGTTTCAATCTAGACCTTACTCGTAAACATTGTTAGTGATTAAAATTGCGCTAAAGTTGAAATAAATACTACTTCAAACCCTAGAATTACTTGGAATCCTAGTCTAAAAAGGAAAAACAAATCCTAGCATCACTAGGAGGAAATTAAACTCTAGGAACCCTAGAATTACTAGGAATCCTAGTCTAGAAATGAAAATAACAAAACCCAGCATCACTAGGATGACTAGGAATCTTTAATTGAAGTCTAAAAATAAAAATAAAATAAAAATTCCTAAACGACTTGATCCACTCCGGAGACCATTCCCTTCAATTCGTTTCTGCCCTGTCGTCTCGTTTCTAAGAAAGTAACCTATTATACGACGTCGTTATGCATAAAAATCCTACACTGAGGGAGGCGCAGTCTAAAGTTGAAGTTGGTTTTATTGTGTTCAAGTTTTCAGCTCTGTATTTGTAGTGTGACATAAAACAGTAATCTGAGAGTAGAATTTCTCTACATCTCCAACAGAAGAAAAGAAGTAAAAGGTTACAAGAATAAAATGAAGCAGCATCCACCAAGGCATTTGAAATGACTCTGCATAGCGTCTGCCTTCTTTTCTTCTTCTTTCTCTTCAGTAACAGCTGGCCTAACTGCCACTTCATACCCTACCTTACTCAATTCGTTCACCACCGCCGTTGTATCTCTCTGTCCGCCCACCACAAGTATTTTGTTCTTCGGATCCCAAGTTAGCGAAATGAATTTGATTTAGTATTGGTTACAAATTTGGGGATAGTAGATGAGCTAGAAATTATGAACCACATTTTTTAGGTAAGAAATTATTGACCACATTGACCGACATGTTTTTGTTATTCTTACAGCCGACCATAGTTTTAAATGAATGGACATTATTTCATTTGATCTCATGGGTCCATGCCTTCAAATTTTATCAGATGGATAGACAAATCAATAAATAGTGTTTTAACATTGCACACCAGTACAAAAGAGAAAAAGAAAACAACATAATGAAAACATTTTTAGATTTAGATAGAATCATTGAATTATTATATGTATTTACGTATAAACTTTTAATTGCTTAAGTATTCGAGGGCGGATGATTTTATTTTCTTTCTTGTTGGAATGAGAAATTATCAGAGACCATTTTCTGCTCCATGTCCATTCCTTGCTGGTTGTCTTTGGAATCAATCATCCAATCTAAGAGCTTCAATTGGACATCCGCAGCTTAGATTTCGACGACCCTTATCCCCTTAATTTGTTTGTCTGCCGCCTCCCTTAGTGAAACCAAGGTCTCGTTCTCATCTCTGGTTCCCTGCATATTCATTGTTGAATCAAATGTCTCCTTCCCATTCCTTGTTCCCTGCACATTTAGAACATCAAATGCAACCACATGCAGTGGAGGTTCAACCACTTCACATGAACCTTTAATTTCAATTTAATCATTTGGTAATTGTACCACACCACTCCCTTCAACTAGCTTGACCCCTTCCTCTATTATCCTTGATGAACCAAACGTCTCAAGGATCACATCTTGTGTTCCATGTACATTCAATGCAACTGTAGCTGATGAAAGTTTAGGCACTGCACAACAACCTACACTCTGTATCAAATCACTCCCTTCCATTCACTTGATCACAACCTCTGTATTACTTAAGGAAATTAAGCTCTCTCTCACATTGCTTACTAATTGTGCTCTTAGTATACTTAAGAGTACTTGAAGAGATTCATTTAATCTAAGAAATTTGTTGGTATATTTTTACTTCTTGTAGCTAGCCCACTTACGAATCTTAGAGCACTTGTGAACGAACTCTACACCCTTCTCCATTTATAGAAGAGATAGCATAATATAACAAGGTATTGCATCTCTCAAAAAGGAACTGAAGAATTTTATAACACTTCTATGGAGAAGGGTGCACAGCTCATTCACAAGTGCTCAAAGATTCGTAAGCGGACAAGCTACAAGAAGTATGAAGCCTATGATAACATTGCTATCCTAGAATGAAGCTTATATATAGGAAAAAAACAGATGAGGTTTATCTAAGCAGCCAATGTGGGACTGCAACCACTTCAAAAAAACATAAAAACGATATGGGATTGCAACCACTCCCTTGTCCACCGGAAAACTAATCATCTCTGAACTAGAGAGAGACATCTGATATGCATATTTATTGTGTTCAAGTTTTCAACTCTGTATTTGTAGCGTAATATAAAACAGTAATATGAGAGCAAAATTTCTCTACATCTTCAACAGAGAAAAAAAGTAAAAGATTACAAGAATCAAATGAAGCAGCATCCACCAAGGCATTTGAAATGACTCCGCATAGCGTTTACCTTCTTTTCTTTTCTCGCTCTTCAGTAATAGCTGGGCTAACTGCCACTTCATAACCTACCTTACTCAGCGAAAATGTAGCAAGAAAACAAAATGCCACCACCTGCTTCATAAGTTCAAACGAAACAGATGAACAATGGTCAATATGAAAGTAAATTGAAGTAAAAAAGGGCTTGTTGGTTAAGTCAGAAAAAAAGCACCCCAGCCATTTGGAAGAATGTAAGGACACAATTACACAAATGAACAAGGAAAGAGCAAGACAACTTTTGCCGTTTCTGAAGGTTTTGATTGAATAATTAAGCGTATATACTGTGTTATTTTTTTTAATACAAGCGATAGTCTAAATTAAATGGAAACATGATATCTCTCACACACTGTTTTATTTATTTTAATATCAAATCATTCTCTTTCTTTGGATGAATAAAAAAAAATTACAAATGGTATTCGTCACAATTTTTGTTGTCAATCGGTTTCTCAATGAAATCATCTTTCACTATTCGTTCTTTTTCCTTTTTCTAATGATGTAAGAAGTCAACATTCGAATCCTCCTATAATTAAAATAAGTAAACCATCTCCTTTCTAATTAATAAAAAATATTGATAGATATAACGAAGAGACCATAAAAGAAATCTTTTCTAAAATCTATAATAATTTATCAAATATAGAACGGACACGTATTTTTATATTTTAATAGCATGGTAATTGAATACTTAAGAGAAATATAAGACACACTAATAAAGGGAAAAAAAATCATAATCTCATGATAATACAATTGTTCATACATGAAATAAAACAGTCAAGAACTCATGGAACAAAAACATATTCATTAATAACCGTAAAACAAATTCTGTACCAAAACAGATCCCTGCGTTTTCTTAAGGAAAAAAATACAAGAATCAAATGAATGTTAACAAGGAAAAGAAAAAAAGCCGAAAAAAAAACACCTTAGGAAGACAAAATAGTACATTAATTAACAGCTATTTTCTTTTTTTCTATCCACCTCTTCTTGGCATTCTGAATTTCTTCTTCCCTCATCTTCAAGAGTATGGGATGCTCATGCTTCTATTCATCTTGTTCAAGAAATCTCATCAATTGGAAATATCAATTATTGTTCCTTGTTGTGCATTCATTTCGTGTTCCTCGTGTGAATATTGTATTGGGGATGATTGATTTTGTTAATAAATTGTGAATAACTCTTTCAGTTTAGCTTATGGAATTAAATTTGAAATTCTGCATACAATTTTCTGTTCCACTCATTGCATATAGAACCTTCGTGTTTCAATGGATGCCAATGGGTTTTGCACTTCAACAGAAGTTGATGATTGAATGTAGAATGAAGGGAAATAAGAACAAGAATTTGCTGATGAAGAATTACAAATTTGTGCTGGATAGGAGAATCTGTTGCTAGTTACAAATTTGTACAAAATATATAAAGCAGATCCTTCTTCTTCACTTGCAAAGTGTCAAAGTTCCACTATCAAGAACTCGAGGTTAAAAAGAGATTCTGCTTTAAGAGGAGGGAAAAAGAAGGGAAATTTGTCGTGAACTGACTACCGCTAACAAACCAACATATAATCACAGCAGATATGTACCTAAAAGCAAAGGATTTCCAAAAGTTAAAAAATGACAAGAATCAAATGAATATTGTAGAACAAAAGGAAATTAAAAACACCCAAGCAGGAACATTGTACACCAGTTAACTATTTTCTGTTTTGCTGGGTACCCTTTCTTTGGAATTTGTCCATTAGAGACAACTCAGACAAGGAACAAATGCTTGGCAAGCTAGAAGTTTTCTATTTATACGAGATAGCAGAGTGAGCTACTTCATGAACCATACAATCAGGACTGGAACCCTACCTACCTATCTGAACCTTTACAGCATCGATCAAAACTGTATGTATCTGATCATAAAACTCTACATTCTTGGCATCTGAAGCAGAAGCAACGTTGGATGCCGAGTCCCTTGATCCAAAATTAGTTCACGCAATGCTGCAGGCTGTACCCAATGGTACAAACAAGATTATAGCATCCTTTATCACCTGCTCTCTTTCATAGTAAAAATTTTCTCTAAATTTTCTTCTTTGTTGTCTTCCATTTTCTCTTTCATAGTAAGATTTCTTTCTTATCTTCTTTTATTTCTTCCTTGGCTGGGCCAACTGATATCACCTCTGTTTTAGAAACTATCTTCCTCAATTTAGTCGCTATTAGCGCTGGATCCAACTGTCCTACAACTGTTAGCTTTTGGTTCCTGCTGCAATTTCAGAATATCTGACATTTTCCTGTCCAATTCAACTTGTGTGTCACGGATTTCCTTATTCAAAAGCAAGATGGCCTTCACATCCTCTTTTTGCTGCAGCTTCAATCTCTTTAACAGTATTCCACTCCCTCCTACTCCGCCTAATGGCACCACTTGATGCCCTCCATTCCCTTCGTTTCCTTGCTGTATCGTCGTGCCTGTGTTGCTTCCTGAAGACCCTCCCACATCCCCTGCTTCCTGCTGCACTTTCAGCAAATCTGACATTCTTCTTTCCAATTCATCTTGTTTGTCATGGATCTTCCTAGCCAAAAGCAAGACCTCCTTCACATTCCTTGCTTCCTGCAGCTTCAATATCTCTAACAGTATTCTAAGAGACCTATCCAACTCAACAAGTTGGTCGCTGTAACTAGGCGTTGTGCAGTTGCTGCAGCTGCCCCATGCATAACAATTCCACATACCAATATTCGACAGCTTCCTAACAAGCACTATGCCCTCCTCCATTTGTCTTTGTAGGCTCTCAATATCGTCGTTCGGGAGGCCTAACTCCACATTATGATCTCCTATATGTTGGACGATGCGCGGCCGTAGAGATTCTAGAGTGAATTTCAAATCTCCAAGGAGGGGTTTATACTGCAAAACAGTCCTGCCCATCGATTCCTTAACGGCATCATACAGCGCTCCGAAGGGTGCTCCTATGGCAGCCGCTCCAACCAAAGCCAGTGCCATGGCCTCAACAACAACAATAACCCAGCGGATTTTTTTTATGTTTCAATCTAAACTTACTCACAGAACTTTGTATATGTTTCAATGTAAAATCCTGCTCTACCTTATTGGCGATCCGTTGGCTTCTTCAGACAGAAGCTCCGATCACAGAATTGCCTCTCTGTTGGACTTTCTTTCCCCGGTTTCTTGTTGGAGTTTTCCCCTCTGGTGAGGTTGGGTGGTGCACTCAACCTGTTTGATGAATTGCCTCAACCAAGAGAGATGGAGGGAGAGAGCAATGGAGGAAAGAAGGCACGGGTCTTTCAAATATTGGAGTCCGCTGTTTAGATTGGTACCGAGTTCAATGTTTCAATATACTCACACCACTTAACAGACATCTAACGGTGTTAAATTTCCCCTTTCGAAGTGAGAGCTTGTGTACCTGGTGGCTGCTAGGTTTTGAGTGTTTCCCTTTTGTTTCTTCACAAGATCTGGTCTTCTCTTGTGTTTGTCATAAAGCTGAAATAAATACTACTGCAAACCCTAGAATTACTAGGAATCCTAATCTAAAAACGACAAAACAAATCCTAGCATCAATAGGAACCCTAGAATTACTAGGAATCCTAGCCTAAAAACGAAAATAACAAACCCCAGCACCACTAGGATGACTAGGAATCTTTAATTGAAGTCTAAAAAAGGTCTCAAGATGACTAAAATCTATAATAATTTCTCAAATACATAATGGATACGTACATGAATTTAATAGCATGGTAATTATAGACTTGAGAGAAAGATGATATACACTAATAAAGAGGAAAAAAAATAATCATAATTTCGTGATAATACAATTGTTTTTACATGAAATAAAACAGTCAAGAACTCATGGAACAAAAAAATATTCATTAATAGCCGTAAAAGCAAATTATGTATCGAAACAGATCCCTGAGTCTTCTTAAGCAAACACCTCCCTGAGTTTTCTATACATGGGATGCCTTCCAATTTGTACATGTTGGCCCAAAAGTTCCTGTCCCGTCAATAGGAAGATCTCAGGGAAGAAATCAAAGGCCTAATAATTGTTTGAATTTAATGTTATCAGATGCATTGACAAATACTTTTATTTTTCTGAATTTTGTTTTTGTACTGAAAATAAGTCATATAAAATTAAACAACTAAAAACCACATTAATTGGGAATTGGAAATTAATTCCACTAACTTTATTCCTACAATGCCTGACAGTTGGTGACTGATAATGAAGTTCAGAGACCCCCACCCTCACCCAGCCACAACCTCCCTGGAGTCTCTGCTTTCTAGATTGTAAAATACTTTGCAGCTTCCTCATACAATACGTGGCGCACTTACAGAACAACACCTCTCTCATTTTTTTTCTTCTACAACTTTGTTAACTCATGGAACAAGAAAATATCCATTAGTAATAGTAAAAGCAAAATGACTCAGAATAGTCTTCACTTTCTCTTCTTTTCTCTCTCTTCAAGTTCTAGATCGCCACCTCTTAATAGAACTGAAATAGCCAGTGTGCACACAAATTTCAATTTCGGAAACAGGCAAAACTAAATCCAATGATGCAATCCTCTAAAGTTGGATGCTACAAGCCAACATTAAATCAGAGCTCAATCATTTAGTTTGGTTACACTTTCTAGCAAGATCATTTCAGCACATTATTAGGTAGTTAAGAGACCCCAGTGCAAAACATAAAACTTAAACTAGACGCATGCTATGAATTGAAATTGTACAACATCGAACAAAATGATACTCAAGAGGCAGCATTCTGATCACTATTAAATTCAAGACTTAAGAAGTCACCATTCTACATATTCAAAAATCTCTATATATGACATATATACAATCCTAATAAAATTTTTACGAGATTTACCATATTTTGGCCTCATGATCACTTTCATCTTCAGCTCCTCCTAAATCTATGATTGGAAAGTTTTGCTCAAAAGCATCCTCTCTAATTAAGGTTAAATAAGTCTTATGCATCGTAACCGACTCAGTTTTCGGGTAGGACATTGTTGGAAGTGATAGATCGAAGATTCCAGGTGAAGAAGCTTGAATTGGTTGAGAGGTTGACTCTCTTGTAGAATAAGGCTGAGGATGGTTGTGAACTCCATTGTAAACAATTTCCTTAATTTGTCCATCCAATGATCTGTAAAAGTGCTTCTTCATTCAACAATTGGAATTTGTGCACTTGTAACAAATACGCTGATATTCATTACCTTTCACTGATTTCTGCCTGTATTTTCTCTAATTGAACCCATCATCTAACATTAGTTCGCTGACATACTGAGACGATTGAGTGCAATGCATGTAATCAAGCTTTGGAGCATCGTCAAGTTTGCTACTCTGCATATTTCCAAGGCTTGTCGCAATGTCTGAGGAGAAGCCCTATAGTGACTCAAGTTCAATTTCAGACTTAACTCCTGAAACCATCATTCCTTGCTCGTTATCTTTGAAATCAATCATCCAATCTAAGAGCTTCAACTAGACATCCGTAGCTTGGACTTCGACGACCCTTATCCCCTTAATTTGTTTGTCTGCTGCCTTCCTTAGTGAAACCAGGGTCTCATTCTCATCCCTGGTTCCCTGCATGTTCATTACATCCAATCCAACTGCAGGTGATGTAGGTTCAGTTACTGCAACATCAATATGATCTTGTACCCAACTATTCCCTTTGATTTGCTTGCTCGCTGCCTCCATATTCGTTGTTGAATCCAATATCTCTTTCCTACTTCACAAAAACTCCACATAATATATATATATATATTGTGTGAAATATTTCACAAATTAGACATTCTTGACTTGAAAATAGAGAGAGATTTGTAAATAGAATAAATCCATGATTTTCACATTTATCACAAAATAAGAACTTTTAGATTACATTACATAACTCATTCACCATGATAAATATGAAATATTGCAAGACAACACACACGCTCTTCATATTGTTTCTTTTTCTTCCTTATATATATATATATATATTTCTCTCTCTAACACTACTTCATGGTATAATTTATTCCAAGCATTTCATTAACTGTCATAATTTTAATTAAAACTCCCTATTAATAGCATATCAATCACCCCATTTCTTTTGGTTGTCATTCCCTCAAACATTTCGGCCCCTAAAATTGCAAACAAAAAAAAATTACGTAAATTATGTATCCAATAATGTACACATGAAAAATATAAAATATATATATATACGTATAAAAATATAGGTATATTATTTAACAAAATAATTTTTTTAAAAAAACTAGGTCAATTACTTTGTAATTGAAATTTCTGTAAATTTTTCATAAATTAAAAATAGGTACACAATAATTTATAAAAAGTAGGTACGTTGTATAATTGAAGAAAAAGAGAGCTTGTTGGTTAAGTCAGAAAAAAAAGCACCCCAGCCATTTGGAAGAATGTAAGGACACAATTACACAAATGAACAAGGAAAGAGCAAGACAACTTTTGTAAGGACACAATTACACAATTACAAATGGTATTCGTCACAATTTTTGTTGTCAATCGGTTTCTCAATGAAATCATCTTTCACTATTCGTTCTTTTTCCTTTTTCTAATGATGTAAGAAGTCAACATTCGAATCCTCCTCTAATTAAAATAAGTAAACCATCTCCTTTCTAATTAATAAAAAATATTGATAGATATAACGAAGAGACCATAAAAGAGATAACGATTACAAATCTTTTCTAAAATCTATAATAATTTATCAAATATAGAACGGACACGTATTTTTATATTTTAATAGCATGGTAATTCAATACTTAAGAGAAATATAAGACACACTAATAAAGGGAAAAAAAATCATAATCTCATGATAATACAATTGTTTATACATGAAATAAAACAGTCAAGAACTCATGGAACAAAAAACATATTCATTAATAACCGTAAAACAAATTCTGTACCAAAACAGATCCCTGCGTTTTCTTAAGGAAAAAAAATACAAGAATCAAATGAATGTTAACAAGGAAAAGGAAAAAAGCCGAACAAAAAAACACCTTAGGAAGACAAAATAGTACATTAATTAACAGCTATTTTCTTTTTTTCTATCCACCTCTTCTTGGCATTCTGAATTTCTTCTTCCCTCATCTTCAAGAGTTCGAGAAGACATTGATGATACTGCACATCAATAGCAACAAGCTCCCCCTTCAGCTCATCATACCGAGCTTTGTCCACTAGAGACAACTCAGATAAGGAGCAAATGCTTGACATGTCAGCGCATGCGTCATTCATAACAACAGAATCACCAGAACCAGCTTCATAGCTCTTCTCCTTGAGCCCGCCCTGAACCGTACAATCCGGACTGGAACCGTACCCATCTGAACCTGTGCAGAATTCATCAGAACTGTACTTGGCCGATTCTGAAACTTTGACATTACCGGCAAATGAGGCATTAGGGACACTGTACTCGGCTGAGCAGGCTGAGGTATCTGAAATCATTGATGCTTGGTTATCTTGATCTTCTGCATATGCCAATGGTGACAGAATATTTTGATGTGCAGGATGATCCCCACATGAACTGTTAGCTCCGCATGATGAACTTTCGGATGAAGGTTTCCAGCCTGGTACAAGCTTCATAATCAATTTGTCAATTAACTCAGCTATGACAGAGACATGTTCATGTGAAAGCTCAAGTTGCTCAACCATTTCCCCAGCAATTGACATTGCAGTATCAGAATCAAGATAGAACACAAAATGGATATTCCTCACACGACCTGTATAGACAAATAACATTCAGGTTCACTTCATGAAAAATAAGGGGAAACAATTAACCCATTTTCATGGCAGATGCACTTACCACAGGTATCAGCAATGCGCAGAGTTAAAGAGACGGTATTATCCGTATTTTGTTCAGCTCTTAACCTGAACTCATTATTCTCCGTGAACCTCCCAAACTCCAGAGCTGAAGAGTTAGAAGTTTCATGACACTTTTCCTACAAGATCCAATAGAAAACTTCTGGTCGTTAGTATCTAAGTCCATAGGGCGAGCTTCGGGCTGTGGCAAGTTCACCAACTTAGGCACAAGATTGGGTAGTTGCGAAAGATCACAACTACGCTCCTTCAAATTGTCAGTTGCAAGGAATGGATCTTTCAAGAGCTCTGTCGCAGTCAATCTCATAGATGCTGGAACTAGACACTTCTCTATGAACTGCTTGACTTGAGGATTTTCCACTTTACTGAGTGAAGCAGGCTTTATACCCTGAAACAAAGTTATGAGAAACATTAGGCAACTGCTTAGTAAAACAAAAAACTGGAGGAAATTCATAATGCAGGCGATCAGAAACTTACAGAGGTAACCTTCTTGTAAATTTGTGCTGGATTTTTACATTCACTATAAGGGTATTCACAAGTCACCATTTCTAACATGCACATGCCAAAAGAATAGATGTCGACAAGTTCATTGTATTCCTCATCATAAAGCTCTGGAGCCATGAATTCCGGGGTGCCAATTACGCTATGGGCAGTAGGCTGCTGCATGACTATCGCCAACCCAAGATCTCCAATTTTAATTTCTCCATTATTTCCATTAACAAATACATTGTCACACTTCAAATCTCTATGAATAATTGGAGGATTGTGTGAATGCAGATAGTGCAAGCCTCGAAGAATCTGCCTTGCCCAGTTCTTAATGGCCTTCATATCAACATGCTTATGCTTCTTTCGGTACCTAAATCCAGACCAGTGGCAATTAGTATTTGATAATGTAAGCCACGTAAAAACATGAATTGCTATAAAATAAAAAAAGTCAGCGAAACTCACTGCCTTAAACTCCCGGAAGTAAATAACTCTGTTATCATGTTGATGGTCTTGTTCTTATCATCAACCCAAGAGTTAAAGAACTTAACGATGTTTTGATGTTTTAATGACTTCAGAAGATGAACCTCCGAATACAATCTTTCAAGCTGTTCTGGCGACTGCAGAACATCCTCAATATTCACTTGGCACCAGGCTACTTCTATTCCTTCGACCTCATCAAATGCCTTATATCTACATTTTACAGAGCATACAAATAAGTTCAAAAATAAACTTGCAAATGAAAAATTCTTAGAACCTTAGAAACCAACAAGAAAGAAACCGATTCAGAAAATGGTTAGAGAAGCATACACAGTCTTGAATGCTCCCCTCCCCAACAGTTCGTCATACTGGAGGAACAAACACAAATTCATAAAAAATTCTATCACCAAATAAAAAATATTAAATATTAAATAAATAAATAAAGAAGAAGCAAGCAAGAAGATGAAAAATTCTATCCTAAAACCAACACCATGCATTTACAAACAAACAATTAAAATTCTAAAATTAGAGAGTCAAAAGAATTCGAAATTGGTACCCGCAAGTATTTCCCAGCCGGATCTTTCTCCACAACGCCGCCATCGTCACAATCAGATTTTCCACCAACCAAACCACTACAGGAATCCATAACGAAAACAATCTCCCCAAAGAAACAACTTTGTTTGTTCTTCAGAGCGAAAACACAGAAAACGATCCTCGCAAATCCTATCAAAGCTGCTTGCTTGTAACCCCAACCGGAATCAGAAGAAGACGGTGTTCAGAAAATGCCTCGCAAGCCACGGAGTACGAATCGACCGCCGATCGAAGACGAAACCTGCAGCCGATAAACCACATATCCCTGAATTCCGTACCCGAATTCCGGTTCGCGACAGAGCTCCACATTGTTAAACCTATCCGAGACTCAGCCATGGCGCTCTCTGCATCATTTGGATCGCCACCAAATCAAGAAACGAAACCCGAAATCCTCAAAAACCGCGAGCAGGGGCCTAATTGGGGATTCGGAACCCTACAGAAACCCTGTAAACGAGCAAGCGAGCAACGGAGAGAGCGAGAGAGATTGGAGAGGGAAGCCTAAGGATTGGGAACGAGGGAAAGGGACGAAGGAGAGGTGTAAATGTAGGGCTGGGGAAGAAGACATCGTTTTGTAGTTGGTTTAGGATTTGGGGATTTTGATTTATTTGGATCGAGAGATTGAGTCCTTCTATGATTAGATGGTACACGCTGTCTTTGGGTGGGATTTGGACTTGGAAAAATTTTTAATTTTTTTTTTTTTTTTTTTTTTTTTTTTTTTTTTTTTTTTTTTTTTTAGGGTTTTTTTTTTTTAGAAATATTAGAAGAGTGATTAGGGAAAGGACAGCACAGCTTGGAGCGTTGTATTTTATTTTTTATTATTGTTTACTTTGACGTTCTAGAAAACCTACCTAAAAGAAGATTATAGCAGGCACTATATATTCCAGATATTATTTTTTGATAAATAAATCAAATTAAATAAATGTATGGGTTAAAACTTGAAGATGTTTTGATAAGTGATAACTTTTGTGGTGAGAAAATTAATTGGATTTTGAGGAATATGTGCATACTCATGATATACATGTATGTACGTGTATAATATGTGAATAATATATTTATGTTAAAAAGCGAGTATGTTTTCATAAAATTGAATAGTGTACAAAAAAAAACGAAAGTATTTTTTAAAAAAGGTACATATACGCATATAATACACGAATGTACTATGTACGGGTTATTTTGGTGTGACGACAAGAATGTATTTTGATAGTAAGATTATATGTTACTCAATTTTTTAATTTCTATCTTTTCTGATATATGGATGAAATGACGTGTGCAACAAGGCATAATGCTTGTCTGCACGTGATAAAATTTATGTATTTTTCACACGACGGTAAATGATTTGATGGCCTTCTATTTTGTTTGAACGTAAATGTCTGCACATAGTCCACTCATGTAATTTCTAATGTGTTTGACCTCTGTTTATTTCAGAATAGTTGTAAACATTATCCGGGAAAATGGGATAATTAAGCATTTTGTTGAAGCTGTGTGAAAATATTTCAGCCCTGATTTCATCTCAAAATGAAAGATTACTCTGCTGATGTGTGCATTTTGGTGCAGCCAACGTTCTATTGCTATCTAGAGGGAGAAAAGGCAGATGAGGAGCTTCCGTAAAGTCCATCTGGGATGGAGAAATGGACAAGACGAGGTAAGAACGATGAGAATGGTGGAGGAGATGATTTGTCACAACTTGATGAACTACTTCCGTGTTCGTGGTAGGCTGGAGGGTAAGGGGGCAAGGGTTAAGTCCAACTGATTTCCGAGGCTAATGACGAGCTAGTAGTTTTGGGAAACAATCATCACAACTCACCAACCATCACAAACGAATCTTAAATCACATCATACAAAGGAATGAATAGTAAAGCTTATTTAGATTTTCAAGTCTACATATAACATATAGTCAGTAGTATCATTATTTCAACCCCAGCTTCCATTTTATGGCCGCCTTGTTTGAAAGAATATGCAATCAAGACAAACTACACATCCACCAAGACAAGACAAGAGAAGACAAGAGAAGAGAAGAGAAGAGAAGAGATGGGAGAGAGAGAGAGAAAGAATGGTATCACATCATCTATCTTACCTCATCATATCATTGTTGGTTCTAATAAAATGGACATAGTTGCTAGTATATAGGGATGCAAAACGGAGTAACCCTACTACATTTTTAATAACACTCTCTGCATTAAACTTCTCTAAGAATTCAGCTCCAGAAAAAGGCTGGCCTGAGGATGCAACCCGGCTTCTTTCAAGGATAACAACAGCTTCTCCGGTCCATATACCACTCGAGGGAAGTTAGAAACCAGACTGTAATTCTCCACATCTAAGCAACCCAAAGAATCAACATAATCATAGAGAGTTTGGATTTTTGCACTACTGTCGAACCTCCTTTCCTTCCGTTCTCCGGTTGGGAACCTCACCACAACCTATTTGTTAAATTATAATTCACAACCATGCATTAATTACACACGGAACTGAACATGTAAACATATATGATAGTAGTTATCTGAAATATCAATACATTTAAAAGGTACAAGAAAATAACAAGGGAAGATTTGAGTTCTAATGCATGAGGGATTACTTGTGTAACATTAGGTCCTTTTTCAGGTTCGACACCAAGCGACAAGGCTTTCTCCTGCCGCATCCTAGCTAGTGCAGCCTCTTTCTCCGCAGCTTCACGTGCTGCTCTTTCACGAGCCTCTTCTTCTTCCAAGCGCTTCCTCTCAGCTTCAGCTGCCTCTCTTTCCAGACGTTCTTGCTCTTCCCTCCTCTGGTTTTCCCTTGCCTGAAGCAAAGGAAGATAACAATGAGGCAATGGGAAAATAACAACAACCTAAGAGCTTTATAAAATCTAAGTTTTTTGTCTGTGACGTGAAAGGGCAAAGGGAGCATGCAATTAGATTAAACTATAAACATACTTGATCAGCTTCAAGTGCTGCTCTATAAGCAGCATCTTGCTCCTCCCTTAAACGAATGTTGTTTCTCCTTTCTTCTGCATCAAGCCTTGCTGCAACAAGAACAGGAGCACTTTCTTCAACCACTCTGTTCAATATTGCGAGCATTTCTTCAGGAGACTTTGGCCCCTCAACCTGCCAAACATGATAAAGATACTCATTAAGGATAAAATGAACAACAATAAGTTGTCATCATTCATATCTAGTTACCAGAAAGTTGAAAGGAAAATAGGGAAATGGAAAGGAAAAAAAATGCACACACATCAAAGTCAAAACATTATCATATACACTAAATCCGCTTACAACATCATGTTCAAGATGCATAAGGAAAACATGTCAAAGGTAAGGCATTAAACAAAACGCTCATACCAAGCTATGGACGTGCAGAATTTACTCAGTAAGAGCTTATTTAAACTCAAATAGCTCAATTACAAATTTTCCATCCACCTAAAGTCAAAAACGAAACAAGAATACAACAAAAAAAAACATAAAAGATTTAGAGAGAGGGAAAAAAAAGGACGAAGAATAAGAAAGCCAAACGACAGGAATAGGTTGATGTCTAACCCCGTTTCCGCTGTTGACCATTAACAAACCACCAAAGAATCGTGTTTCTGCTAAAATTACTCACGCCAAAGTGAACATGCTAAGCAATGTTTCCATGCAAAGTTTCTGCTATCATTACATGAAAATGGGATGTTTGTAGCACTCTGAACAATCTGAATAGGGAAAGCCAATGAACTCAACCCTTAGTTCAATACAAAGACACCGGTCTGTAACATTCCCAGTTAAACCCCAGAATCACTACTGCTGACACCAGTTGACTCATTTACAAGAAACAGAAAGGAGTCACTTAAAATGAGTCAAACGTATTCTTTTAGTATGTCATGCTGATAACCGATGAGATAACCACCCAAATTGGAACTTTATCTCTCTAGAGAGCTAAGAAACCTTCATTTTCTACCTTCAGTACGGCCTAAAAAGATACAATGACATACATGCAATAATTGCCATTCCTAATTAAGCCTACAGAGGTATGAATATCGTATAAATAATTCTAATACGAAAAAAAAACAAAAAGCAAAGAATCATTTACCTGTTGAAGCAGCACGATCCTCTGGTTCGTGGAGGCCATAACGACGGCACAAAAGGGGTATCTTGAGGCCTTCAAGCTATTACTCATCTTGAAGCCCTCACTGACCCGAATGCTCCCTCCCCACGACACGAAATTCTCGTTGATAAACGCCACCAAGGTCTCGGAGCACAGAGTCCTCTCACAAAACAAGGGCGTATCAGGATGGTCCGGCGAGTGCAAGTACACGAACATCAGCTTGAACGAGTTCCTCGACCTCTGCAACGCGTCCATAAACCCTTCGCTTACGAAATTCGGCCTCCTCGTCCCGTAATCCCTCTCGAAACTCGCCACGAACTGCATCGCTTCATTCCCCACCGCCGACACCGACACCAATCGGGCCGACGACTCACCGTCCCGACCCGACCCGATTCCAATCATTCCGAGAGAGTAGGAGAGAACTCCGCCCGCGGCCCACAGTCCAAGACCAATTGCGCCGGAAATCAACCCTAAACTACCAGAAATTACCGAAATCGGCAGAGTGATTATTTTCCAAGCCAAACCGGGTGGTGCGACGGCATTTGATGACGGTCCAGATGGATGCGACGGTTCTCCGCGTTGAGAAACGGAGTATAGGCCACCACCGCCACTGCCGTCGGGGACTGTTGAGGTGGTGCCGGAGGCGGGATTCTCCGGCGAAGGTGTGTGGTTCGTGGTGGTGGTGAAGGCGGAGATCGCGAGCTCGAGGTCCCAGCCATGGGCGGTGAGGATCTCCACGCACAAATCGGGGTCTTCGAGGCCTGTGATCGCTTGAAAATACGCTAACTTGTCGTTTACATCAACCATCTCTGTACGGATAGTGTTGCAGAGATTGGTACGAATCGAAAAGAGAAAGAGAGAGAGAGAGAGAGAGAGAGAGAGAGAGAGAGAGAGAGCGAAGAACAATACGACGACGTTCTTGGAATGTTCGTTCTCTGAGAGAGAACTGGGGGTTTATGGCATCCACGGGGAAAGACGGAAGGTCATATAGGTTTGGGTGGGATACCAGAAATAACCCTTACTTCTTCGGAAAATAACGAAATAGCCATACTCTAGGAATTCGAAAATAATAATTGATGTGATCTCCTCCTATCCCGTGCAGCGGAAAACCTTGTATGAAACTTGTAGCAGAAAATCTTTATGAAATGGTAATAGTATTATTTTTGTGAAAAAATTATCACGTATAAAATAGGAATAGAACAGAAATAGTACTATTTTCGTGGAAAAGTTATCTCGCATGGCATACAATTGTTGGCCGCCCCATTTCATATAAGCATTTCTCACCTTGACGGGTTGGGAAACGGACTATATAACTGTCTGGATTAAAGTACCCCACAACGTCGTTTCGTTCAGCCTAATAAATTTGTGGAAATTTTGTCGGTGAAAATAAAGAATTTTGATAACCAGTGAAAACAAAAGTTACTGATTTACAGCTCCTAGTTGGTAAAACTAGAGAAAACAAGTCTAAAATAACTGACTGCAACTGCATTAGCCAACTATACAAAACTGAACTGTAACTACCCTACTAGGAACAGCTGTTTGTGCTCCTCATACAACAGTCAACAGATAACAAGATGCAAAGAAAATACAATATCATTTTTTTTTCACTTGATCTCCTGAATCAAAACCTTGCTTCTTGGTTCTGCTTTCTTGTCCACTTTCCCAGGCCTTGATGCAGCAGCTTCATAATTCAAAGCCGAACCTTTCTCTGCCTTTACAATGGCTGCCAAGGGAGACCAAGCTTCCCCGGGTTGCTCGTGGACCCAACACATGATGAAATAAATTTTCCTCTCGGCCAGCTTCAGCTTACTCCTAATTTCAGCTCTTCTAGACTTTCGTGGTTTCTCTGATTTCAGTTCACTCTCCCCAGCCTGAACCATCCTCTGCAGATCACAAAGCAAGCACAACAAAGCAGGGGTTCCTAACGTTAATAGGGTTATTACATCATCTATAAGACCGAGTCCAAATTGTAAGCCGCCCATCTGTCTGAAAGCAGGAGAGCAGGTTTGTTCCAGGCAATACGACAGAGCTTCCAGGACGGTCTCCGGTTGTCCACCTTGGCCCAATACAGAGGACACTGACAGTAGTACCATGGCTGAACCTGTGGCGTCTGATAGCCAATCTCCATTGTAAAGACGGAGTGTGAAACAGTAGCTATATATAATATCAACCAGATGAACAGCTAAGGTTGGTGATGGCTTTGTAGAACTAAGCTTGCTGACTGGAGGCAGTGGGGTGTCAGGCCCAGGTGGAATCTCATTCGCTTGATTACTTTCTAGATCATCTTCTGTTGACATTGATTCCTCCTCATTGGCAAGCGGTTTGATAAGTTGTGTTCCTTCCTTGCTGAATGTTATTGTTCTGGCAGAAGGCTTCAACCACCATGGATCCCAAGGCTTAATCATCTTGCTTAGTTCACCGGATGCAACAGCTTTTTGGAAAAGTTTCTTCTCTTCTGCAGATAGATCATCAAAACTAACTTGACCTCCTGCAAATATTAATGAGAATCAGCTCGTGTCAGCATTAGGAAATAGCAAGTAGCTCAGGGAACAGATAATTCGTAAGACATTAAATAAACAACTTTAAACTAAGAAGTGCAAAAAATTTCTAAACAGATTTGAAATGTAAAATCAGAATGAATGAAAGATAGGAAAGAACTTGAGCGCCAGAAACTAAATACATCATTGAGAAAGGATAGACAGGAGTGTACCAGAAAGCACTTTTTGAATGGTCTCCTCAGACAGAGTAGAACCTGGAAAAAAATATTGAAGATTCTGGTCAGCAATCCAATTTTCTGAAAGAGAAAAAAAAACACTAAAGGGCTATAAGTTTAACATGAATGCATTTTAGGAAGTCTATAATAAACTGAAAAACTAGCCAGTAGCCCTCATTAGGCTTCAGTGATCCTTAGACCAACTACAAAAACTATCACTCTTCACCCCAAGGATACTAATCAGCAATTTTATCTAAAGGCCAACTTAGGCTTATTGCATGCATAATCAATAAGACCCAATTCAAAATTGCACCGGAGCTGCTTTTATTCTATGTACTCAAATATTGAAAAACAATCACTGCTCAAGTAAACTTGCACATAGCATCAACAACACAACAATCAGTAAGCATAGCATCAATTGAAATCGACATATTCTTCCAGCCACCCTCAATCCCCAATAAACATGTATACAGAGACCGAACTCTAGCAACCCTCAATCAGAAACTTCCCTCTCCCTAAGCAACTACTGCCCTACTATCTTACAATGCATGACATACAACAAAAGGTTCATTGAAGTTGAAAGCCAAAAATTTCAAAGAAAAACAAGAACACCAATAAACACAAATAATAAGCCGTACCAGCCTCATCATCATCCATGGCATCAGCTTCTTCTTCAGAATGAAATCTTTTCAGTATGTCCAGCATTTTCTGTTTAGTTTCGTCGTCCGGTCCCAATTGCCCAAGCTCCCCCTCCACATTTTCCCGCATGAACGATTCGGTGCATCGAAGATTATGAGACTGCTCAACAAAAATTGCAAAACAATCAAACACAACACCAAACTCCAATCTCTGTAAATTACTAGAACAATAAAAAGCCTACCTTGTAGCAGTGCAGAGAACAGTATCGAGAGTTGCAGCGAGGGCATGTGTATTGTGAGAATTGCTTCTGGCAACTGCATTTAGAAAATCAAAAATATTTGTATCAAATCAAAATGGGGAAAATTCACACAAAATTAACGAACTTTGAAAAGAAAAGAGGGGTGGGGTTGGAGAAGCTCATACACGTGGCAGACGATTCGGGAAGGTGGGTCCAAAGGGGCGTGGTGGAGGGTTTTTCAGAGGTGATAATAGGCTCCGCCATGGCCAAAGCTGTTCAAGCTTCGAAGGGTTTTGGAGGCAGGGACGAAGTGAAGTGAACAGAAAGTACCGTCGAAGACTCAAGAAAGTTGCTTTCTTTTTTGGTCATATGGGAGGCCTAAATGAATGAACGTGGACTAAGCCCAAGGAAACGACATGTCGTTGGATGCGAAGTTGGAAAGTGTTGTGTTTCTAGGTTTTGAGCAATAAGCATCGCCTTTTTTATCCTAACCCCAACCTAAAGGGATTGAAAAACTTACCCCCAAAAAAAGCTAGGTTTTTCGGTGAGCAAACAGAGTTGGGTCTTTGTGTTTTAATGGTGACTGATGAAAATTTGGTTTCTTTGATTCAATCAACGGCACCCAAAAGGAAAATACTTCAATTTTCACCATTCAAAACAGCGTCATTTCAACTTCGACGAAGGTGGGTGTTAATCACATTAATTAGTTGATGTGATATGTATAATCAGCTGTCATATCATATGGTAGACAAATGTGATAAGACTAGTATTATTCTTATTTGCACGTTTGATATCTTGCTAGTGAACATTACACCTTTCTTTTGCACAATAATCTCTTCTCTTTTTCTTTTTTGTGGATATGGAAATGTATTTGTCCTTTACAACAATTTCTACCCAGGAAAGGAGATTTTCCTTGTATGATCAAATAGCAAACTTTGGGGAACAACAGGTGACATAATGTACTATAAATATGAAAGCATAATGCTATTACATGTATACTAGTGATAGTTTGCCAGAACAAGTCCAGTAACCATTTGCATTCAAAATTTCATACGCACTGAACAAATAATGATTTTCAATTGACAGATTTCAATTGGGGTCCAAGTTGTTAGATTTGTATAACTTTACATCATCTCTTTAGTATTTTTGCCCCTTTCCGTAAATCTGCCAAGAACTTTATACAAATTCTAGACCCTCTGAATCTGAAGGCCGCCCTTGTGATCTGGTACAACTTTGTTAATAGTCTGGTTTTGATTAGTCTTCCTATCGTCGACGGACTTGAATTCAGCCAACCCTGCTAGTTCTTCAACTGCACTGACCATGCCTTCAATCCTTGAAACAATTTCAATCAGTAAAGAAGCTAAAGTTACAAGTGGAATTATTTCCATGAGAGGAACTGCCTTTTTGGAATCTTGCTCCGTGCTCTTGTTTTCGGGACATTCAGCTTCTTGCAGTGGCTGTGGAATGAACAAAGTAGGGAGAGATTTTAAGTCCTCTTGGAGCTCCAGCACTGCATTGTTCATTTCTCCAACTAGGAAATCTATTGTAGATGACTTCTTCATTGTCTTCATAGTCTTTGCAAGCTCTTTTATGACCATTGAAGAGTCAGAGCTTACTTTTATGGCAGTGTTGCTGATATGCTTCTTTGTGAACTCAGGGGCCTGTTTATTCAGATGAAGTTGTTCAAGTTAATTGAGTCAATTTTGCATTGCTGACATATTTCCATGTGGAACAATAATTTGGTTCAGAATATAACTTGTAGAAAAATACCTCGTTTTCAGAATTGACACAACCATTGAGGGCCTCGATGCAACAAGCGCAGTCACGCATTGATGCCCCGATTTTGAGGTATTGTTTCCATGGATGCCTAAAGTTGAAGCGGCCATGTGCAGGCTCCCATCTTGCAAAATTGGCCTACAAAAGACAATGCCACTGTGAGAAAGAGAATGCTTTAAGTAACTCAATAAAACCAGGGAATTATGTTCCTGCTACATACCATGGCTTCTTCTGTTCCCTTTGAACTTAGAACACATTTGTAGCCAAGCACTTTTTTATCAGATTCTTTGTCACTATCAGCAAAGCCTCCACTATCATTGAAATATTCAGCAACACAGCCTGAAAAATATAGGGGCACTTAATGTCACTGACATCGGCCTAAACTTAACCGCAGGTTGGTATTTATTTAATGAAAGCAAAAGTGGTATTTGAATAAAGTAC